CCTCACTTCCCTTGTTAGATCTTTTCAATAACTCAGTATCAGATCAGGAGTCGGTGTAGGCTGAATGAGCGTTTGATTAACAGATTTGAGTCAATATGTGATCAGACTGAATCTTCGCTAATTAACTAACCAGGATGGTCTTAAGTAGTCCTAATAAGCTCATGGAAAACGGAATATGGGAATAAAATAAGAAATGAAATGAATTACAATTGTATTCATTACACAATATTTCTTTGCTTCTTCTTTTCATGTCTTTTCATTCAATTCTGGTAATGACATGGTTATGATGAAAATAATGATATTACAGTTTAAAAACATATTATTAAAATTCTTATTATTTTTTTTCGTGTTCAACAAATTCAATTAAATGGAAACATAAATTAATGAGAAAACACCGTTTATTTCAAGTTTTGTTCAGTCCAATGTTTATCATCAAATTAAATGTTGTTTGATGACAGAGAGATATTTTTAATCTCATTTGTATTCAAATTAATTTGTCACAAAGGTAAATACGAGTGTTTCAATTGTGGATTGATGATCCATTAAATGGACGTTATCAATGGCTTTGCTGATGGATTTTCACTAAAAAGTTGTTAATTGTTAATTTGTTTGATCATTTTGAACAAAATAACAAATCAAGCTTGAAATGACAATGTAATCAAGATTATCGAAGGTTTAATAAGAAATTAATGAAACCAAAAGCAAAGTTCATTGTTTGATCTACAATCATACAACTCTGTTCGACTTGGATCTAATCTATTTACTGAATGTTTCGTTCATAAGAAGCCTGAAAAGATTTTCTTACTCATGGCATTTTGATTGTCGCACAATCGACAATTTACTTGTTGATTTGTCCGAAAAATAAGATAAAAGGTAAAGTTGAGAATCTTGTTGGACTTTTCGGCTCAACCAAGTTGTATAAATGATGCTAAAATGGACGAACTAAAAACCCTCAAAAGGCTGTTTTACAATGAAAGTGGGTTTCAAATACTAATTCAGGGTTTAAACAGAAAAATTGGTTTATTCTGAAGATTTACTTGTATTTTTGTCCATGGACTTCAAACCTATGATTTTCATAGATAATCAAAAAATCTCAAGAACCGCTAACCTTACAAAAAGATGAATAATATTTTTCAATCCTCCTAATTGAACCTTATCAGCGAAACGTTGTCTTTATCTGAAAAGGCTAAAATTTACATTTTTAAACCCTCTTTTGAACGTTAAGATGACATTACAATTTGATTTGTTTGTAATTATATTCATATTTAATACTTACATGGATACTAATTATTCGAGGTTGAAGTTGACTGGGTACATCACAGCCACCTTCGATTGCCAATCCCAATATTGGTTTCGACTTTTTAACAATCACTCTTAATCGGCCGTCAGGTTCACGGACTGATCTGTGATACTAAATGGTTCATTTGCGAAAGAGTAAAATGATAATTACAATTAGAGTCAACAATTAAAATTTGCAGATAAATGTAGACTTTGTTGAGGTTGAATAGCATCAATTTCAACATTTAACAAGCCTTGACTTTTTCTTTCTTTTTCAAGATCAACTTTGATTTTGCAATGGATTTGAACTTACAGGTATTCTGAATGATGAACTACGGTGAGGTTGATAGTTAAAGGGTGATTGTGCTGCTGAATGTCCAAATGTATTGAATGAACCTGGACCTGGAAGTGAACTGTGTCTTCTAACCCGAGACTGGAAAACTGAAGATGGATGATGATGACGACGATGAAGATCTTCATCATTGATAATTTCCTTTTCATTATGGTGTGATTTCTCATCACTTCGGTATAAATTAGTTGAACCATGAAGTGCTAAATGATTATTCCGATTATCACTTGAATTTAATGTTTTCATTTCAACTCCACTCAACGAATGTTTCCGCAAATTATTATCATGATATTCATAAACCGATTCTTTCTGCAGTTCAACAGAAATATTAGGAAAAAAGATGAAATCAAATTAGCAGAAATTAATAAAACAGTTAAATTAAATCAATTGAAATGGAAACAATTTATTGTCATCATTTTTGTTTGTTTGATGGTTCCATTAGTAATTATAAAATTTTCAATGAGTTTTCAATGAAATTAATTGTACAGAAGGTGATTTTGTTAATACACATTGATTTGGCTCTGTAATCCTAATTAAAGAATCAAAATTAAAAAGTCGATGTAAATCCTAAAACATGGGAAATACAATAGATGGGAAAAGTAAATCGAGCATAAATTAAATGTTAAATCTGGTTAACAGTCGAGTTGATTTTAGGTAAAAAATGGATTGTTATGATGTTACAGTCTGACCAGTTGCTGCTTGTTGACAACTAATTGGTGAACAAAGTTGATTGCTTGGCTGTCGATTAGATCCAAGTGATGAAGAAGAAACAACTGTTGATCGAACAATTAAAACTGGATTAACCAATTTAGGCCTGGGAATACGGATTGGCTGAATATCTAATAGAGCTTCCATAATGATTAACTAATTAACTGATGCACACAAAAGCACAAATTGAAAAACTATTGATTTAAAATTTTTGGCAAAATTTAAAAATTAACTTAAACAGATTGAAGTGAAAATGTTGATATGAATTTGAACAGAATATCTGGTTTCAGTTTGTAAGACTTGTTGAAATGGTTTGTTGTTGCAAACTGTGTGATTGTAAAGTTTAATTACCTTGTGATAAACAAGTTATACAATCGTAGGTTGGCTCTTTAAATTGTTGTTTAACTGTTCAATTGGTGGATTAAGGAGTGTTGACTTTGAAAATAATTTACACCAAAACCTGACAGGAACAGTTCATTTCAATAAATGTTTACACCCAGAACTTGCCTTTGTGGGTTGACTTTTTGTTTCCAGTTGATGCTTGATGAGCATAAATTGCTACTGATTAAAGATCATTCAATTTATCATTTCACTGTTTATCAAAGATCAGATGAACATCACACAACACCACATCACATCAACTTGGACCAGAACTTGGTATGAGAAGACCAAGAAGTTGATTGCTTTTGATCATTTTGATTCAAATTCAGTCTATTATTGTAAACTAACAAAATTGATTTAGCAAACAAAAAGGTGATTATTGGTTTGTTTGTAATTTTAAAAGGTTTGAAAGCTAATTTTGTTGTTAATTTTCTAACTATTCAAAGATGAAGATTAATTTAGTTGTATTTCGATTAGTAGCATTTAAGGTGATTATTTTGTTGAAGGTAATTTAGATGAATCAAATAATGAAAATAATGACATCTTATACTGTGTTATTGTTAAAAGGTAAAGCTGATCTTTTCACTAAAATTAACAATGGATTGTTCAATTGTAATTAGAACTGCGATTCACAATTTTAAGATCTATTTTGAGAAAATTCATGATTTTTTTGTGTTCATTTTATAATCATAACCACAACTGAGCTTGAAAAGCTGATAAATTGAACACAACAAATGGCTTAACTTGAGTTTAACAATTACAAGTTTACAGTACAAAAAGCTGATTATAATTAGATTAACTTTTTAATGTTTTAAATTGTAAGATTTGTTGATTCAGTCAGTTGTTTTCCCAGTCAATCATTCAGTTAATATTGTTGTTTCAACTTGAACAGATAATCAGTCAGTTGCTCATTAAGATGGGTTATTACAGGGTTTTAAGGGGTGAGTGACCCGATCCATGAATACTTGAATTTGCTTTATTTCCTGACAAAAAAGATTCACTAAGTTTGATAAATTTTGTCATAACTAAACAAGTCGATCATCAACATTTACTATCGATAATAGATTCATAATGTCCTGTAAATTAGAAGCTGAAATTGGATAAGAATGAGAAAATATTTTCTTCTAGAAGTCGATTGCAAATTGAAATTTGATTATTCAACAATGAAAGTTAATTTGTAACGGAAACTCATTGAACTGTTCATCTTGAAATATAATCATTTGGGGAACAATTGCAAGCATCAAACAAAAGATGATCAATTTTGGTATTAGATTGTTATTATTAGATAAATTGTAATCCATTCCAATGTATAGATCAATATCAATGTAGACTTACATTGTATTTGTTTGGTAAATCATGAGCAGCAGCTATTGACCAACGTCTTTCATCCGAATTTACCGGAACTCCAAGGAAATCATTGCAGTTAGAGGTTGACTTTATTTCCGGATTACCAGAACTATGTCGACGAGGAATTGGTTGATCTTTGGTAAACGATATGGGAGATAAAGAGTCCATTTCCGATCGAAATCGCACGGAAACATTTCCGTTTCGAGATGAATTTCTGCCGAATAGAAAAGTAAAAACAAAATTAGTCAACAATTTGAGACAAGTGTTAATCAAAGAGTGAAAGTTGGTTAATCACAAATCAAGGTTACAGTTAATCAAATAAAATAAATAGAGTTAAAGTTGATTCAATTTGACCATTGATTGAATAATATTGTGATTTGATCTTGAATCAAGTTAAATTGTTCAAATATTGATGAGAAACGGAAATGTAATTTTGTTCTTGTTGGCTTGTCAAGTTGATAATTTGACTCTTTTGTTTACTCATAAATTGTGATTATCTATTGTGTTAATGGGAACACAATTAAGGTGAAGGTGATTAACGTTGCTTAATGAACACATTTGATTAACCTTCAATGAACTTTAAGACAAGTCACAAATTTACCAACAAAAATGACAGCTAAATGAGCATAATTGCACTTGAATGTTTCAATTTGCAAGCAAAAAAAGATAAATTTCATGACAACATTCATTGATTTTGAGCTAAATTCATATTGATTGCATTGATTGAAACTACAGAAATAAGCAGAAAATTTAAGAAAGAAAAAACTAAATTAAAACTAGAAAATTAATCAACAGATCAATGATTAAGTTTAGTCTTTTTTGTTGCTTTTCCTTCTTTTGCCATGGCTTAGCTGGTTGAATGGTTGGTAATCAACTTACCTTTCAATTGGTATTGAGTTAAGTTTGCTTGATTTAGTGTGCGTTGAATCATTCGGTGAATGATGATGGTAAGAGTGATGATCACCATGATAGTAATGGGAATGGTGGTGGTGTTCATTAGCCATTGAAGGTGAAGATTCTTGAGCAAATGAAATTGAATTTTCACTCGATTCTTCATCATCCCCAGCAATCATATGAGCAGATTCAATTGGATTTGCTTTACTTTTGATCATTGCTTGTTCCTCTCTTTTAAAGATTAACTCGTCAAATTTATCCAAATCCTCTTCACGAATAATTATACGAAAATGGTTTAACAAAGAATACTGTCCAATCGTAATTAATAATCAGCAAATCATTAACAGAAGTTAAATGGCACCAATGAAGATCATGAAAAAAAGAGAGGAAAAATGATTAAAATATTGTCAAACATTATTATCGGAAAAGACATTTTTTCTGATTTTATCTGATTCTTCAGTGAACAAATGCATTATTTTTCAACAATTAACAACATAGCTGAATGGAATGTAATTTGAATGATGACAAAATTATTCTTAATTCAATATAACAATCATAATTCGTTAACAAAACATAAAAGCATTTTTTCCTCCTTCTATTTGTGTTGACAGTTGAGTCTCTTAGTTGACTTGGAATATTTTTTGACATTATTTTGTCTATTAAAGCTAAACTTTTTTTGTTTGTTTGCAAGTCAACATTTAATTTCAACATTTAGTTGACAGTTTTTGACTGATTGTCAAAACAAATTCAAATTCACCATCATTTCCTAATCTAATCACATTACTATTAGTTTAAAAACATTATCTGTCAACCTCAAGATTGTTAACTGAAATGAAATATGCATGGAAATATAATCACATCAGAATCAAAATAAAAAGGCAGAATAAGAGAAAGTTGAACAAGTGAAATGCAAAACTCAACAAAAAATGAGTTACACAAATGTACACGTAAAGATGTAATATGCAAATGCACATTTAATATTAATTGTAAATCAGTTTACAATTAGAAACTTACCTTTTCTCTTGTATCTAAAAGCTCCAAGAAAAGTGCAATAAAGGCATCTACGGTCATTCCTTTGGTTTCATATTCATTACGATAATAAGCAAAAGTAATACGATCTTTTTCAGGCAATAATTGATTCAATTTTTCTTCAAGAATTTCTTCCTCGGCACTTTCGGTTACCAATAAGGTTGGCGTTACATGGTTGGTTCCTAATGAAATGGGAAAAAAGTAAAGATTAGTTATAATGAAATAATCTGGTTGGTGTTTGGGATTCAACTTTTAAAAAGCTCTGGAAGTTACCTTGAATGGCAACTGTTACTCTACTGTATTTGCAACTCAATTAGGTTTCTTTCAAGATTGATACTTTTACTACTCAACGTTTCTTTAAATTACCTTTATTGATTACTTTGAGTTATTTTTTCTGGTTCAATCTTAACAATAAATCGATCACAATTCAGTTTATAGCCTAGAATGTTAAGGTTAAAGGTTGTCTTTTCAGTCTATCATCAAGCTGTACTGATTACGAGCTCTTATATCATTTAAGCATGAAAGCAAGTATACAATACAAAGGTTGACATGTTAAGTGTCCATTAACAAGTTAAATCAAAGTTTATCTAATCGATTGATTGTTGAAATTAGAGAATAAAAAAAGAGATTGAATCAAAATGATGACAATAATGAAAATGTCAATTCATTTTAATCAAATAAGGTTGAGACTGCAGTCTAATGATATTTTTTTCATTAATTTTTAGTTTTCATTTACCTGGAAGAGTAAGATTTACTTTATCAAATAATAAAACTAGGTGAAGATGCAAGTAAAATGGAAAGAGTAATGAATAAATGAATTTATCTGAGTAAATATCTAAATGAATGTCTACTATAAAATAAATGAAATTCTAAGCCATAAAATTGCTATTGAGAAAAAAGAAATTAAGATTTCCAGCCGAAAATTCTCAAGCAATTGCTTCAAGACAATGTTAGTGAGTTTAAATAGCCTTAATGGTTGACATTTTCACCGATTAATGTTAACACTGAATTCACTGTAATAAGAAAACAGGGAAAATAATTAGATAGAATCTATTTGAATATTAAAATGAAAGGTGCAATAGATTTGATTCCAATTGTATTTCCCGCTTTTGATTGGTCAACTATTTCAAGAATCGAAATCTGATTGAAAAAGGTTTACCTTGTTCGCTAATCGGACGATAGACTGGAGATCCTGTACCCGGTGAACTTGTTCGTTGTGAGCCACAAGGACTTCGATTGAGCCTGTGATGGTGAGAAGTCTCGGGCAATGAACATCTTGAGGACGGAATACGATTAAAGGGAAACTCTGTTTGTGATGTTGACGAGCCAGATGATCCATCAGATGAAGTCAACTGAGCAGCAGCGGATGATGAGGAGGACGAGGAAAGGATAAGCGAAACGTTAGAGGCCGGTATTTTACCAACATAGCGAACCTTCATTGTTAACCGGGGTGATGAGCGTAATATATCCACAGCCTCATCATGCAGGACATGTTGAAAGTCATGATTATTTACAAACAATATTTGATCACCAATCTGAAACGTAAAAATAAAAGATCACAAAAGAAATATAAAATTAGTTAATTTCAAATAAGGAAACGCAAAATAAAGTTTATTACCTTTAACCCGCCTCTTTCAGCAGCTGACATACTCTCGATCCCAGTAACATAGATACCAAGTCCGTATTCAAGTCCTCCTCGTATCATTAATCCTGGATTGATTCCTTTCTCTATCACAATTTGAACCTAATAAGGAAAGATTAATTAAACAAATCAAGTTAATTAACTTAATCTGTACATCAAAAGAAGAAAAAAAACTATCCAACAAACAATAGTTATTAAGATTACGGGAAAACAAAACCAATCTCATTATTATTTTGCTGTTTTAGCTGAAAGTATCAAATTATAATAAATCAAGACATTAAATATTAAATTACCTTTTTAAACCTAATCTGGTACAGTTACCAGTTACCAGTTATTGAAAGCCTTTCCCTACCAAAAGTTGTCATTTGATATTTTCAATTGATTATTTGCTATTTCATATTGTTACATCGAGAAAAGAAGTTTCATCAGAAAAAAACAATTGAATAATCAGATGATATTCATCTTTTTACCCTTCATATCCATCTAACCCTCGCAGGCAACTTTTTCAATTTTATTCATTTCTGCAAATTTCAACTTTCAAAGAGAACCCAATTTCAATGATCAATGATTCAATTGTAAGTCACTAAAAGTTGAAGAAAAAATAGAACATAAATTGTAATACAAATCAGTTGAAAAGGTTCTAAATCTGTTACATAGATTTAAAGCAATCAACTTTAACTGATTGTAACAATTATCACTCCAAGATTCAATTCCAACACTGAATTTAAACGAACTTCTTTACGCTTTTATTCGAACTCAGCTTTCTCGACTTTAACTGTTATCTTAATACTATCATTATTAACTCAGAGCATCCAGTCTATGAGATACACTTTCGACTAATGAAATAGCGAATTCGCGTCTTTTAGCAACCTTTAGAGTCCATTATCATTGAGTTTTTTCACGTCAAACAAAAGCAAACGAATTCATTCAGAGTTTTCATTTCGCTCAGATAATCTTGAATATCTTTGATATTCAATATGATGGATTGACATGAACAGTCAGTTGAAAGAAACGGTAAATCAAGTGAATTGTTGACTATTTTTAAAACAATTGAAAAATAATCCAAAGGGAAATTAATGATTTAAAGATAAGATCAATTTCAATGATAAATTTCTCTGTAAACCTGGTTTGGATGAATCAAATTCAGATCCACTCGTTATTACTTCATAATTTGAATATTAATTAACATTTACATTTTATCTTGCAAAATCTAATTTAAAAGTTTGAATTGAACATGAAGGCAACATTTTCATGATTAAATATGATAAATATGCATTAATCAATAAAAGGTACAAGGGAAGCATTTAGCTCATAATGGGAGTGAAAATTATCAATTATTTTAAATATGCTTTATGGATATAAATTTACAATCTTGTGAATATGAACATTTTAACCAATTATTTTGGGAAAAGTTGAAGTAAAAATTTGTTTCAATGATTATGGAACCAAATATTGGATTCTGTAAATTGAATGGCGAAAAAAAGTTGCAAATCTAACAGCAATTGAGTAAATATTTAATGGCAAATCCAATGAAACATTGAAGATGAATCTCTCTTTGATTCAGTGAAGATGAAAATTTGTGTCACTCTTGATGCCAGTTCATTGACTAGCAACTTTCAAATATCAACTGTAATTGTAATTGGATCAACATGATAATAATTGAACATTTCACAAGTTTACCCTGAAGCTTGACTGAATAAAATTACAACTGTGGATCAATTTGATTGAAGTTAATGCAAAGGAAGAAAGGAAAATATTAAATTTGATTACAATTTAAAGTTTGCATGAAAAACGATAACCAAGTTAACTTTACAATTTTCAGGTTAAAATTCAATTCCCTGTAAAAGTATGACATTACAATGACAAGCAAGAGACAAATTGAGATGATAATCAAGCCGAGGAAAGACAACAAATTTGCAGAATTCGTTGAACCTAAAGGCATTGAATGAAGCAGAAATTACATGAAATAACATAAAGTTGCATAAAAGGTAACAAGAGAAAGTTGAAAGGTTAAAGTTAGTCCTTAAGAACAATAATATTTCATGGTAAAATGAACTTTGAAAGTGGCAACAATTTTTCATCTTCATCTTATCTTATTAATAGAAGGTCTTGTTAACTTTTCTCATCAGCATTATTCAGTGAATGCTGAATAATCTTTTCTCCATTTTTGGGTTCTCTTCTTCTTCCATCATTCCTTCACAAATCTTATTCATCTTCATCTCTCAATTATATCATGTTATCCTCATCCTCTTTGCCCTTCTCAGTCCAAAGTTATCATTCACAACTATCTTTACTTCAACAGTAAATTAAGCCTTTTAAGCTTTTATTTGGTTAACCTTATTCACTTGAATCATTTTGCATCCAAAGTATAATCAAAGATAATCAGATTGATTATCGTACAGAGAAAAGGTAAAGATCAAAATTTATCATGAAAAGGAGAAAATTCATTTTCTTTCTTGGCTACCAGATTATGATCATCACTAGGAAACTAATTAATCATTTGGATAACCTTTTAGACAAATTGTTGATTGTTTCAAGTATAACATTTCAAGCAACTAATGGTTCAATGATGAGTTAAGGTTGGGTAAAAATTGAATCAACTAATTTGATTTGTTACTTGATCATAGACGAGAAAAAAATCGGGTTAATAAAGAGACTTAACTTCATCAATGGAGTTTAGTTAATTGAATACCTTCAGGAATTTTTAATTAAAACAATAATTCAGCAATTTACACTCATAATTGTCTAAAGATGTCAATCAGAGCAAAGATCAGGGAATGTCTAGGAAAGATGTTTAAGGATTTAGTCGATGATTGCTGTTGTTTAAAATCTGGTAAAATCTGGTAACTTTCAATTTGCTTTTGTTTTCCCTTTCAAAAGTCATTTCATTTACATCAATACATTTGATACAATTAAATATGAAACAATTTGATGTAAAAAATCTCAATAATACTCTTTTTGCCCTCAAGAGTTGCATTCATTATTTAAGTGATTACATTGTCTTTTAGCTTGTTTAACTTTTATCATTATTTTATCCTAATATTTTTTCCCTAATAAAATCAATATTGAGATATTATAATAATTCAAGCTTATTCATCATTTCAACAATAACTCAGATTCTTTACATTATTTCCATGATTTTCTTTCTGTTTATTATCATTAGAAGTTGAAGTTTAAAGGAAACAAAAAACTGATTCAGTGAATAGATTGAAGTTGATTGTCATTTTGTTGAATCCAGCTCTTGTTAGACAAAATTATTGGGCAAAAAAAGATTCTGAATGTTAAATGCATTTAAATGTTTCGCTGGTTCAACTGGAACTTACATGAGTTGCATGAACTTTGTCTTTTAATCAAAAGGATATTTTTAGATTGTTTGATACCTGAATCTGTATCATTACCAAATTGAGCATAAAATGTATCATAAAATTAATACTCCAAGTTTCAAAGTTAACATTTTAACTCAACGCAATTTGGGTTTTGATATTTATTCATCTTCTTCAAATCAAAGACTAAATCTAATTTAAACATTTTACTTTTGATTAATGACGAGCAGATGATGAGTAGCAGATAAAGTTCAAAATACAAGCAAATGGCATATTCATTTGAATGGCGCATGAAAATTTGTAAATCAAAGTGCAAGTAAAAAAAGTATAAATGATTGAAAGAAATCAATTGATTGTAAAAATTTCAATTTAACTGTTTCCATTTGAATCGAAGAGTAAAAGTAAAATTGTTAAAAATCATTGCAAATCAATAAATCAACAAGATCAACAATCTTGATTAGAATAAAATGAAACTATTCAGACAATCAATTGAATGGTGAATGAAATATCACAAAAGGAAAAATTTCATTCTTCGATTAAATATTGATCAATTTTTCGTTTCAACATTTACATCGTACACTGATACCTTGGATGCTCTGTTGAGTTGAAATTTAACTGCTAAAAATGCAGGAAACTGGAGTAAGGATCTGTAAGAATCTGAATGTAAGAATCTTTTCAAGTCATCATAAACTTGACTGAATCTGATGGAAAAGGCTTTGGAAATTACGATCTTGAATGGTTAGATAGCAAAAGGATGGCATTGCATATTGAACTTGACCAATCAAGATAATTGTGGTTGTTGAGGGAAGCAAAGTGTTAATAATGTTGGGCCTTATTTTGACCTTTAATATATTCTAATAATTTACAGATTCTGCTATTAGAAGCAATTGAATGGATTGAATGTTCACAATCAATTCAGGTCAGGTCGATTAAACTTGTACGCTTTCCTAGTCCTTATAAAAGTATAAAATAAAAGTCAATTGTAATGGTAATGGTTAATTACTTGAGGAATGAATAGCAATCCAAAAAGGCAGAAATGGAAACGTGAGTTGAATGGTTAAAGTTGAACCAAGATGCATTATTATACCACTGAATATCAATTTAAAAATTATGATTAACAATTATGCTAATAATAGCAGGTAATACCAATAAATATTGATATAACAATATTAAGGAATGAGAATGTTGAAGACTTTATTTCAACTTCAAGTTAACCTTTGGTGACTTTGATAATTAATGGCATTTGGAATGATATTTAACCAGATTTAAGTTCACAGAATTGATCATTAAGGTTTATCTCATTGTTACTCAAAGATGATCTAAAAAGTAAATATTGACTCAATTGGAGTCAATTAACAGGTTGATTGTTGAGATTAAAATGTCTATTTAAATGAACAAAACAGAAACAGTAGACTTGAGGAAATTAATTTACGATTAATCAGGAAAGTGTATTGAATCGTTTGAGCGATGATAATTTTAAAGTCACCAAAATTCTGGTTGAACACTTGTTGAAGACTAGTTATGAGCATGATCTGAAAACATGTGAAACTTGATTATATGAATGACCAACTTTGGTAGGTTTAAATCTGTAAACCATGAAATTGTCCAGATAAATGAAATTATTGCGAGTAAAATCAACAGCTTGAAAGAGATGAATGAAATTTTCATCTGAAAGTGACAACCAGAAAGGTAAACAAGAAAAAAAAATCTGGTAAAATAGTCAACAAGAAACTTTAACTCTTGGATATCAATCAAGATGAAATTGTTATGTAAATCAATTTGTAATTAACCACTGAAACCAGAGAATAATCATGATAAATCAGTTTAACTCATGCAGTTTACACTCTCAGCGTGAGGTTTGGGAATAAATTTCAAACCCAAATTAAGGGTAAAATTAGGAGAGCAACAAGAATCAAGATTAATGTTGATCAACGGAAAAGCTGGCAGATTAGTTGATAACAATGATCAGATCACATGAATGCTCAAATTTCAACTAAACATTTCAAATATTGATCATTATTTTTGGTTAAAAAATAAACGAAACTTGAGGTCTTTTTGTTAAAGATGAAACAATTTGCTATCAAAGTGAAAGGAATCAAAGTGAATGATGAAATTACGATTATTAATTGAAAGGAATCACCAAGAAAACAAAATATTGTACAATTACAAACATAGTACTTAATTTAGTTTTCACATGAATCCATCAATCTTTAACTAAACCCTGAAAACCTTTCATTGCTTTTTTCCCTTCACTTTGGGTTATTTTTCCTCTTATTTGTTGTTGCATTACGTTTTGTTTTTCAACCTATTTTTTGTGTTCGCCTTCAAAATGATGTTGATTTTTACGTTTTTTTGTGTTTCTCTTATTTTTGTTTAAAACCTTTTAAAACAAGTAAAACACTGTGAGTGAATGTTATTACAATGAATATACATGGTAAACATGAGTCTGAATAAAAAATGAATGTGAATATTTACATTGAATTGTAACTTTTTTGCTTCCAAGAAAATAAACTTCAATTTATTTTTCCCTAATTTTGTGCTTTCTCGCCATTTTTGATATAAATTTTTGGATAAATAATGTTTATTGTACGTTTAACTGAATCAACTGATTCCTTTGAATCATTTTACGATCAAAAAGCAACTATTAATGAATATAAATGTTTCAAGAAAATGGTTTAAAATTGAATTGTAAGGTTTTTAAACCAGAGATTCCAGGAGTGCCAATTGATAAATGATTTGATTGATTCCATCAATATTGATTTTCGTTATCAACTATTGACGATTCAAGGAAAAGGTCAAAGGTAATGTTGATGAAACATAATTTCCTATGAATTAATGGCAACGGAAATTGACTGATTGTTCCAATATTGTAAATCATTGTAATTTGTTTTACGGAAAAGGTAAACAATTTGATTAACTTGGATTCCAACTGTGATGCATTCAAAACTGTAAAATTTATTCAAACCTTTTAATTGAGTAATTAATTAATAATAATTTAGCTTTAATTAACATTGAAGCATAATCGTGATAACGTTTTTTTTTTGGGTTGTCATTCACTGTCCTATTGAATGGTAAAAGTCAAGTTCACCCAAATTTCAATGCTAATCAATCTAATCCTTGAATAATTTTTCTGGTTAAAACCAAATTATTAAAGTCTAAATTGTAATTTGACTTTTTTTGAATGCTAATAATGATGATTTGCATTCCCTTTGATACATAAGAAGATTACAATCAAAATATATTAACTCTGTAATATCAACTTGAACCTGCTAATTTATTAAAACCTTTGTATGGAGAGGAAAGCAATTTGTAGTTGAATGTTGAAGTCACTAAATTAATGGTAATAATTTACATATTATTGTAACACACAGTCAATGATTAGACAAATGACAATAGCATTAATTAACATTCATTGGTCATCATCATTATAATTTGGGTTAGTGAATAGGAAAAACTAACTCCAGTATTGTTGAAAAACTCATGTTTGGAGGTTTTTTTGCAACAAAAGGTTGAAATTCCCAATTAACTGATGATTATCCAACGATATTAATTGAAAAGTTGATCACGTTTGTAAATTGCGATTATTTTTAGGACTTGAAATTGGCTGACAGGGGAAACAGATAAGTTTGGAAATATATTGCTTGATATGAATATCATTTGAATTATTCTTGATTGGTTTTGTCACTTTTTTGCCTCCAACAATATCAAATTTAAATTATCTTAAGATGATTATGATGGAGTAAAGTTTATATTTTATGAATAATGTGACATGAATAAAAGAATGACAATAATCTGATTGTAAATTGATGACACAAATCTGACAGAATAAAAAAAAGTGTAAATCCTGAGTTCTGAGTTTTATTGAGTTTTGAATTTTTATTGTTTTACGTGCAAAAGACTAGCAAATTTTTTGAATGGGTTTGCTTTGGTATTGTTCAGGTTTAAGGGTTGATTGAGGAGTAAAAATGCTTTGATTACCGTTCTGATTGGCTGTTCACTGGGTCTGATTGATAAACGTCTTCTTGGTGAATTGTTCATTTTTGAGGGGGAAGTTGAGCTTGGATCATTGAGAAGAGGATCGAATTCGGAATCACCAGAGATGAGTAAATCACGATCAGGCGGTGGCGGTGAAACAGGTCGACCTTCTGGGTCAACCCAATGGTAGGTTGCATGGCGTCGTTGGAAGGAAAGAGCTTCAGCTCGAGGGAAAATGTTGAGGGTTATAACATCATTGGAACAGATAATGTGAAGAGCTTGTTGACACGTCATGTAGGAATCAAGGAAAGATATGTAATTAGCAGAGAGTATCTGATCACCAGGAGTAAGGCCAGCTTTTTCAGCCAAAGAGTCTTCGGCAACTCGTGAAACATAAATGGCTCCAAAAAGGCCAACTTCAGCTCCACCGCAAAGAGTTAAACCAGCATCGGGTGGATCATCTGGTTCTTTGAAAATGCTAACTTTACGAACATAACGAAACGCCTGATTGATAAACAGAGAAGAACCATCATTCAAATTGATTAAATTTAATCCATTGCCATTTCCACCACTCAACCCAGATTCATTTCGAACCGGTGAGTTGCCATTCAATGTCATTCCGTTAACACCGTTTGAGCCATTTCCAATTATCCCGTTGCCCCCACCAGGACCAGGACCACTTAAAATGACTCCACTGGTTTTGATGGGTCCAAATGATGAATTTGGTGGTGGAGAGGCTCGAGGTGAAGATCGACTTGCTACTGGTGAGGCAGACAGAAGGAGAGGTTGGCGAGATGGTGAAGATGAGTGAACAGATTGGGAATGATGTTGATGGCGATGTTGATGTGAACGATGATTTGATTGGAAAATTGTGCGACCTTTGGAGAATGGAAAATCCATCTAAATAATTGGTCCAAGAACTTAATCTGATATGATATGTATATTATGATTATTGAATGTCTCGGATCCAGAGTTTGACTTTCTTAGTGATTATGCTGTTTAGGCTTGATATTATATTGATATGAAGATAGTTATTATTTTGATATGTATTTTGTATTTTTATCAGGTCCAAATTGCTGTTAGACAATTAAAATCATCTGGAAAAAACGAAAAAGAATAGAAAAACAAATTAGTTGGTTGAATGATATGATTGAAAAGTGTTGACGCGAATCAACAGTAAACTTTAGCTGTATGCTAACCCGTTAAATTTGGTTTTCAATAAGTAATGATAAAATTAACACAACTGACGTGATTTGTAAGCATAATTAGTCTACCTTTGGACACAGCTAAGATAACTTACAGGACTAATTAGACAACAGTGGACAGTATGAATAAGTGATGAATGTTGAACAAAAAAACATAAACAAGTTATAATTATTGGTGATAGCTGTCAGCATTTAAATTAAATATTAATTTAGAGAAATGGTGGGTTTGATTTGGAATGACTTGTAAACTAATCCCATCAAAGTTGACCAACTGTAACCATATGAGAAGGTTTTGGATTGTTAGCTTAGGTGGATCAAATTTCTGTTGTCTAAACTAATTTTAAGGCTAATTTCATATTAACTCAAGTTTGATAAAGATGTAAATTTGGGGAAACAAATTTGCAAATGTGAAAAAATTGATCAATTAAACTGCAAATGTAATTTCAAGTGCATGGTTAATTGCAGGTTTCTCGTTTTGTTTTGAATGTTTCTGGTTTAATACAAAAAAACAGGTAAGGAATAGGTTAAGATGCGCATAGAAAAATCAATAAAAAAGATATTACAATTAACTTTTAATGTATATTACTTACATAATTGAAGGTTGGTGGATTTTGATTATAACCATTAATTGCATGAAATCCATCATAATTTGTTGCATTGATCATAATTAAGGTTAACCAACAGCGAATTGTGTAATGGTGATTCAAAGTGGAAACATGATGTACTGGTAATACCTGGTAAACAACCGTTCTTTTTGTTGCAGGTTTGAGTTAAACATAATTATTTAAAACATTTAAGTTAACCAGGGAATATTTTAGATGTTGGTATAACAATTTAGTATAATTAAAAGACTGGATTAGATGGTAAATTGTAAAGATATGTTGTTTGATTGACCAAAAAACCAGAAATCACAAAGTGTTGTTGCTGTTAAATTGTTACAAATCGTTACTGTACGTAAAAAGATAGGGTCCAGAAGGTTTTAACCAGAAGAAATATCATAAGGTAAAAGCAGAAGGTGAAAGTATAAAATTTAAAAAGGTTTGTGAAAATAAATAACTGGTAAAAGGGTGATGATTAAGACAGGTTAAAAAGGGTGTTATTAGCAAAAAAGGATTTTAGGTTTGATTAGTGTTGTTGATATGTTGAAATGGTTTAACCATGCTGAGATGTCAGAAAGAAAATGATATCAGATGGAAAGAAAGGAGAGTAAAGAAGGAGATGATCATTGGGAGAGAAAATTGAGTCGACAAAATAAAGGCAAAATCTAACTGACTTTTGATTATTCTCCTTTCAATATCATGCTTTTGAGCATGTTTCCAAATTCGCATGTATTAATACACACTTAAGACACATTTTTGATCAGCTTTTATTTTTAGTTTTACTGGATAATTTATGAGATCACCTGTATTAATTATGGTTAAATTGAAAATGTTGATAAGCATAAAATAAAGCAAATACTCTGGAATACAGGGAAAGGCTTAAGGTAACTTCTGATAAAATCAATATTCTCACCCTGGGTTCACTTGTTTACGGGAGAAATTGCTTTTTATTTTTGTATTGCCAATATTTCATTCATGTTAATTCACTGTTAAAGTGTTAATTAACAATTAATATACCAGTCATTTAATAACGATTAATATATCCACAGGAGGGTGAATAATTTGGAAAAGGATTGTTCTTGGGTTTAAGCCATAAGCCATAATTTTCCTGGTCACTTCAATGGTAAGCTAAATTGTTATTGCCTTTGTTTATCAAATTATCCGTTTAAACAGCCTTTATTATTTAATCGACAATTCAATCAATGTTTGATCAAATGATACTTGAAACCCTACTGACAGTTTGAGTTGAGTCAGAAAGGAATGTTAACTTAACAGTTAGTTAACCGGAATAACTGTTTATTAAAAGAGTAGCTACCTATTTATTGAGAAAGGTAGATATTTTAATATCTGAATTGGTTAAACTTGAATGGGATTAATTTTGTTGATATAATGTGAGGAGTAATAAAAGGATTTGATAAACACGTTAGATACGTTGATTGAGTTTAGTTTTGTAAAACATATTGTTACTGAAGACGATATACGATAAACACCTTTAGTTGGAGGTACAGTTGATGATAATTTGTGATATTACCGGTTAATCAATTGTTGGAATGAATGGGTGATTCATTCATAATTATTAGCTATTATCGTTTGTTGATATTGAGCAAAAACAGCAAACATCATTGATTGGTTACCTAATGGTTGTGATAAAAGTGTCATCTAGTCAGTATGGCAAAAGAACATTGAGTTGAATTTGTGTTACTCTCCCTCCATCTAGTTGTGATTGTTTTCCTTCATTGGTAGCCTTTCCGTTTATTATTATTTTTGTCATTTTAATTAACTTAATATTTTATTGGGTTGATGTTTCATAATTAAAGTGAACAATGACGGATCTTGATAAATGGTTAGAAATAACGAAAGAATGTAGATATCTTCCAGAAAATGATTTAAAGGTATGACACTAATTTTTTCCATCTCTTTTTCATATTGCTTTTTCAATGTATCATTTTACCTTCTTGATCAATATTTTTGTTTATTGGTCTCGCTATTATTATCATTAATTCATTACTTTATCATCACTATCCTTATTCATTTGTCTTCATTATCTTGACCATTGTTTACCAATTTCAAGTCTCGACCTTCGCTTGTTTTTATCTTTGATATTGCTCATCAACCTTTGTTTTTTTTTATTTTTTAGCAACTATGTGATGCTGTAAGTGAAATATTGCTCGAGGAAAGCAATATCCAATCTGTCAGTACACCGGTAACTATCTGTGGGGACATTCATGGACAATTTTATGATCTCCAAGAATTATTTCGTACGGGTGGAGAAGTAGGGGATACAAATTATATCTTCTTGGTGAGTTGCTATGAAAGCTAGCCAATAACCTTTTTCAGTTGCCTTTGTTACAGGGTTTACATTTTAATCGTGTTTTACTTATCTAACGTTCATGTTGTTTATTTATACAGGGGGATTTTGTGGACAGAGGCTACTTCAGTTTAGAAACTCTAACTAGACTTTTATTATTGAAAGCTAGATATCCAGAGAAAATCACTCTACTCCGTGGTAATCATGAAAGCAGACAAATTACAAGGGTTTACGGCTTTTATGGTAAGTTCAATTTGGAGAGGAAAACACTTACTTTATCAGTGTCTGATAACTCATCAATAGTGATTTAAGTGATCACTCGTGCTTTTGATTATCAACTTGAATTGCTTGGCTCAAAATTAAGGAATATGACATCATGTTCAGATCGTTTTCGGAATTGTGTATCATAGAATGATGTGGTAACCATATCATGTGCTTTCTTTGATATGTGATTGGTACATCATCGTCAATTCAATTATTTATCTGGACCTAGAGTTATTCAATTTCGCCATCATACCAATTTAATTTCTCTGCATTGTACCTTTCAATTATGCAAAGAATTTTCTTTCATCTTCATCTTTATCACCTTTATAACAGCTGATTTGGCTCACAAGAATTTTCTTTATTTTCCAGATGAATGTTTAGCTAAATATGGTAATGCAAATGGATGGAAGTATTGTTGTAAAGTTTTTGATCTCTTAAATATAGCTGCAGTAAGTAAATGTCAACATATTTCATGTAAAAATAATTTATTAATCAAATTTGCATTTCGTTTCCTGTGCAGATAATTGATGATAAAATCCTCTGTGTTCATGGAGGATTATCTCCTGAAATTAACTTATTAGATCAAGTTCGAACCATTGAAAGGAACCAGGAAATACCTTATAAAGGTGCATTCTGTGATCTCGTTTGGTCCGATCCTGATGAAATTGATACTTGGTCTGTTAGTCCTAGAGGAGCTGGTTGGCTCTTTGGTTTTAAAGTCACAAATGAGGTATTTTTCAAGATCTAAATTCATTTATCATGTTCCTTATTATTTACTTTACGCTTTTTTTCCTAGTTTATGCATATGAATGATCTCAAGTTAATTTGTCGAGCTCATCAACTGGTACAAGAAGGGTACAAATACATGTTCGATCAACAATTGGTAACAGTCTGGTCTGCACCCAACTATTGTTATCGCTGTGGCAATGTTGCTGCAATTCTTTCCTTCCAAGATGCTAACACTAGTTCAGTCAAAATATTCTCAGCAGTACCAGATCATGAGAGGGAGGTTCCTAAAAGTATTATTACTCCTTATTTTCTATGATCATTGTGTAAATGTACAAAATCATATTTATAATTAGTGCAAATCTAATAATCATGGTTTGATAGTCAGTTAAAGGGTTTTCTTTGTTAATAAGAGCATGAAATTTTACGCGTGATCACAATATCGATGAAAATGACCTTTCAGCTACATAAACTATGAGTGTGAAATCATAACGATAATGTTGCTGAACTGACAGTATAAGAAACAAAAGTCAACATTCTTTGTTTTTTTTTCTTTGTTATTATCATGTTTTCTTTTTTTTCATACATGTATTAAGGAAGATGCTTACAAAAGATGAATAATTATTTTAATTCTCTATTCAGTGCAAATAAATGCTCACCAGTCAATGAAAGTTAATACCGACCAAATCAATTTTTCGCTCTAATTTCATCTGCAAACTTTTACCCTTTACTTCTCCCTAAGATCCTCAAGAATCAGCTACTAATTCAAGAGATTTAATACACTTCAATAATAAGCTGATTTTCTAAGTTGTTTTAATTTTCTTACCTTCATATGCTAAGTTTCAATTCTTGAATTAAATAAAATTGATTCATGTTTTATTTGAAATAAATGTCCATTTGATTAAAATTGCCAATTCATAAATTGAGAGATTCTCAAGAGTAAATTAAATTCCACAGTCATGTTTGATAATTTTCTAGTCACTATGAATGAATGAAAATAAAACATCTTGAAATCCAATCATGTTTTCATTTCAAACATATGATTTGATAGGATAGATTGAAATGTAAATCTGTTGACTTTAATGTATTATGCTATAAGATGAAAAGAGTTTATTAAAAATCAGAAATTTAGATAATCTTAAGTAAAATTTCCTTTAGGTCAGCATGCGAAGTCAAACTAATGTGTTGAATAAAAATCAGTCTGTTGTCTACTTGTATTGTCCCAATTATGTCTTTCCATTAGGAACTTGAACTTGGAGTTGAGCTTGAGGACGAAATTTTTTTTTGTAGCTCTTCCAATCTTTCGATTACGGCAAGTAATTGTTGTTCATACGTTAATTTTTGCAAAATGTCTCTGTGCGAGGCTGTTTTATATAAAGCAAGTTTACTTTGATCGTATCTTTCGTTATAACATGAATAAAAGAATCGATCGATTTCAGTTCTTGTTGCTCTCTCTATTTCAAAACCGAAATTTTCCTTATCTCCTAATGGCATGTTTTTCGCATAGAAGTCTGTAACGCTGCTTACACCTTCAACATAACTCAGCAGATCCATGCCTAAAAGAAGGTCGATCGATAAACTCGGATCTATGAAAACAGGCACAAATACAAATTTGTTTCGGTAATAAAACTTGATTGGTACGCAGACATTACAATCCAGTGGATAGTTTTTCCTGGAAAACTCTACATCGATGATAGGATAAGCTATTAAGCCCATTTTTTCAGCCCATTTACTCCTCATTAATGTACAAGGTGACATAGGGAAAAGTTGACTTGCCAGCGAAAACTCTTCACCACGAACTTTCACAGCTACTTTGGGATGGTTAAAATTTTGAAGTATTTCACTTTCATTTGAAGAGAAAGTTGAGAAGACGTCTATTTTTCCACTCGGCGGCTTTAAGATGTCAATGCTTTTAGTCAGCTTTATCGGTGAGTTTAGACTTGATTGGCCACTGGTTGAAGCCTTTTTCGGAGAAGGTGATTGAGGTTCACGAAAATTGCGATCTTGCAAAGAGTGACAGTTAGGTATTCTGGAAGTATGTTTCTTGCACTGTGCGCACCAAGACTGTGAACTACTCATAGTTTCTGGTTAATGTGATGTATTTATATTTATGCAGTCTGAGCTGATATTAATCCTCTTTGAGTTGGAAAACACGAATCTTTACATTTACAATTTAACTGTCCATCTATAGATTAAATATTATAAAAAACTGAACGAAGATACGACCCGATTAATGTACGGTGAACAGCCACTTTCCAATATGTAAGAATTTGTTGTTTGCTGAAAAAAAATTACAAAATGAAAATTAGCCAATATTATTATGAATTGGTAAACTTGCCTTCAAAATTATCACAAAATTTAAAGTAAACTATCGACCCGATGTTTAATATGAAAAAAATTCAGCGTCAAAATCAATAAGCATGGAGTTATACGAAAAATAGTCACTTACTAGTCAAGGTGTTAAAAGGTGAAATGTAAAGGATTAAGAGCAACTGTTTCTTTTTATTAAGCAGCTTTATAAAGGGCGCCAAATCAATCAAATTGAAAATTAATATGAACTTTTGCTTGTATAACCATTTTGGTAGTAATTTTAATTTCATGTCATCTATTTGATTGCAATCTGCCAACTTCTCTTAAAAATTAAATTAACCTTTGGTCTTTTCTAGCTAATACCGATTTTGATTCTTTATGGATCAACAAAAAGGATCTAATAAAACACTTTATTATTTGGTTAATCAACCGAACTATTATAAAAACAAGCTCAATCTGGATTACCTCGACTCATTGAGTTTTAATCAAATTTGAATTGTTTATTATCAATAGATGAGGTTAAGGATTTGTCTTGTTCATTCAACAAGATTCAATCACTTGGTTTTCAAAATTGATGAGGCATTTTCATCGCTGAAATTTTCCGATTTGCATTGTTCAATAAGAGTTTGATTTACTTTTTAGATGACGATAGTTGGTTCAATAGTCTAATTTTGCAGTTAGTCAATGATTTGGAGAGGGTGAAACGTTGACTTGTAAATATTTTTAAAAGGCCACCTTTGTTTCGAGCCCTTGAAAGGCAAATATCAAGACATTATGATTCTACTTATTCCCTGACGATTGTTTAACTACTTAAATCAGATATACTCATTAAGTATATGTGTTGATTGAAATTCAATTTATTTATCCAAAATTATTTTTTCAATGTAAAATGATTGTATTATTTTCGATTATATTGATTTTTATTATTTTTTTATTATTATTTACAAATTAGTAGAGTACTAAATACTTATTGATAATACTTTACAAATATTAGATTCAATTGATTAATTGACCATACAGATTGAATGAATTGAGTGCAAATATGGAATACTAAGTATTAAGTGATTAACTATTCAGCAATTGGTCACTTTTGCTTGTTTATCAACAACCACTTGTTTTTTATTGCAATTGTTGTTTCCTTCGATCTCATGCTGCTGGGGACTGGAGAATAGTTTTTTCAATAAATTGACTGTTGGAAACTCGATGAGCAATGTAGATAACATGGCGATTGAATAAATTATGAAGTACATTGGTATGTAATGGAACCAAAAAACGTCACTGTATGATGGATAGGTTAATGTACGAGCTGTCGCAGATCGAAGACGAATTATCAGAAGATTTGTACAAAGTACAGATAGATTTATTCTGGAAAGAATGCGAAATGTTGGGCGAGAAAGAAAATTAGAAACTGATGAAGCATAACCCAATTTGAGAATCAAAATAATCCAAGCCCAACCAATTGCCCAAATTGTTTTTGAAACCGTACCATAAGCCAATGCAATTTTATATTCAGGGTCGATTCCAAATCGATTGACTACATATTCATAGGTAAAGTTCAACGAAAGGCAAAATAGGCAAACCAACCAACCAAACCCAAGAGTCAACTTTAAATAAAAAGTAAAAAATATTAATAAAAGTATTAATGAAAGCATAAACGAATGAAGAAAACTGTTTCAGGAAAATGAGTAAAATAGTGAAATATTCAACTAACTTGAGACAACTTGAGCTTAGGTCGAGATAAAAAGTAACCGAAAAGGACTCCGACAAAATATGGACTTATATGAGGCCAAGGTTTAAGATTAAAATCAAAGCTGTATTGTAAAAATGCTTTTCGTTGGTAATTCGTGGTAATCCATGTTGTTGGAATACCAAGGAAATGGATTCCAAGTCCTGATAGGGCCAGTCCAACAAAAATTAAAATGATTGTATTGATAATGGACAGTTTTGGGTGATTTTTAAGGTAAGGTATCAGAACAAATAGGAATAAAATAGCGAGTGTAAAATCAGCGGCAAGATACCAATCGAAAAGAAGACAGACATTGACATCTTTTGAGCTATCGAACCAAAATTGATTCAACAGCAATGTAGGAAGCCATGTTTTCTCACAAGATTGTACGATTGAACCAACACCATTGTAGTCACCCCACAAAGGTCCTCCGAATTTATGACGGAAATGTTCACCATATAATATGAATTGCAAGCAAATAATCCAACCAAGAATCGTGGCGAATCGAATCCATCTTCCAATTATATAAGTAATCAAGTTTAATCGTCTCTTACCAGAAAAGAAATAGTAGCCCATGAGAAGTCCAGTTACCATGATAAAAAGGTCAACGGTGTAAGGAGCGAGATAGACCAGGATAAATATGGGATTTATTGCTACTTGTATGAATTCAAATGCATTTGTGTATAAGTTGTACATGTTTCCCATTTGGAAATGTGATAAAACAACTAGAAACATGGTAAGTACTTTGATACCATCAAGAAAGTTCATCGATTCATCTGCTGATGGTTTAATTGAAAACAGCTTTTTGCAGTTTTCTGACCAATTAAAAGAAGCTAAAAGAGAATCGTCAGGACAACGAGTTCCTACGAAATTGAGAAAAATAATCAACAAAATGATCGAAAGACCAATAACTTCAGATGGACGCCAAGGTATGCTGATTGGACTTGAATAGCATAGATCAACATCGGCTGTTAGACCAGTGTTGAATCTATCATAGAGTGCACCGACAATGAAAGTCAACTCTTCTCTTGAACATTCATTAGGAACACACAAACCAGTCGTAATGTTCATTCGACGAAGAAAATGAATATATTTTTGAAAATATTTAAATGGTTCACTTGTAAAATTGAACAATCGACTATCGTATGGGCGCATAAAACCTTCATAACCAGTCTCGTTGAATAGAGGTACATTTGTATAGAGAAGACAATACTGACTAGAATCTAATGATACACAAGTATCAAATGATCCTAAATCAGTAAATGTTCCTGATAGTAATCCACTTGGCCATTTACCGCTTGAATCGAGTCCTAAATAAATAAATGCATAAATAACAATTTAAAACAAATCATATCGTTAAATCGCTTAGAGTAAGACGTTTGATGATTAAATTTATCAATAATGTAATAAAACCCTGCTGTTAATCCTTGGAATCTTACAATTTGAAAACCGTTTTTAACTTTGGCTACTAGAAGTAATTATTCATCAGTCGTCACAATTGTATTATAATTTGAAGCTTAATTATGCCGCAGGGCTAATTATGTATCCTTCATGGCGTTTTCATGATTTTATTATAAAATTTAGTTTGCGAAATGGCAAATTCATTGATTTTTGAATTGATTTCTCTGAATTTTCTCTCTCTATTTCATTTTTAATTTTGCATTTAACATTGCTGGGAGATACGGAACAGAATCAGGCCTAACTTCTAGTTTTCAACCCATGATCGAATACAAAAACCCTCGAGTTAATGAAATCATATATAAATGAGGAACTTAAAACTTTATTTTAATCCTAAATTAAGTCAAATTCAAGGATAATCGAATGATAGTCGCATGCAAACTTGACTCTGCTTCAATTTCGGATTAATGCACTCATTTAATAATAAGAGTAATAATGGCATGATTAAATAAATATTAAATGTTTGATAGAAGGTGTTGAAATGGCCTTAGAGCAGTCATTCACGTGTTTAGTAAGGCCTCTAAGTTATTTCAACAGCGAATCAAGTTACAATGAAGTTTAAAACTTTCAGCAATGAAAAATGAATAAAAAAGTATTTGAATTCAACTTACTTTGAACCGATGTTAAATCAAAATTAAGTAGACCATTTTTATAGTCGACCAACGCCGAGTGACACTTGGAGCTTAAACCAATTGATGGCAGAATTGTTAAAAAGTCATTTTCATATTCACGAACGTAATTGATTACATTATGGTGAGTAAAATTTTCGATTTTACGCCATGAGTCAATGTAACGAGATTCAGTTGATTGAATAAAATAGATGATTGAACCAAATGTTACCAGAATTGACAGCGAGTTTAGGAACATGCTTTAAAATTACTTGATTTAGATTGATTTAAGAATGAAAAAAAACAGTTTCCAGTCAAATTGTGAATACAACGGGAACAAATTATCAAATGAAAGCAAGTTGTAGACAATTCATTAAAAACAGGATCACAGTTAATTTGAGATTACCATCAAACTGATCTAATGATGCGAACAAGTTTAATTTCAAGTTCACAAAATGGAAAAATTTGCTCCTCTAACGTCTACCTGAGCAAAATAATTTATTGTAATTAATATCATATTCCTTTTGGTTTCAAGATTAATCTGCAATAGGTCTAACATTATAATACCCAAAAACCAGATTGAGTAATTTTCCGTTAATTCAAGGTTGAAGGTTAGATAAGGTAAGAAGAGTAAAGAAGAGTAAAGAGAAAGCAATAGATGAAAAAGTAGACAAATCAGAAGACTTACCTTTTGGCTTGCCAAAAATATTTGAATTGGTCATAAAGTCGATGATGATTGACAAGATTAGTTAACTGATGTGGAGTGTTAATATTAAAATAACATATCCACAAATATAAATTAAATTCACTCGGTTAGTTAAGTAGAGCTTTCAAAGCTTATCACTTTCACATTAATTTACGGTTATCACTAACACAGTCAAAAATGGCTAGACTGTGGACAGAATTATATTAAATGTAATTTTTTGATAGAGTTTGAGGCGGAGAAGATGACTGAATCGGTGGTGGGATTGATAATGTAAATGGATGGTGATAGTGGCGATGTTGCTTGGTGGTGAACATTTTCTAGGTTTAGTTCACTGTCCGGAGAAAGGCTTGGAGGGGAGGTTTACATCAAGTTACCAAGACCAGCGGAAAATTTTCCCTCTTTTACAGTATAATCTTATCTATGTTTTTCCCCCTTTTCTTTTCCCTTTCCATTCTACTTTCTTACTTTACCTTTGCTTTGCCTCTGGTTTTGGGTAAACTTGATAATCTTTTTCTTGTTTTTCTTCTTTTTATTTTTCATTTTAACTGTAGATTTATTTTTTCTTTTTTTCAACTGTTATTAAAATATGTTTTGATATTGAAATATATATGTTATGGTGTTAAAATATGTAATTATCTCTGTGTCCATCGTTTGTTAACAGCAAAGTATCAATGCTTTTGTGTTTTCTGGTCAAATATGTCTACCATAACGAGGTAAAGACAAAAGATCCACCAATGGTAAGATGTTTTTTTCTGCTACGAAATTTGTGAACCCAAATCAACTCACTTAGTGACTTTCATCTTTTCAGATCAAGATTTTTGCTGAAAATTTTATTGGATAATACCTTTTTCTAGCCTTTATTCAATATTGGTAAATAGCCATGGGCAATTCAACAAAAATACGAGAGCATTGCTTTACAAAGAGTGCTCTGTAGTTTGGATCATTTCAACAACTTGTTGGATTCGTTTGCAAAAATCAAAATGGATTGAGATGGACAATTTTCATAGGCAATTTTGATGGACAAGATTGAGACTTACGTATGATTCTTTTGATTGATTGGACCCATCTACTCAAGGAATACGCAACAAATTGAAATCATCATGGGAAGGAAAGATTTTAAAGATTTTCTTGTTAAATTGGTATTCTCAATCTTACTTGGTTGTTGGTTGATCTCACAAAACGTCATCATAATTACAAACCATGTTAACAAAAAGGATACACCAATTTTTTTCAACTCTCGGCGAAATTGATCATTCAATCTTTTATTCATTTTCAGAATCATACTTTTCCTTTTGAATTGTTCAATTTGTATTCATTTTGATTCAATCATTTCAACTCTCGTGTTTACCGGCAATTAGATTTAATAGAAAACTGAAGAAATATGGAAAAGAAAATTCAAGTTCTAGACAGTTTTGGGAATTTTTTGTCTTCAATCCAATCCTTCTACATATGTATATTATAATTGAGTAAAAAAGTCGAGTTTAGATTTTCATAACAGTTCTGATTGTTGAAGGTAAAGGTAAAACCAATTGACTTTGTAAATTGAATGATTAATGATTTACTTTCATTTCAATTCATGTTTGTCAAGAGAACTAATAACTAGAATACTAGCTGATAATTTTAAATGATAATGAGTTTACATAGTAAATGAGAATGAAAATAGGGAACTAAATACATTTTTTTGTTTTTTTCCTTCAATTATGCAAAGTTACAGTTAAATTTTGCTATCTTTTTAATTCTAATCCGAATAAGATTATATTGAATGGTCCTTGAGGCCTCAATGAAAAGCCTCAAAAACCATTTGAGATACGATTTGGAAAAATTAAAACAAAAAGTGTAACTGATGCTGTAATTAAACTTAAACGATATAATCTTGAAAAAGAAGTGTCAATTGTGATCGAAGTTAATTTGATTCAAGTGAAAGAGTAGAAGCTTAAATTATAAAATAACGTTAAACCTTGATTTTCGATTATATTTAGTAATATCCAGTTCAATTCTCTGATCAAAAAACTGAAAGATCGATTCCAAGTCAAGCTTTCAACACTAAAAACCATGTAAATTCAATTTAAATTAGATCAACTCATATGGCTTTAGATTTGGATGTTATTAGAATCATGTTTAGCATTACTTCATCGGCATCAGCTCTTTTGGCAATTCAAGAGGTCTATTCACTTTCTTCGCAAAATGGCCAAAATCTGTCTTAATCTTTCAGTAAATGGCAGCCGATCTTTTAGCGAGTACTTGAATCTTTAGAAGGTTGAGCTCATTCAAAACGATGTGATTTCGAGCGATGAGAAAGCGATCGCATCAAAACTTTCAAAGCCTTTAGAGTACTCTTTTCAATCATCCCTAAGCTGATGTATCCACAAATGAATATCATTTCAGACTAAACTAATACACTTCATCTGCCAAATTGTCACCTCATTTTGACCAGGATAGCACCAGATATAAATCGCTTACAAAAACATCTATTTGAAGTCGGACAAAGAAGACACAATTTACTGAAAGAGGTTGATTTTATTAATGAATAAGGATCAACCTAGGAGCAATTGCATATGAAATTGGACAAATAAAGCTACCTAGTTTCAAACCTTAATAACCAACTTATTGAATCTTTCAGTTTAATTTGTTTCTATTTCCAAAATCAGATTAATTTATTAACGTAATTTATTTAAATAAAATCAACATTTTTAAAATGTTTATTAATCAAATTAAATTGTTGATTGAAAACTATCAACAGTCAAGAGTTAAATGAATAACATCAGTCGAAAGCTTGAAATCAATCTAATTAATTATCAACATTTGCAAGTTTTAATCATTGCCATCATTTAATTATTCAGATTTGAAGTTAAGGAAAACTCGTTTTTTACCCTTTTCTATGAGATTTTTCATTTTATTTAAATTTGAAAATAACATTCAACAAAATCCTTTCTATGGAAATTCAATGTTAAAGGAAACGCTAATCGTCAATGTTTTTGATTATAAAACTAGATTCAAATTAATGAGCAAGATTTGACTGATAAATTTTATTAATCATAATATTCTAATGAGCTATTTATCAGGATTTGAGACTTGGTAGCTTCATTTGCGGCACCCCAATACACTTGTAAAATAATCAAACCCGAAGTCATTAATTATCAAGAAAATCCATTGAACTGTAATTGTTGGAATAACATCACGAGATTAGCCCATTAAAATTTAAATAATGACATTTAGATAGTTTTCAATCATTACTAACCTTCGTTCACCTTAAATTGATGGTCAGTTCAAGAGAATCTATTGATCAAGTTGACATTTCGATTAGCATGATTAGTTTGATTTTGATTTGAGGATCGAGTCGGATCATTGAGTTAGATTACTACTTGAAGTCAATTTAGGGTTACATTTGGAATACAGAAATATGGTAAATATAGTTGAAAGGTTTACACAATTTATGAACAATTGAAATCACTTTTACAAATATTGTTGTTTTCCTTGAAACCAGGTAAATGATGATTATGAGGTTGAGCGTAATTACAATCAATAGTATGATTACATTCAGTGATTTATAAAAAGGGAAATCTCTTGACCATTTACTGTATAGAAATTATATCCATTAGTCCATGATTGTCGAGGTAGCTGTGAAAAATTTGATTGTTTCAAGAGACGGATTGAATCGTGTTTAAATAGTCGAATCAAGTTGTTTGAGAAAATAAATGCAATTACAATCAAATTCGTTGTTTTGTATGTAACAAACATTTTGATTGCTAAGAAAATTAGTGTTCAGTAATACTGACGATCATTTTTCGCACAAAAAATATAGCTGTTTATTTATAAAATAGTCTGAGATGAAATAAACTCTTTCCGAGGTTTTCAATTGATTGATTGAAACAAATGAGTATTGAATATTAGTTGATTAAGCATTTCATAAATCATGATGATTTACTTCCATTTTTTGTTGACTGTGTTGTTTCGCACTGCAACTGTCGACTGCAAGTGCAATAATTTTGTCTCAAGTCTCAGGTTGCCGTGATTTTGGCTTCAAGAAGAGCCTCTTCAATAAGTTGACGGTTGGAAATTCAACTAGCAATGCTGATACCATGGCAGCTGCATAGATTATTATGTATATTGGTAGATAATAGAAGAGCAAAACATCACTGGATGATGGAAAGATGAATGTACGAGCCGATGCAGATCGAAGACGAATAATCAGCATATTAATACATAGTACTGAAAGATTGATTCTGGAAAGAATGCGAAATGTTGGACGAGAGAGAAAATTGGAAACTGATGAGGCAAAACCCAATTTGAGAATCAAAATAATCCAAGCCCAACCAATTGCCCAAATGGTTTTTGAAACCGTACCATAAGCCAATGCAATTTTATATTCAGGGTCGATTCCAAATCGATTGACTACATATTCATACGTAAAGTTCAACGACAGGCAAAATATGCAAACTAACCAACCAAAGACGAGAGTAAACTTTAAATAAAAAGTAAAAAATATTAATAAAAGTACTAATGAAAGCATAAACCATTAGAGAATATGCCAAATATTCAACTAACTTGAGATAGCTTAAGCTTAGGGCGAGATGAAATATAACCGCATAGGACTCCGACGAAATATGGACTTATATGAGGCCAAGGTTTAAGATTAAAATCAAAGCTGTATTGTAAAAATGCTTTTCGTTGGTAATTCGTGGTAATCCATGTTGTCGGAATACCAAGGAAATGGATTCCAAGTCCTGATATGGCCAGTCCAACAAAAATTAAAATGATTGTATTGATGATGGACAGTTTTGGGTGATTTTTAAGGTAAGGTATCAGAACAAATAGGAATAAAATAGCGAGTGTGAAATCAGCGGCAAGATACCAATCGAAAAGAAGACAGACATTTACATCTTTTGAACTATCAAACCAAAATTGATTCAACAGCAATGTTGGAAGCCATGTTTTTTCACAAGATTGAACGATTGAACCAACTCCATTGTAGTCACTCCAAAAAGGTCCACCAAAATATTTGTGAACATGTTCGCTGAATAATACGAACTGTAAACATATAATCCATCCAAGAGTCGTGGCGAATCGAATCCATCTTCCAATTATATAAGTAATCAAGTTTAATCGTCTTTTACCAGAAAAGAAATAGTAGCCCATGAGAAGTCCAGTTACCATAAGGAAAAGGTCAACGGTGTAAGGCGCGAGAAAGAGGAAGATGAATATGGGATTGCTTGCAATTTGCATCAATTTGAATGAATCTATGTACAAGTTGTACATGTTTCCCATTTGGAAATGAATTATTATAACTAGGAGCATGGTGAGTACTTTGATACCATCAAGAAAGTTCATCGATTCATCGGCTGATGGTTTAATTGAAAACAGCTTTTTGCAGTTTTCTGACCAATTGAAAGAAGCTAAAAGAGAATCGTCAGGAGAACGAGTTCCTATGAAATTGAGAAAAATAATCAACAAAATGATCGAAAGACCAATCACTTCAGATGGACGCCATGGTATGCTGCTTGGACTTGAATAGCATAAATCAACATCGGCTGTTAGACCAGTGTTGAATTTATCATAGAGTTTACCGACAATGAAAGTCAACTCTTCTCTTGAACATTCATTAGGAACACACAAACCAGTCGTAATGTTCATTCGGCGAAGAAAATGAATATATTTTTGAAAATATTTGAATGGTTCACTTGTGAAATTGAACAATCGACTATCGTATGGGCGCATGAAACCTTCATAACCAGTCTCGTTGAATAGAGGTACATTTGTATAGAGAAGACAATACTGACTAGAATCTAATGATACACAAGTATCAAATGATCCTAAATCAGTAAATGTTCCTGATAGTAATCCACTTGGCCATTTACCGCTTGAATCGAGCCCTAAAGAAATTTTAAAACATTATTATAAAATCAATTCACAAATGAAAAAAGTTAGGTCTAAAGTAATAAAATCAAAATTGATACCCACTTTGAACCGATGTTAAATCAAAATTAAGTAGACCATTTCTATAGTCGATCAACGCCGAGTGACACTTGGAGCTTAAACCAATTGATGACAGAATTGTTAAAAAGTCATTTTCATATTCACGAACGTAATTGATTACATTATGGTGAGTAAAATTTTCGATTTTACGCCATGAGTCAATGTAACGAGATTCAGTTGATTGAATAAAATAAACGATTGAACCAAATGTTACCAGAATTGACAGCGAGTTTAGGAACATGCTTTAAAATTACTTGATTTAGATTGATTTAAGAATGAAAAAATGTATGTATGAATACCTAAATTGTTCACAACGAGAACAAATTTTCAAATGAAACCAATCGACAGAATTCGTCTCTTTTATAAACTAACGATTGAATGACTCAATAAATTTGTTTTGATTTACGGTTATCACTTGAACAGTTAGAAAAGGCCGGATTAGACAGGATTTATTGCATTTAAATGATTTGATTTTAAAACGTCAAAGATTCTGAAGTGATCGTGGCGAAGGTTTACTAGGTTTAGTTTAGGCTTGAAAAGCAGGTTCTCCTCTTTTATCGCAAAATCCTACAAAAGTGCATTCAATGGTTCGCTGGGCTAATCTCTAAATAATTTATTCTAATATATGATTTAATCTTCATTTTTTACAACGGAACGAAAATTTTTTTTGTTTTTTGAGGTGTTAAAGACAACGAGTACTGTAGCATGTAAATACCATTTGTAGTGTCCTCTCATTGCTAACCTTGAAGTTGAAAGGAGTTTATCAATTGAGTCAGCAATTAACATTTTATTTAAATTAGCATATTTTCAGCTGGATAATGAGGAAAATCGCAACTCGAATTCCTGATACAATGGGTTCATGATTTGCATAACTGAACATATCTAATGCCTAACTAGCTAGAAAATGTAGATTGACAAATCGTCCCGAAAATACTTGTCTACACTAGAATATAGCAATCTATGACTTATTACAGCATCATTAGTAATGAATTTATTGTATAAGATTATATTCATTGATACACGATTAGAATGATTGAGATGAAGTTTCTCCAAAAAATTGATTGTCGAGGCATCTTTGAAAAATTTGATTACTTCAAGAGACGGTTAGCTGAGATTGAATCGTGTTTAAATAGTCAAATTAAAGTTGTTTCGTGGTAATGATTTCGAGTTTTGAGCTCTAAAAATTTGTCATTTGTTTTATTAAAATAATTTTCAATGTATTAACCGAACTAACATCCTTGCACTTTAAGCTTTTGGAATTTCGATTTTCCTTTTCTTATTTGCGCTTTTAGATGATAAACTATTTGATAGAAGCCCAGTTTATGAGGAAATCAATTCAATTTGAGACAAAACTGCAAAGGCAATCAAGATGAAGCTCATTTTGGGCAAATGTGATGCATTTTTCAATTGAACACCTTTTTCAGTGTAAACTGTTACCATGTCAACCTCCACTTTCAAGTCAAAGACGCTTTTAGATGCATCAATATTGATACTTGAATCACCCAACACAAATGGAGTAGCCCATGAGCATATTTCGGAATCGATTATATCTGGTTCTATAAGTTGATTGTCGATAGAAATTCGATCAGTATCATTGCTAATGTAACCTTTTATTACACCTGCATAACGATATGATTCAAATTGTAATTTGATTCCATCTTTTCTCGTTAGCGTTACAGTCAACTGATTACCATTGTCTTTCCAATAATAAAGTTGATAGCGAATTTGTTTTTCGGTTTGGTCAAAATTGAGCAGAAACACATCATTACCATGAACCTCATTGCAGCACTTAAGATACTGAGCGTGATAAATAGGAAGCTGACTAGTGTCTCGAGCAACTGAGATTCCCATTGAGTCGTGATAAAGTGTTATTGATTGTGAACTGTCTTTGAACAGATCTAAACCCTGTGGCCAGATAGGATCATCAATATTGAAAATCCAAGTACAATATAAAACACCATCCAAGTAATACGATGAACCAGTTATTGAATTGAAGCTGCCTCGATCATACCTTGCATAAGTTGACCCAAGAGACGATTTATAACAAGTATATAAATTTGCAGGATGTTTGCCAATGCTCGCTTTGATTGTTTTTTCATCATTTGAGGCTACATTATATCCTTTCAGGGTTAATTGGAGATAATCATATTCACCAAAAACTGGAATCACTTTGAATTGAGCTGTAACCAGATTATTGTTTGAGCAAACACCAGAACCATCACTTGATATACAATAAGTTTTGGTTAAACAATCATCATTACATTTAGCTTCAACTTGAAAATTAATTAGGATAAAAATGAACAACAATGAGAAACACTCTTTAATCATTTCTAAGAATTGGTGTGTTTTTCACCTACCTGTAGTTTGACACGTTAAAAGCTTTGGAAGCGACTAATTAATAATGGAAAAATTAAGGCGTATTTATCATATATTCATTGATTTTATCGTCTATTTGTTAATGAATCAAATCTATGATCTCCTTTAAACTCCGAGTTTATTGGGTATAAAATATTGAAATCTTTTCGTTACATAAACGATGTGCAATGTTTTGATAAAATGTTTTTTTCGGTTCAATGTGAAAATCTTGATATACAATCAATCCCTCACTAAATTATCTTGAAAAAGTCCAAGATTCCAATTTTTGATTTGGTTTGAAGTCACAAAATTTTCTGTCGCATTATTTTCTGACTTGAATTTTGTTTTTAATAAACTCTAGAATATTGCTGTATGCATCAAGAACTTGTACAAAATAAACTTGTATTGAAATATTCAAGTTGGCATTGTTTTAATTTGATCAAAAGATTATTATACAGCTACAGAAATTGAGTTTGCAAACATTTATCTTACTACTCTACCATACTTTAACACGAGTGGAGATAGGTCTGAAAAGAAGATTTTCCCTCCTTTTTAGCACGAAATTTTACACAGATGCTTTTAATGACTCGAATAATTTGAATTAGTAATGTTGAAGGATATCACAAACCATTTAAATATAATTTGAATGCGTCCACTCATTGCTTACCTTGAAGTTGAATGGAGTTTATTGATTGAGTGTAAAGGTTTTCATTTTTTTTGGTTGTAAAATGAGGAAAAATCTTGGTAAAGGAGGATGTCAAAAAGAATAGGCAATAATTTTCATAACTAGACGTATCTGAGGCCTAGATAAGAAATAAAATTGAATTGTCCAAGACAATATTCGTCTAAAACCGAGACTATCTATTCACTCTTGTCTACACTTGTTCATTTTTTGCCATTAAATTTTGAGCTAAAATGAACGCATCACTACAGTTCGCTTTAGGTTATTCTAGGAGCCTAAGTATGGTACCATTCAATGGTTTATGAATTAGGAAATCTCTTCAACTTAACCATCTGCATAGTTGGAATTATACTAATTGGTACATGATTATCGAGTAATATATGAAAAACTGATTATTTTAAGAAACGGATAGTTGAGATGAAATCGCGAGAAAAAATTGGTCAAGTCAAGTCAAGTTGTTTGAAAAAATAGATGTAATTATTACAATCAAATTCGTTGTTTTACATGTAAAATACATTTGTATAGCCAATAAAATTAGCTGTCGATATTTTTGTCTTTTTGAAAGTCAAACCTGAGTATCAGGTGAAAATAATATGCGTAAAATATATCATTATATGAATTCATGTCTATATCTGATTAACTGTTATTAGTAATAATTATTCTGGTAACAGCCAACTGCATGTCTGATGAATTGTCCTCACTAGGAGTTTTGTCGTTGTTTTTACTTGGTTTTCTGGAGAAAACTCTTCTCAGCAAATTAACGGTTGGAAATTCGACGAATACCGCCGATAAAATGGCCATGGCATATATTACTATATACAAAGGAAGATAGTGGAATAACAGAGCTTCTGTGTATGATGGATAAGTTAATACTCGAGTTGAGCCAGATCGAAGTCGAATGATGAGTAAGTTGGTACATAGAACAGTCAAATTAATCCTGGATAATATTTTAAATCTTGGATGCGAAAGAAATCGTGAAACTCTTGGGAAATAACCTAATTTAAGAACTAAAATGATCCAAGCCCAGCCTAATGACCAGATTGTCTTGGAGGCAATGCCGTAAGCTAGAGCAATTGGATATTCAGGATCGATTCCAAATCTATTAACAATATATTCATAAATAAAATTAGCTGATAAACACAAGAGACCTGTAATCCATCCAAGAGTTAGGAGTATCTGGAAGAAAAATGAAAGTGTAAATAATTATTCATAAAAATATCAAATTATTGGAAATACCTTCGATAGTGATAATTTTTGGTTGGATAAAATATAACCAAAAATGACTCCAACAAAATATGGACCCATATGTGGCCAAGGTTTCAAGTTGAAATCAAAACTGTATTGGATTAATGGTTTCATTTGGTAATTCGTAGCTATCCATGTTGTTGGAATACCAAGAAAATGAATTCCGAGTCCAGATATTACAAGTCCAGAAATAACGAGAATGAACGCATTAATGATAGCAATTTTACGATAATTTTTAAGGAATGGTAACAAAACCAACAAAAACAAGATTGAAAGCATAAAATCGGCAGCAAGATACCAATCAAATAACAAACAAACATTGGCATTATCAGAGCTATCAAACCAGAATTGACTCAGTAATAAGGTCATAAACCAGGTTTTTTCACAAGACTTTACGATGGAACCAATGGCACTAAGGTCACTCCAGAAAGGTCCACCGAAATATTTGTGAAAATGTTCACCAAATAACACAAATTGCAAGCAAATTATCCATCCAAGAAGGGCAGCAAAACGAAGCCAGCGCCCAGTAATATAATTCAAAATGTTGAAGCTTCGATTTCCGGAGAAGTAATGATAGCCCAATAGCAAGCCGGTTACCATGAAGAAGAGATCAACAGTGTAAGGAGCGACATATACAAAGATGAAACCTGGATTAGAGGCGATCTCGATGAAATTAAAAGATTCCTTGTACAGATTATACATATTTCCCATTTGAAAATGTGAAATAACGACAAGAACCATAGTAAAGACTTTGATTCCATCAATAAAATCTATTGTTTCGCCAGATGAACTTGAAACTGTGAGTAGTTTTCGAAGATTCGCGCCACAGTTGAAGCATTCTCCTACAATACAATTTTTTGACACGAAAAGACCGGTAATATTGAGAGCTACTATTATTAAAATAATTGCCAGTCCAATGACTTCAGATGGTTTCCACAATACGCTCTTTGGTTTAGAATAACAGAGATCCACATTAGCAGTAAATCCAGGACTTAATTTTTCGTAGAGTTTACCGACAATGAAAGTCAACTCTTCTCTTGAACATTCATTAGGAACACACAAACCAGTCGTAATGTTCATTCGGCGAAGAAAATGAATATATTTTTGAAAATATTTGAATGGTTCACTTGTGAAATTGAACAATCGACTATCATATGGGCGCATAAAACCTTCATAACCAGTCTCGTTGAATAGAGGTACATTTGTATAGAGAAGACAATACTGACTAGAATCTAATGATACACAAGTATCAAATGATCCTAAATCAGTAAATGTTCCTGATAGTAATCCACTTGGCCATTTACCGCTTGAATCGAGTCCTAAATAAGGAAATAAAAATCAGTTTAGAGTTGAAAGAAGTAAAAGGGTCAAAAAGGTCAAAAGGTACAAAAGGGTAACTTACGTCCAACAGATGTTAATTCAAAATTAAGAAGACCATTTTTATAATCAATCAGCGCTGAGCGACATTGCGAGCTCAAACTATCAGATTGGATGGTTGATAAAAAGTCATTTTCATATTTACGAACGTAATTTATAACATTATGATGAGTAGCATTTTCGACTTTAAGCCACGAGTCAATGTAACGAGATTCAGTAGATTTGACCATACAGGTAAATAGTCCAATTTTCATAAAAGTTGATAGAGCAATAAACCACATTTTTAATTAGGTTGATGGTCAAAGGGATAAAAGTCAATAATTTCTAACGTTTAATATAAAATTGTGGATTAAAGTAAGTAACATTGAATGTATAGATGAAGCGGGAAAACAATGAATTACACAATGGGCATAGAGATAAAACAATAATCACTTTAAGTCAAAAATTATACTTCATCAACGTTCGATAGTAAACTTGGTATGACTAGATTGTTCAACTAGAAGGGTTAATAAATAGATGATTAGACATCAGGTGACAAAGCAACGTTTTTTGATCATTTCTCAAGGGATATTGATTGGAAGCCTGGATAAAATAGTTTTGTTGATAACAATCTCTAACACCATTGGACGATTTTTGAAGTCTCAGAAGATAAAAATTTTAAACTTTTTAACAGTAAACTGGAGTAAAGAAGCAACATTGGCCAATCAAAATAAAATGTTTACTGCTTTTGACAGTTGAATTAATTCAGTGTTTACTGAAAACATTAAAATTTAATTTAACCAATTGGATTGAAAACAATTGATTGTCCAATTCAACCAAATATTTGTTTTACTTTGGATTACAAAAGTTGGCAAGTCGATGCTCTATTTTCTTGATTTATCAAGTGTAATTGGTTCATAATTTGAAAAAAGGAAATAATTTACTTTGTAGGTTACTTTACTCTTTGATTTTGATTAGAAATATATTTAAATTGTGATAATTGTACTTTAATATTAACGATCAAAGAAAATTTGAATGCAAAGATAAGTGTTAGATATAACTTATGCTTCATGCTTTTTATGCTGTTTACTTTAAGGGAATACAGCATCACCTGGTTCATAGTAACCGCTAAATTTGTTTTAAAAGTCGGTTATAAACTACTGTCTTATTTGATCTAATCTTTTTTACATTTGTTTTTATTGAATCTAGTTGATTCTATACTATAAACAATTTTAATCATGTCTCCAGCTGCCAAATCATCTATTACCCTGAAAGGATCTGTTGCAATTGTTACTGAATTTCTTGGTTAGTATATTTTTGTTTATGCTTTGCTTTATCTCATTTTCAATCCGTTTATTTAACGCTTTTTTTTGTTTTCACTTTGCATTTCTTTGTCTTTTCATCTTTTAATTTGATTTATTATTTTTTGATTGATTAATTATTGCTTTTCTTCTCATTTATCAACAGAATTTGGAATAAACTCTATCCTTTTTCAGCGTGGCATCTACCCAAATGACCATTTCGTCCAAGTTCAGAAGTATGGCATTCCAGTGATGTTGACCAATAATGAGGAAGTTAAAAAGTTTATTAGAACAATTTTAACTCAGCTACAGAAATTTACTCTGGATAAATGTGTTCATAGACTTGTTTTGGTAATTGTTGATGTTAGAACAAACGAAACAATCGAAAAGTGGGATTTTAAAATTGAATTAACAACCAATGACGACGAAGTTACCAATGAGAAAACTGATCTCAATGAGATTCAGAAAAATATTCGCGATGTGATCCGTCAGATTACAGCTTCAGTTAGCTTCCTACCTTTCATTGATAAACTTTGTTGCTTTGATATTTTGTTGTACACTGACAAAAACACCCTTCTTCCATCGGACCAGTGGAGTGATGGTAAACCACCAATAATTGCCAGAGAAGAAAAAGTCCAATTGAGAAGCTTCAGTACAGGAATCCACGAAATCGATACAATTGTTGCTTACAAGAAAGAAGCGGTTTGAAGCGAACATAATTTTGAAAATTTGAAAAACGCTTCAAACGGCTTTTCTGCATCAAAATGGATCTTGATTTAATCCTTGGATCTTATTGTTTATTACCTCAATTTCAAAAATTTTTACTATTCTGTATTATCTTTTATCTTATGTGAATACATTTTAATATTTCAAAAGGACCAAAAAAATTTTTATTCATACAACAGTGTCTTTCTGTATAGAATATCAAATTGTGATTCCGACGTATTTTTAAGTCAGAATGTTATCGAATACAATTGAATATGATTTAGGTTGATAAAATAAATCAATACATGTATTATAATAAAGAAAAAGACATTTTCTATTAAGTAAGGTGTTGGTTTTTCCTGAAATTAATTTCCAATGTCAAGCTGTCAAAAGATGAAGCAAATGTAGTAAGTGAGATATTTATATTAAAATCAGTATTATTATTAGTATTGGGATTAGTAATTATAATAAACATAGCTTATGAATTGCTGATCTATTGACAACAAAGATTATACCAAATTAGAAAGAAATTAAAATGTAACGAACAAAATCTACAAAAGCTAATGTGAATTTATTTTTTTCAAGCAAATCTTGGTTTACATTAACTTGACTTTAATCAACTTTACGGGTAAATAAATTATATAATGGGCTATTTTGATATGAGACAATTTAATGAAAACGCTAGAATAAAGGTGTAACCCTGAAAGAAACGAACTTTCTAGAATAAAGTGTTTGAACTTGCTACTGTATCCTTGTTTAAACTTATTATAGATTATTGAGTTTGGTTTTATGTGTTTCAATACAATCTCCTAAATATCTGTTTTTTTACTCGACTGATTAATTTAGTTTATCAATAAAAAAAAGTATCTTTTCCACAAAATTATTCAATCTTGTAAGGATTAACTCTCTAAGTCTAATTCAATCCTGTCTACTTATTCGTTTAATACATAAACCTTTTCCATTTTACCTCTACTCGTGTTACTCTCCCTCTCTCTCTCTCTCTTTATCTCTCTCTTTAACATCTGATTGCTTTTTCTTTGTGATATTTTTGTTTAAAACTGGTTTTGGATTTCCCTTTCAAACACATTTCAACCACCACCTTATCTAATTACCAGTGAAATTGTGATTAAGTCAATTGTTCATCTATAATATTTATTGTCAAAAATCATGGCCCGACCAGAGGAAGCTGATCCTAGATGGATTGTTGAGGAGAGACCTGATGCTGCAAATGTTAATAATTGGCATTGGTATGTTTTTCTTACTGATTATTTATTTTATTTTTTTCTCTGTCTTGTTTTTGTCATGTTTATATTTCCATGTATTAAAATATCAGTCAGTCTAATCTAATTTTAATAAATTGTAGTCTAGATTAGTTACTTGCATAGATTAGAGGTTATCCAGAAATGTAAATATTTTTTTATAAGGCATTGGGTGTCTGCCTAAGCAGCTGATCCATAATCTTTGAGTATTTTTTATTTCTTCTGTGCTTATTTTTGTACTACTTATTCATTGTTTCATTATCTGTATGATTATGTAGGCTAGGTTTTTTATCGAGGCTACTTTCAATTGACGGCTTAGCTAAACATTTACCATGTTTCATGTGAATAATCTTCACCAACCTAAGCCTTTTTGTATAGAATAGTTTGCGTTCTGTGCTTTATGTTTTCCGTTTTCTATTTCTGATTTTCTGGATTTTTTGCTAATATTTCTCATCAAGCTTTCCTTTGGGTCCTCATATCAAATTGACTCACAGACCAAATAGTGCTTTCAAAGTCATAAAGAGGGAAAAATCAATGAATCAGTTGGAGCAAAGCGTTACGTTAAGATTATGCATGTATAATACGTTCAACTGCAATTGTTTGATAAATGCACCACTATCGATGTATCACAATCTTCACAAGTTCATGATTCTTGTTTATCATTCATTTGAGTCGCAGTTTTGAGATGTCATAAGTAAAAAGTCAAAAAACAGATGATCGAAAGATCTAGATCTAACTTTTCTAGCCACACTTTGATCTCCCTGTTTCAAGTTTGCTTGTTTGTTTGATATTTTTTGATTTAGCTTCAGGTTAATTGTTATATAATTTCATATCCCCATGTCAGTTGCAAAACTTTTTGCTGCGTAAACAAAGACACATTTATTTTTTCAAAAGCAGTTAAGCTGACGCTTTTTAACATAAGCCATAAGATTTTTGTATCTCCTCTCTTCATTTCATGTCTAATTTCCTCAAATCAATATGACATTCTTTTTTGATAATCCTTTACTAATAATTGCTTTCGAACTTTTTCTCTTCAGGACTGAAAAAAATGCAACTGAATGGTCTAAAAATAAAATTAAAAGTCTTCTCGAGAACTTGATAATTGACGAATCTGGTCTTGGAACATGCAAACTAACCGAAATTTCAAGCATAGAAGGTGAAGCTTTCGCCAATAATCGTAAAGCAAAGTTAATCTTCTTTTACGAGTGGAATATAAAAGCTAAATGGGAAGGTAACTTAAATGGATCGACTGCAGAGAAAACTGTCACAGGCGAAATCGAAATACCCAATTTGTCCGAAGAAAATGACCCAGAAGAAATTGAAGTTCAAGTTTTCGTGAAAAAGGGCGAGAACACTGTTGATGGTGATGCTTTGAAAGAACTAATGAGACATAAAGGAACCACATTGATTCAAAACAAACTCGGAGATTATATTAGAGAATTGAAGCAAGATTTCGCCAAAGATTTAATTTTGCCTACAAAAGATGCAAAGCAGGGCGGAAGCGTTATCAAGCATGTTGGTAAATCGCACGTGAAATCTAATTCTACCAAGATTAATGGTCTTAATAAAGACCCCAAAGATGATGAAGTTAAATCGCAATCTTTTAAAACAGTTAAACTTACCGATCATATGAAATGCCGAGCAGAAGAGCTTTTCAATTCCTTCACTGTACCTGAATTAGTTTCTGCATTCACCAGAGGAAATGCAATCGTCGAACCTCACGAAGGTGGAAAATTTAGTCTATTCGATGGAAATATAAACGGAACTTTTACCAAATTGCAACCTCACACATGTATTCAACAAAAATGGAGATTTAAAGCCTGGCCAGAGAATCATTTTTCAGATGTAAATATAACATTTGATGAAAAATCGGATGAAACTATTATTACTGTGGAGCAAACAGGAGTACCAAGTTCTGATTATGAAAGGACTGAAACAGGATGGAGAACTTACTATTTTGAATCAATAAAGAGGACTTTCGGATTTGGTGCAGCTCTTTATTAACGAAAATCCTACCTGAAAATATCTTCTTTGTTGATCATCTTTTCATTTAAATTTCAGTGGAATTTGAACGATAATTTAACAGGGAACTTTTTGTATCGAATAATTTTCTCTATTTGGTCTTCAATCCTAAAATATGCCAGTAACTTCTTCTGTTAGCCCATTGCTGCGATTATCTTCACTTTTCTTTGGCTCATAATGACCGTAATTAACAGTACTCGTTTTACTTGACATGTATTCTTGACCAATCTTTAGTCAATTTCACCATAGGACCGCACCAATCGATAAGGAGGTTTATATTTTTCGAGCTATGTGTCCAAAAGATATTACAAGAACCAGTTTTTCCACAAACTCTTTTGGTTTCAACAAAGCTGGAAGCTAATTCACCATTTTCATAAAAATTGGATTGACAACTGTTCAAGTAGTCAATAGACTTAAGATGATTTTTTTCTTTTCCATCTGAAAATTTTGAAACATTGTTAACGAAAGAAGATAATCGAATTAAATAAAACCGAGAAGATGAATATACATCCAATTCAATAATTTCATATCATTTCAAATATTCTCTATGATTATATTTCTAACTCATGGAAAGCTGTCCTCGAAGTAATAAGGCGAAATAAAAAGTGAATATCTTGCGCTCAGTTCTAAAATCTCGCTCTTTGTTTGCAATTTGTTTGCAATTAAACAGGAATAAGGGTACCGAATATACTCAAGAGCAGAATCTAACAGATGGCTTCATAAAGCATGACCGTTCAAGGAAAGGGATTGCTACAAGAGTTGTCCAAGTTGCAACTAATCAAGCTTTCAGTTAACCTAAGGTGATTAAATAAGTGCATGATAAAATGTACTCAATATCAAAATTACCTAATTTAATGTAATCTTTGATTTCATTCAACACGATGTCATTCATGAATAGATCTAGGATTCATATCATGTTAAGACATATTTATATACTGAATCAGAGTTATCGTAGCTTCAACATCTCTGATTAATATGATAAATGTTGCCAAGATCAATATTTGTATAAACTCAGTTAGCTAGATAAACCTAACTACAATAACCGTGGTAATTAATAACCGCAATAATTAACATTCACAATCGCTTTAATCAGATGCACGCATTTTTAAGTACTAACATTTAAGTTATACATTTCAAGTTCAAAAATCACATTGAGATTTATGTTCATGATCCAACTCATCATGATTTTTTACTGTGATTCAGCCTAACTTGAGAATGACTCAATGTTATACTAATGAAAATTAACATTGAGATGGATGTTTTTTTGTTACAAGATTTATACGTATGTAAATTATGAAAAGATTATTAACTAAAATTCAATTTTATTGAAGTGTTTTATTACTTAATTTAGTTTTGTTCAAACAGTGTACATTTTAAGTTATTTTTGATGATTCTCGATGAACTTTTCTATTTTTTTGACAACATTATCTCTGTTTTTCGGTGATTTCATAGAAGCAGATATTTTGGCTATCTTTTCAGCATATGATGGGTTTGATAATGTTTCATCAATAATTTTTAAAACTTTTACTTCGTCAATTTCATGAAGATTGATTCGAGAACCAATTCCACAATCAACAGCTCTCTGAGCATTATCAAGTTGATCCATGAAAAAAGGAACCACAATCAAAGGTTTTCCAGCATAAATAGTTTCCAAAAATGTATTGTTACCACCATGAGTTATAACCAAATCAACAACATCGAGAATAGCTATTTGATTGACATAATTTTCACCCCACATGTTTGGCCCTAATTCAAGTTCGTCTCCTTTAGGCCCTTTAGAGACGATGAAACGATGAGGACATTTCGACAAGATTTTAATGAAACTTTTCATCAAATCTATTTGAATGGACCCACAGGAACCCAGTGAAAAGTAAACCAATTTTCCTGGTAAATGCTTCAATGATTCAGGGATAATGAATGGTTCCACATTATCTGGTCTGCGAATAGCACAATCTAAACGAATCCATTTATCAGATCTCATTGGACCGATTTCATGGTAATCTAAAAGTTCAGGATAATGATAAATACCAAGTTGTTCAGGTTCACCATAAAACCAATTCTCAATTCTTGCATCTTGAATAGCAGGCAAAGGTAATCCATTAGATCTCCACCAAGAATATATATTTTCACGGTAAGCTTTTGAAGCTACACCAAACAACTCTCTGAACTTATTCCATTTTTCGGTATCTGTCTCTTTCACTGAAAAACCTGACCATGCTGGTGGTCCATTAGGATAGAGAGGAAGTGGGTTCATCGAGAGAAGTAATGCACAAGGAAAAGGTGCTCCATGAAAAGCTGGTTGCTTCATAATAAAATCACCAATGAACAAGTCGAAATTATTGGCATTTTCTTTGAATATAGCTTTTAGTGCACTAGTATTGCGTTCATATACATTAACCATGGAGCCAAAAATTTCGATTTCTTCTGGTGTCCAGTCTTTGAAGATGGATAATGCATCAGCTCGAAATTTATGTAAAAAATGATCGAGCCATTCAGGTGCTGAGGCAGGTTGGACATTCTCATAGAGTTTTGCATCAAAAGGAATGAACTTGAAGTTTCGTTTTTCAGCAAGCTTTTTGTAATGAACATGATTAGTGAATGTTATTTGATGTCCATATGAAGCAAGGATCTCACCCAAAGCCAGTGTACAGTTGACATGTCCGAGTCTATTGAATAAGTGAATGTTTTAAAATTTAATTGACAAGAATATTAGTTAAATTATAAAGCTAATTATGAATATATTCAATAATTAATACGGATCATAAATTACTTACGCGTCGATACTTGACATAAGAATACGATATTTTGTTTTACTGGTCATTTCTATTATTAATAGTTCAATGCAATGGGAATAGTAAAATAAACACAAATATCAATTTTCAAGTTTGAATGTTTCGCATAGTCAGAATCACACATTTATATACTCACTCAGAGTTATCATTGTTTCAAAATCTAAGATAAATAGTCATCATTTTAAGGTGAAGTTGAGATAAAATATTACCAAGATGTTACCTAAAAAGGTTGACTAAATAAGTGCATGAAAATTGTACCCATCTTGGAAGATTTGTAACATTGGCTGTGTGGTCTTGATAAAGAATAAAGGATTAATTATAATAATTCGCTAACTTTTAACTACTTTTAACTTTTTAACGACTTTTGAACGTCGATACTTGAGATAAGAATACCATATTTTGTTTTACTGGTCATTTCCACTACTAATAGTCCAATGCAATAAAAAGTCGGAGTCTTTATTCCATTATTATACATTAATATTATTGCACTTACTCAAAATTATCTTTGTTTCAATATCTATGATGATATAATCTTGAATTCAATTTGAGTACTGGTAAAGACTGTTATAACTCTTACAAGAGTTTCAATAAATATTTCAATCTCACAATGACAATCTTGTCAGTTGGAACCATCTTTTCAAAGCATAGTATCGTGAGTTTGTCTTGATCAAATGGCTTGAATATCGTACTTTTTCAATGAATAAAAGCAAAGATAAATAGTAATCATTTCAATTTCTGATTCTACAATCTGCAGAAGTTCATAGTTCAAGTCTGAGGTCTGTCACATTAACCGTTCGTGAGTTATGCCTGCATAAAGAAAAGAAAGCCCGGCACTGTGAGAATGAATGTTATCAAACTTTAAGAGTAGCGTCAAGATCAAGCTATCGGGACTGCTATTAAGGAAAATTTTATGTAAGATGATTAGAAACAACAAACTGTTGATCATTATTGATTATTCATTCAATCAAAGCAACAAAACGATACTTTCACTTGTTTTTTTGACCAAACCAGCCTTCATGATCTCAAGTAAGAGTTATTTTAACCTCAAATAGCACTTGAAAATCATCTATCATATTATGATCGTGAAAATAAATTGCGAATCGGCAAAAATTCATGGATTTTCATTTTAAGAAAACTGCTAAATTGTGCGAAGTTAAGGTCAATTTGGTGAATACAATTCAGGGCAGCATGAATTCAATTTTGCCATGTAACCATTAACGCCATCAATGGTGCAAATGCTGAAAATGATGCAAAGATGAGATTTGTTGTTTTGAATAATACTCTTTGTTTTTTAATCACTGTATCTTCCACCGAAGTCCCTTCAGCACCTTTCCTCTTTCTTTCAACTTCAGTTTATTTTATTTAAAATCTTGGATTGATCAACTGGAGCTTTGAGTTCATTTTCAACAATTATACTATTGATTTCATCGGTTATAACAGATCAAAAAATCACGCAAAAATGTTCACATTCCTGTTGACAATTTCAGCTCAAACGATGAGAGCAAAGCTACGACAATCAATAGCTCTTTGTAAGCAATCTTGTATGGTAAACTTATCTTTATTACTTTTTCTTAGAATAACATTAATTACCTGTGAGCAAGAAACTGACATAATTAAAAGATCTTGATCAATAAAAATAGTATATTCCAGCACCATTTATGATTACATCTTCATTTAGACCAAAGGTAAAAAGTGTCATCACATATGGATCCAAGTGTATAGAGTTATGTATATCTTCGTCCAAAAGCTAAAACAGTTCCACCGGTGCCATGGAAAATAACATTACAAGTAACAGTAAACCTCCACCTGTCCGTTCAAACGACCAAACACCCACAGCTCAGCAATCAAGGCAAGTAAATGTCAAGATTTAATGTTATATTCACAGTATATTGTCATTGAGCTTTCCAAACACAATGTCTATGAGCTAATCCCTTTTTGAGCGAACTGATCTAATGCCATCCAATACATGGTGTACATGGTGGACTATGGTGTAGACCATACTTTGCAATGGCATCAATCTTATGCTTAGCTTCACCATTAAACGTTTATTTTTCTCGTTTCTTTGTCTAGACGAAGTAGCGATGCTGGAAGAGGCTGGGATGTCTTTGAGACAACGATTCGTGGTGAAGATGAGTATGACTGGGCAATGTACGATAAAGTGATTAAACTGGTTAAATTAATAGTCCTGGTGGTAACTTCTTGCATTGTAATAATTAGCAGTTTAATCTCAAAAAGCACCTTTCACTTGATGGTTTCAATGATAGGCTCTCACCGATCTACTGTTTGTAATTTAAATAGTCCTGGTTTGGCTTCTGATCGTCGTTATTATATAACATTTGAATCAGAAAATGACGAGGATTATGAACAAGTGAGTAGGGAAAAAATCATCTGGAGTTGGTGTCTATTTTTCTGTCTGATATGCCCTGAGCTTTTAACTGCTCTTCGGAGTATTCGAGCTGTTTTTTCCAGTGGATCAACATGGCCAACATGGAAAGGTTTTGCAATGGTAAGTTCATCTATTGAATCCAGTAAATCTAATTTACTAATTGACTGTCATTATGCTTATGCTTTGTGAAATTCAAATCTTGGCCAGCTTTCAGAAAACAAAACAACAACCAATTACGATTAATAAAATGGGTTAATTTCATCTTTTGTCTCATTTACTAGGTTACAATAATGGAAATGTGTAGAGCTATTGGTATTGGAATATTGACTTTTTATATTTTGCCTTCATTAAACGTGATATTTGGACTTATGCTCACTTCGTCCATCTGTTTGGTACCCGTTTTACTTCAAACAATCTCACTGGATGATCTACCAAAGAGCAAGAATCTGCTGTTGATGAATATTATTGCAACTGGTTTTGCAGTCATTTCATTAATTTTATGGCCTTTTGTCTCTATTTACTCTGAAGAGGCAACTTCAGTGGGACAATTGATATCATTACCATTGATATTGATCATAATTTCCCTCGGTTGGGCCGAAAATTATTTACCAAGGGAATCTTATTATTTCAAGTTTTCTCCATTGTTGGCCATTAGTGAATCTTTAGCTACATCTCGCTATTTAATTTATTTGATCGTCGGACCTTTAAAGGTACTTATTTGGCTGTCCATAATGATAGCTGTAAATCATTTCAAGAACAATATTGCACCAACCCAAATGTTTTCTCGCTTCTATCTATTGACAACGCCACACTCAATCATGATCAAGGAAGACTCTAACATAGGATCTCCAGTTTATGTAACAAGTGATTTGATTCATATAAATTTGATGGCTGCTCAAATGGTTAGCTCACTTGTTTGTTATATTGCTGGTAAATTTGCGTGTAAAATTTGTGTCCAAACAAGTGCCTTCGCTTTACCGATATCTTTGACATCTCCATTGATCATTGCTCTAGCTACAGTCATTTGTCACACCAAAAGTAGATTCATTTGTCTGATTTACAACTACTTTACCTTTTTACCGGGTTATGTCTTCTGGTACTGTCCAAATCATCTATTTATTCAACACTGGTCTTTCATGGTGATAACCACTTTCTGGTTCACCTCTTATATAACAAGTGTCTGGTCATCTTTACACATCTGGTCACCACCAAGAGAGAGAACTGCTCGAACTGAAAAGCTATTTGTTTCCCCTTTGTATTGTGCTGCTTTCATCGATGTTTCCCTTGCCTTTAATAGACGACGTGAAAAACAACAAACCATCAGTGAATCAGATCTTACCAACCAATCTTCAACCGGTGGTTTGGGTCACTTTGACTCGACTGAACTCTCAGACCATGTGATACATGATTCAGATAGATTGACTCGGATCTATGCTTGTGTGACAATGTGGCATGAAACCAGTGACGAGATGTTACAAACGGCAAAATCATTAATGAGAATGGATGAAGATCAATCTGCTCGTGCAAATGCTCAAAAATATTTAAAAGTCGTTGATCCAGATTATTATCAATTTGAAAGTAATTATACAATATTTTATTAAGATAATGGTTCTTCGTAACATGAATGTTTGATCATTATTTTTGTTGTTTTTCATGGAAAAGATTGATTATTCAGTTTTATTCTTGATTTTTTCAATTTTACTCTAATTAATGAAATACTCAGCCATTCTCTCTTTCACACACATCATGATGATTTTATTTATATAATACTCAATTCATTATTCTGTCATATTATTTCACCTGAAAAGGCTCAACTGTCCTTTAGGGTAAATTTTGTTTTGACACTTTCAAATGATGAACCACTTTACAAATCATAGTGACTTAATTATGATAGTTAATCAACTTTCGAATAACTTGTTTAATTCAGTAAAATCAACAAATAGCTTTTTTTGCGTCGTTATTATTAAACTTGTTTACTTTTCTAGTCTCAGGTTGACAGTTTTTCAAAAAACCAGCTGACCAGGTTACTAAGTCAATCTAAATTGTGACATGAAGGATCAATTAGACGATAATTGCTCTAAAATGAAACAATAATTGAAAATCATAAAATTATTCATCAATATCGTTTATGGTTATTGGCAAAATCATTGAATATTAACTGATTTTATTGACTTCAATCGTTACCAAGAAAAATAACAATGATGAATCATCTGGTTGTTAGTTCGTCATTAATTAGTGTCGCTTGATCTAGTATTTTCTCATAAGATTACAAATCTAATCTGATTTTTATCTCGATTTCAGCTCATGTCATGTTTGATGATGCATTTGAATTATCTGATGAAGATGAAATGGCCATTAATAGCTATGTTAAACAATTTTTTGAAGTAATAAACGATGCTGTCAGCACTGTTCATAGGACACATCTGAAACTGAAACCACCAACAGTGATTCCAACTCCTTATGGCGGAAGAATAATTTGGACTCTTCCAGGTCAAACAAAGCTAATTGTACACCTAAAGGACAAGACCAAGATTCGTCACAAGAAAAGATGGAGTCAGGTTGGTTGATTGACCAAACAAAATGCAAGATTCTTCATCTAACTGTCACATATTCACTTTTTTAGGTAATGTACATGTATTACCTATTGGGTTATCTTTTGATGGACACAAATCTTCATGTTAACCGTAAAGCAGTAAGAGCCGAGAATACGTATTTATTAACGTTAGATGGGGACATTGACTTTTCCCCGCCAGCAGTCTTGTTGTTGATTGACTTGATGAAGAAAAATAGCAATCTTGGTGCCGCTTGTGGACGCATTCACCCTGTTGGTGCTGGTATTATGGTTTGGTATCAACGGTTTGAATATGCTGTCAGCCATTGGCTTCAAAAGGCTGCTGAACATGTCTTTGGTTGTGTCCTTTGTTCACCTGGAGCTTTCTCATTGTTCAGAGCTCGAGCTTTGATGTCTCCCAATGTTATGGCCACTTATGCTTCAGAGTCTAAAGAACCAATAGACTTTGTACAGCACGATCAAGGAGAGGATCGCTGGCTTTGCACTTTACTTCTTCAGAGTGGACATCGAGTTGAATATAATGCTGCTTCCGATGCTTTTACTCATTGCCCTGAAAGTTTTAATGAATTTTTCATTCAACGTCGACGATGGGGTCCGTCAACTATTGCCAACATCATTGATTTACTTCAAGATTATAAAAATTTGATTGCCGTCAATCAAAGTATCTCCATTTGGTACATTGGTTATCAAAGCTTTCTCATGTTATCAACAATCATTGGACCTGGAACTATTATATTGATGCTTATTGGAGCTGTTAATGCTGTCTTCAAACTTGATTACACTAGATCATTGTTAATCAACTTGATTCCAATCATGGTCTTCATTATAGTTTGCTTCATTGCCAAAAATGATTTACAATTGTTTCTCGCTCAAATACTGTCAGCTGCCTACGTTTTCTTGATGCTCGCAGTCTTGATTGGAACAGCTATTCAGATCAAAGATGAACCCTTTTCACCGTCAACTGTTTTCTTTTTCATCTTGATATTTACTTTTCTGGTTTCAGCTATTCTTCATCCTAGAGAAATTTCTTGCTTCTTTTCATTTCCTCTTTACCTTCTCTGTATTCCAAGCATGTATCTGATTCTTCAACTTTATTCCCTAATCAATCTTAACGTTGTTAGCTGGGGAACACGAGAAGCACCTTCAAAACCAGCAAAACAAACAGCCGAGGTAATAACCAAAGTAACTCAAAACAAACCTGGTGGAAGATCAAATGCAGTCCTTCAATTTTTAAATACAATGGAAAACCGTAAATCACAAGAAGCTAATATTTCATTCAGCTTAGGTAATCTGTTTCGTTGTCTGTTATGTACTCATGATACTAAATCAGCCAGTGACATTCAACTTGTACGAGTCGAAGAAGCAATTCGAGAACTATCAAGCAAAGTAAACACAAGTCATTACTCAGGCCGCCCAAGACGAGCTTCAGGTTAGTCTCAGTTTTCATCAAATATTTCCTTTACTGATACTTTATTTACTTTTTTACTAACAGAGTTATCCCGAGTAACTGAGGAAAGCGTCGTCAATGAAACTATTGCTGAAGTCGAGGAAGATGAGGAAGATCTGGATCAGGAACCAGAAGAAGTAAAGATTATCCGAGACGATCTAAGAAACCCGTATTGGATTGAGGATCCAATTTTCCGTAATTGTCCAGTTGTCTTCCTCTCTGACCATGAAACAACCTTTTGGAAAGAGTTGCTCAAAAAATATCTTCAACCTCTTGAAAAAAATGCAGAAAAAGAAGCACGAATATCTAATGGTTTAAAGATGTTGCGAGATAAAACCATGTTTGGTGTTCTCATGTTGAATGCGATTTTCCTACTCACAATTTTCCTATTACAATTGAACAAAGATAAACTTTCAATCACATTACCCTTTCGATTTGACCTATCCAGTCCAAAGCCTAAGGATGATGGTTACATTGATTCAGAAGAGGAAGACACTGCAAGCAAACTGGAACCAGTTGGAGCCTCATTCATCATTTGTTTTGCTATAATTTTGATCATCCAACTTATTGGAATGTTTAAACATCGACTTTCAACCATTTCCCATATTTTGGCCTTTGTTCAATTGGACTATTTCGGTCGTAAAAAGCTGACATTTACTGATGATGAATACATTGAAAAAAATGCCATCGAGATAGCCAAAGATTTACAATGTTTAAGAGGTAAGAAAGTACTTCAAACTCCTTTTTTCAATACCTACAGCTTTTTACACTCAACTCTTATTGTTCAAATCAAATTACCAACTTGAACTGAATCAATTTTTCAAGTGTAAAAAAGGTGACTGTTAACCTTACTCTAGTGTAACTTATCAAATTTGAAACAATCTAAAAACCTTTTCCTCTACAATTGCATTGTTTTTGTGTTCAATTGGATGGCATAAAATTTACTCAGCTCATGATTTACCAAATGAACCGTAAATTGATCTGATTAATATAATTAACTTTCAATCAAAGATATTTTAACAGCTATTATTTTTCTTGCTTCATAACCTGTTATCAATTGTATTAATTTTTTTGTTTAATTTTTTACCTTCACTTCAGGAATCGATGAAGAGGACAATCAAGAGGAAGTTAAAGATGAACTGGGCCAGAAGAAACCTAGTAAATCGATTAATGATGCTAATAAATCGGCCATAAAAGGTGATAATCAATCAAAAAGGATCTTACAGCGAAAGAATACAATCTTCAACTTGGAACGAAACCGAGAGCGTAAAGAAAAAACGTTAACACTTGATGTTGCCTTTAGGAAACGATTTCTTAGTTTATCATCACAAGATAATGAAGGTAACAATAGATTTAATTAGTGACTCAATTCATTTCACTTTGTCCAATTTACCACGATTTATCAATTCAATTGTCAGCTCTCTCTCAATAATATCAACACCAACAGCAACAATAACCATCTCGTTATTAATAATGTTTTCATTTTTATTTTTATCATTAACTATTCAATCAAATGCTCTTATTCATTACTTTATCATCACCATCATCAGCTGAGCCTTTTTCAATCATTACTTGTGTCCGATTCTTGTTTAGGTTTCAATTAACTGTCAAAAAATCACCGAACGATATCAGAAAATCTATTTAGCACAATTAGCTTTTTATACCTTTTTTTAGCTTCTTTTTGTTTCATTGTTTCATTTTCAATCTATTTTACTCACAATCTTCATCCTTAATTGTATTTCTTCACTCAGCAACTGTTGCAACTGATTTAAATGATTAAGAAACGGTTTAATGCCTAGTAAACGGTTGGTGGTAACAACAATTATCTTGATGAACAAGGAAAAATAAACAGATTCAGAAGTATTCAATGTGATATGGATAAACATTTCTGAATGTGTTTCTAATTGCATGCTAATCATGAAAGTACAAGTATTTTTGACCTCATCATAATTTAACCCGAATTTATATTAATTAGTTTAATCTCAAGTCTTTTTGAAAACAACCTTTGATTTAGCAAAAAAAGCTTTCTCTTACAAACTGATAATGAAATTTCATTGCATGTCGAGCTGATTGATGATAAACTTACTCAGCTTGTTACCTAATTTACTGAAAATTAACCAAATTATGGTTCCTATTTTAGACTGTCATTCTTGTAGTTTGACAATGTTCGTGTCAAAAACTTGTTTTATTGTTATTCAATCTGTTCAAATATACATTATATTTTGCCAATTTAATCGTTTGCTGACAATTTAAAGACAAGTTGAAAAATTTAAGTCTAATTGGTTAGTTAAACATGTTGCTATTTTTATTGAATACATTATAATATCGTGATTGGGGTTGTCAATTGATTTTCAATCATAAATGTATTCAATTCAACCACCAATCTTGTAATTAGTCTACTATAATTAATGGGACAAAAAATGAGAATCAAAGTAAATTATATTTGTGGAAATGTCATCGACTAATCAACTGATTTTCAACTTTTTTTAGGATTGTCTCGATTTGGAGGAAACTTGAGAAGACGACAAGCAATTGAAGCATTGGAACGACGTCGGGATAGACTTTTATCGGCATCAACTTGGTGGATTGACAACCAAACTGAAAGGTCATCATCTTCAGTGACAACAATCACAAATGGTAGATCAGATTATTCGCATAATCGTGTAAACAATCGATTCCGGGAAATAATCAATACAAACAGTAATCCTGTTAACATTTATAATGACATTTACCATCGACGCAATTTGGTTAATAACAATAGTTATTCGGTTTTAACACGTCCAGGATTAAGGACCTTTGGCCATTACATGTATACTAATAATTCAGATTATCCTTCATCATCAGAAGCAGGTTTCAACAATCACAACAATTGGTGATTTAACAATGTTTAATGGTCTTCCTTCGCTGGATAAGTCAACTCATTAAGTCAAACGATTTAACCTGATGTCGATGATTAAAGGTTATCAATGAAAAGCAGTCCAAATGATCATCGGACGAGGAAGTAGTTGACGAGTTATTTAGTTTATTTTGCCTTTCACCTGAGGCCGCGATAACAGCGTAAATAACGTGCAAAGATGGTTAAAGTTACATTGAAAAGGAAATACGGAAAAGAAAAGGAAGAAAAATTGATGATGATAATGATGATGAGAATGAAAGTGAATGTTGTTTATTGTCCCAAATATTGATCACGGAAATGGACATAACAACGAGTTATTATTGACATTTTCATTTAAATCATTCACCTTTTATCCTATCCTTGGGTCAAGTTGTACTAATGCTTCAAGCTGACAGACCAGATTTAGTTTTATTTAAATCTCAAGTTTTAATCAATGCATCAATTCAACAATTCAAATCATCATCTACTATTCAACATTTTTTTATTCAATTTCACATTTTAATGTTGGATCAATCCAAAGTTAAACGTTTGCTGCATTCGAGTTTAATTTTACTGTTTAATTGCTTAATTTAAAAATCTTATTGCATGATTAATTGTGGTTTATGGCTGTATAATGGAGTAACCGAAAATTGGAAATAAATTGTAAATTAAGATTTGTTATTAATATTATAAGTTTATAAAAAAGGAAGTTGAATGAATTTATTTACACCTAGAACAGAAGTAATTTACATGTTGGAGTGAAGGGTGGGAAATAGGAAGAGGAAGAAAAGGATTTGAAGGAGGGTGAAGATGATGCAGGGAATATTACAGTTAAACTTTTTCTTTTATCGCTGATAGTCCGTTATAATTTTCCTTAATGACGGAAAATACAACTGACCATAGTGAGTTCATAGCTGGTGTCGATGCTTTGAACTTTTTTACCAAAAAGGCCAATATTAATGGAAAGAAAAGAAAAAGCTGGGGAGGAATCAGAAGATATGTTTAGTTGATCATTGGCGAGGTATTAATTGATCATTGATCGATTCAGAGACCAGCCCTAAAAGATCTTAAACGTAAGCTTCGTATTGCTCATATCCTCCTTGTTCGGCACCAGCGCCTTGACCGTAACCGGTAGCACCTGAACCATAACCGGTGGCGGCTTCACCTCCAGCTTCACCTTCTGATTCATAGCCTGCACCGTAACCGGCAGCAGCACCATCATCATAGTTTCCTTCAGGACCACCGTAACCGGCATCGGCTCCTTCATAGGCTCCAGCATTTTCAGCTCCAGAGTAGGCTCCAGATTCACTTAAGCCACCGGCTTCTCCTTGGTAGGATTCATATTGAGCAAAAGCGACGGCGAAAAGGCAAGTAAGGGCGATCTAAAGGAAACAAAAGGACCAGTTAATCTATGATCTTAATACAGAACAACTATGCAAATATTGAAAAAAAATATTATAACAACTTACCAAAGTGAATTTCATTTTTAGGCTGTGAGCTAAAAGTCGAGAAAAAGGGGAAAAGAAAGGGTTAGTAAATTTGTCGATAAATTAAATTCCAATGATATCAAGAATTAGGGTCGTCGATTAGCGTTCTAAAGCGGTAAGAATGATTTATACATATGAAGATGATGTATATTGATAACATTAACTAAACTGGTTTAATTTTTTTGCAGAAGATCACTTATATTGTACAGAAAATGATTTGCAACAACTCTAGGATTTTATACACTATCCAGTAATAGTAAAGCTGCTCAGTTGAAGTAATCAAGTTGAATCAAACTGCTTTAAAGCGCTAATGATTGACGACTTTTGTTTCTTCAGATTTTCGCAGAACGAATAGAAACAAAAGTTGAGTAGAACAACAAAACAAAAGATAGATACGTACAGATTTAAAATCTTTGATTGAGTTTGATGAGAAAGGTTTTGTTTGATTGAAGTAAATGATTGAACTGTCGTTTGTGTTGCGATCAGTTGCTCTTTTATACAACGGGAAACAAACGGGAGTTCAGTAGTAAATATTGTGAACCAAAAAAAGAGTGAGAAAAGGATGGTTCAAATATCATCAGGCCAGACCCACTCTAACACCGAAGCCAATTTGAGAATACAAGTTTATCATCAGATCAGAGCCTCTTTTGCTTCTTTTTTTTCCTGCATTCATCTCTTTCGTTACTTTCCCTTTTTTCACTTTCATTTTCAATCTTCTTCTCAATCCAGTCCTTCTATTCTAATCACCACCACAATCATCATTATAAATAATATGATTATTATTTCCACCATTTCTCGCTCATTGTCTTTAAGTCAGCCAGAAGTAAAAGAAGTTGCTTTTCTTTTTCCATCAAATATATCGTCCGCTAGATTAGACAGCCATTCTTTCACCACTTGAACTGTATAAATTGATGAATTTTGTATCGGAAGATGGACGATAATTAAAACCATTGTCAGAGTTCGCCAATCAAGTCATTTCAATTACCCCTGTGACAATCACCTGACCATCTGATATGCCAAAGCTTGAATATCCAGGCTAATATCCTTCCTATTAAACTCCTACCAAATGATCATCTCTGGTTTGATGTGATTTCAATTAATAACAGCAGGAATAGATTAATTATCTAATAGAAATTTAAACACTGAAGAACCATTAAATCGGAAATTTCTGGAAAAGAAAAACTGAAATGATTAGATGGAATAAATTAGCTTCTTTACATTTACCTTAAGGCTTGCGAAACTATGAGACACTCTGAGATTGGAAAAACATCAACAGATTTAGATTTGAAAATAAATGTTAGCACAGTTTATGATGAAGACGATGATGATGATAATGATGATGATGATAATATAATAATAATGTAAAATTTATAAACACGGTAATCAATGCAATGCACATACATTTTAAGAACAGTTTATACACTTATAAACACAACAACAGTAACAAAAAAAGCAAATTGGATCAACAGTTGGTTCGCTTTTTGATCCGGAAATAGTGTCCAGTTTGAGAAGGATTAATTTGGTAAGCTTGTTTTGGCCCAGGCTTAGTAATGTTGACCTCAATTATTTTAATATTTACTCAATTGATTGTGTACCTCAAAGAAATCAAGCCTCGCCCGTTTTCTTAGCTGTTTATTTTAGCTAAAAAATATTACCCTTTAGGCTCGCCACCATTTCTTCTCCCTCTTTCAACCTCTATACAGCTAAATACAGCAAAATGTCATTTCGCACAATCTCTTTTTAGTGCTATTTTAACTAAATTTTCGTGTTAATAGATTCATTGAAATTATACAAATCAATAGGAGTCTGAATTAAAAATTATGATTTTGAAACAAGACAAACAGATTAGTTTAATAACAGAAAAAATCTTTCAATATAGAGATAAATCACTCAATTATGATGCAAATCAAATGAAAAGGTGTTGATTTACATGAAAATTATGACAACCTGAAATACTGATTTATTAATTATGTTGCTTTTTTATTTCATTAAACAATTCAAATTTGAATCGTATTATCAAGTCATTTTTCATTGATCCAGTTGAAAGTTGAAAATAGTAGTCTATTAAATTGCTAATTCCAGATTAATCAATCAACCAAGTATCTGCTATTATAAGATTACGATGCTTTAAAAGTATCTTTATCATTAACCTTTCATGTTTCTCTTTATTTGATTAGACTGGTTTAAGCCTTTTTTGTTTATCATTTATAATAATATATAAATAATCATAAATTATGGTTAACTCCGTTCAGGTTAAAGGTGTAAATCAGCATTTAAAGTTGCTTGGTTAAAGTGTCAAAATAAATTGTTAAAGTCCAATTTTGAGTGTTTCTCAGTGATTTCAATGGTCACCTAATTATCTAATGACTCAGGAAGCAATTGGGTTTTGAACTTGTCAAATTAGAGTTAATTGGAGGCATTAAAAGATGTATTTGCAAACAATTAACAATTCAAGGTATAAACAGAAGGCTTAATCATTTGATGAGATCTTTAAGTCAACTGTTTTTTGTTGGTTTGATGGTGTTTTTTTAATGCAGTCACTTGAACTCGATTGTACAATATTCACCAATTTACTGATTAAACAAAAAATGATCTGTACTAAATTAGTGACAATCATACTAAATTGTAGTAAATCAAATGCTTTTGATTGTTTCTCATTTAAGTCTATTTTGTACTATTGTGTCCTTTAAATCAAGATAATTAACTTATTGATGATTGAGTCAGTGACTTGTGAAAGTATGTGTTTGCTGAAAAACATGGTTGACCTGATCAGATTGAACTTTGTCGGTGATTATCAAGCTTCCGCTGTAAACATTGATTATTTCAATCGTTTTTTCACCTCCAATCGAGATTAATTGAAGTTAAGAATGTTCAATCATCACTTGAATAACCCAAGTTACAGGCATTCTTCCTCATGTGGCAATGATTTTTTGTTATTCACAGTAAAGTGAAAGTGAAATTGTCAAATACATGAGATAGACGAAATGTACATGTAATGGTGATATTGATACTAGCCATCGATCTTTGGACATTAACTATTCACACAGTGATTTAATTTACTCATTTTTGACACATAGAGGTATTTTGACTGTTTAAATTGTGACCGTTCACAACTGTTAACAGTCAAAAGAGGAAGATTGAACTTACTTTTCTATGGAGATGAACCAAAAGTGAAAAGTAAGAGAGAAAGGGGAGGGATCTTACTATTCTAAGACCTTTCGGTCTCAAGTGAAGAGTAAGAAGGAGAGAGGGCAGCACAAGGGAGTGAAGAGGCAAAGTTGGAAGTTTAAGTCAAACTTTATTGATAATGTTAGAGAAAAGTTCGGAGTATATATGTCTCTCATGGGACATAGGAATATCAGGGTACAAATGGTTTAGTTAAATTCAGTATAAAAAATAATCATAATAAACATATAAATACAATGGTTGAAATGTGCGTAGTTAAAAGTATAATATTTCACGTTTACATTTACCGCTAGGGTTACCTGCTTTTGATTGGAAAGATACAATTGTAATGCATTGAGTTATATTGAAAAAGCCCTAGTGGCGAAGGTTGAAAGAGAGAGAGGAACATATGTTTTAAGTTTTTGTGCTTGGTTTGTTTTATTGAAGTTAATCATCATCACATTCGCCCACTGTAATTTGAGTTTGTTGTCTATCAACAAACTGCTTGAGCTGGGATGAATGAGCTTGAATTGGTGTTCCTGAAAGTGATTCCGAGATGATGTAGGTTACGTCCGTGATCTTCTTGATGACATAGTATGGACCTGTATACTTAGCTGTGACTTTAGTTTTGGATGGATGGTTAAATGGTACTTCCTTGAGTACTTTGGATCCAATCTCAAAGTTTGCGACGGGATGTTTAGCGTCATGTCTTTGTTTCCTTCTTTCTTGTTCCGTACGTGTCCTGGTCCGGGCTAATTCTCGTGCTTCCTGGAGATTGTTGGTTTGACCAGAGAAAGTCGGAGTTGGATCGGTTCCAAAGAAGAGATATGCAGGAGCATAACCAGTGATATCGTGTGGAGTGTTGTTGTAATCTGTGACAATCTTTGGTAAGAGCGTTGTCCATTTACGATGAGGATGATCTTGTAAAGCAGCTCTTACTTTGACCATCAAAGTTCCATTGATACGTTCGACAATACCGTTGGTTTGTGGATGATATGGAGTACTAAAGATATGCTTTATGTTGTGGCGTTTGAAAGCTTGTTTCAAGACTGTACTTTGGAAGTTCTTGTGACAGTCAGTTAGAATAGCTTTGATGCGAATACCAGATTGAATAAGTTTGTCTAGGAGGGTTACTACTGATGCTGATGTGTTGGTGGTTGTGGGAAAGGCCCAAACATAACGTGAAAAGTGGTCTATGAAGACTTGAATGTACTTATGTCGAGTACTACCAGCTGCAGGTCCCATGACTATAGTATCGAGGCCGACGAGATCACCAGGTTCGAGATCAACTGAAGGGAGGATCATTTGACCAATACTTGGACGATGGGTTTGCTTGACAAGCTGGCATGAACGGCATGAATCGACATAAGCTTTGATGTCTGAGATCATATGAGGCCACCAATAGAAACGAGTAATAAGTTTTACAGTCTTGTTTTTCCCAGGGTGACTGTAATCGTCGTGAAAATGCTGCAAGACTTTATTACGGAGTGTTGGTGGAATGATTGCTCGAGTGGAACCACGAGTTTTCACGGTGACGATGCCATCCACTTTGAAAGATTGTTGGATATGAGAAAAGTCAGTGGTGGCTTGATGTTGTTTGATTTCATCAGCATCGATGAGGAAAGTAACTGGGGCTCTTGACAAGGCATCAACGTGTTGTTGAGAGACGCCAGCTCGATGAAATAGCTCATAGGATCGAGTAGAGAGCTTGATACTCCAGCGATAGAGTCTTCCTTTGGGTTTCTTGAGCGTGAGGAGCCATTTCAATGCACTATGATCGGTGATGACTTTGAATGGGAGGCTTAGATAAGCTTCGAAGTGATCAACAGCTTCTACAACTGCGAGGCATTCAAGTTCGAATGCGGTATAGTTGCCTTGGTGTTCATTAAGTGCTTTGGAAAAATAAGCAATTGGATGTTCAAGACCATGTTTATCGGTTTGAACTAGCGTAGCTCCAATACCAATCTTTGAAGCGTCAGTGTAAAGGGTACACGGTTCATCTTTGTTGTAAATAGCGAGAACTGGTTCATTGATTAACTTGTTCTTGAGGATTTGAAAAGCGGTTTGATGTTCATCCTTCCAGTGGAAAGCGATGTTTTTACAGAGGAGTCTGGTTAAGGGTTTAGAAATGGTTGAGAACTTGTCTATAAAGCGACGGTAATAGTTTGCAAGTCCTAAGAATTGACGAACTTCCTTGACATTACTTGGGACAGGGAAATGTTCAACAGCTTTGACCTTTTGTTTGGATGGTCTAACTCCTTCTTCACTGATGATGTATCCAAGATAGTCAACTTCATTTTGCGCGAAGTCGCATTTAGACAGCTTTAGTTTGATGTTGTTGTCCTTGCAAAGGGTGAAGATCTTCTCTAAGAGTTGAAGATGTTCAGAGAAGGTTTTGCTGTAAATGATGATGTCGTCTAAGTAATTTATTGCGCCGTTGTAGAGTAAAGAACCAAGTACTCTTTGTAGAATTCTTTGAAAAGTTGCTGGGGCGTTTTTAAGACCAAATGGCATGACGAGCCATTCATAGTGTCCTTCATGAGTTACGAAAGCAGTTTTCTCGATGCTTTCTGGGTCCATCTCAATATGCCAATATCCCCATTTGACGTCAAGTGTCGAGAAGTACTTACTGCCTTGAAGACGATCAATGACATCATTGATCCGTGGCAGCGGCATCTTGTCATCTATGGTGAGGGCATTGAGACGACGGAAATCTATGCAGAGTCGTGTACCACCATCTTTCTTTGGTACACATGTGACTGGGAAGGCCCAAGGACTTTCACTATCACGAACCAATCCTTTTTCTTTGTATTCTTTAACTTGACGACTTATTTCATCAAGTTCGGCTTGAGGACGACGATAGGCCCTAAGTTGAATTGGAGGATGGTTAATAGTGGTAATCCGATGTTTGGCAACGGTGATGCGGCCAATGTCTGTTTCATTTTGGGCGAAGGCAGATTTATGTTTTTCGATGAGAGCGGCGAGTTGATCTTTCTCATGTGTTTCTCCTAACAGGGTTACTAATTCTTGAGTCTCTGGAGATCGAATGCTGACAGTCTTATCTTCTAGGTTAAGGTGAAGACCGAATTCGATACTGGTGTTGAGACCGATTAAGATTGGATAGCGGAAGTTGGAGATTATGTGGTACTTGATCGTCTTGGTTGTTTTGTGGATGGTAGTTGAGGCGAGAGTGTATCCAACACTCTTGGTTGAACCTTCTAACTGGTTGATGGTTATCTGTTGTTTATTGTTGATAGGAAGGTTGAGTCGTTTACATGTCTTTAGACTCATAATGCTGATTGTACTACCGGTGTCAATGAAGGCTTCGACGGAAATACCTTCGATTGTTAGCGGGATATCGATGAATTTCAGTATTGGAGATATGTTTTTAGCGAAACATACGTCTCCGTGGTCATCTGGATGGAGTTCTTCCTCGGCAGTGTGGGTCGATGGTCGAGGTTGACTGGTTTGAGAACGATTAGGACATTCACGATGCCAATGGTTTTCCTTTTTACCAAGTCTTTCACAGTACCTACAGACTGGAGGACGGCGTTCAGCAGATTGACGAGGGCGGCTATTGTTATGTGGAGGTGCGGCGACCAATGTTTTAGCAGCGGGTTTCTTTGGTTGTTGCTTTGTTAGGAATTTTTCCTTTTGTTTGTAACGCATTTCGGTTTCAGTGGCTATTTCGAGCCAATCAGAGAGTGTACGAGGGCGTCCAGAACTCATATGGAGAGTCCAAGCAAAGGGTAAACCAGAAGTTAGTTGAGAGATGACTTGATGTTCAGCCAATTTTGCTTCACGAAGGAGTTTTATCTTACGGCGATAATACTCCGTCACTGTCTCTGTACGCTCAAGACGGATACGTTGAGCTTCGAGAAGTGGGTCCTTGAATTCAGAACCGAAGCGAGTGATCATTAAAGATTTGACAGCGTTCCAATCAACATGCTCTTCAGATGCGATTTCCTCGGCGTACCAACTTAGAGCTTCTTTGTCTAGGCTGTAGACTAAGTCTCTTATAAGGGTGTATGGATCGTTGGTGTTGATATGTCTTTCGTACAGGACTAACCAAGCTTGGATGCGGATGCCAGATGGTTCGCCAGTATAACATTTGAGAACCTTCTTCTGTGGTAAGGTTATGTACTGCGTTGGTTGGTCGATAGTCGTGTCTAGTTGTGATGTAGTGGATAAGCGGTTCCTATTTTGGTCTTGGAATCGAACTGTTGGTGTAGGCGGGAGGTATGGATTACGGATTAATGTTGGAAGACGACCATTTGGTTGGTTACCTAAGGGTGGATGGGTTGGTTGATTTGGATTTGTGATTGGGTTCGAGTCGAGGTTGTCTCCTTGGGCATTTGGATCTGTTGGTATTTGATCAGAGAGGTTAGTATCATTAAGATCATTTGCCATTATGAAAGGAAATAAAACTATATTAATTCAAACACTTTTATTGTTTAAAAACTAATTTGTGGAGGTGCTCAACTGGTGTTGCAGATTGAGGTACAATGTTTGGGGCAAAGGAACGATTAACAGAGTCAAAGTGGAGAGCGTAAGTAGCAGTTGAAGCAGCTCTGTTAAGGAGTTGACGAGATTCTTGTCGAGCAGGCAGATTAGCTTTGATGGCGTTGAATTCAGCTGTAGATGAGAAGCTGAGTTTGCTTTGAGCAAGTTGCTCTTCTAATTGTGAAGCTTCAGCAGCTTTCTGGATACCTTGCTTGAAGAATTTAGCAGCTCGTTCTTCAGTCTTCTTCTGCTTCTTCTGGAGATGAGCTTCGTAAGCCAAGCAGACAGTTCCAGATAGTTCAGCTTCCAAACGCTGCTTCTGAAGGTAGAGTTTCCTTTCTTCCCTTCGTTTCTTATTCTTGGCTTTACCAGGTTTGACAGGGCCAATAGATGGAGCAGAAGGACCAGCGGGAGTTTCGACAGCTTGAACTTCAGGAGTTACCAAAGGACGGAGGAAGCTGGGTCGATCAACTGGCTTAGGAGGGTTCTGTTCCACCAAAGGACGATTAGGCTGGAAGGGGCGGCTGATAGAGGGGCCAAGAGGACGGCTGGATGAAGGGGAAGGGCGAAAAGGGGCAGCTGAGGGTCGAAAAGTACCACCAGGGGGCGTATTCAGCTTCAAACCACCACCAAAGACTACCAAAGGCTTACTAACAGGTCCAGCAGGGGTTGGTTCAGAATCAGGACCACAGATGTCGCTACCAAACCAATGTCCAGGCGAGCAAGCGGGAGAATCGACGGATTCGGGATCGTAATCCGGCTCGAAAGAAAGGAAATCCACTAAAGAATATGGGGGAGAAGAACAAGAGATTAGTTCGGGTGAAAACAGGAGAAGATATCCTGTCGACTGCGCCAAATGTGACCGTTCACAACTGTTAACAGTCAAAAGAGGAAGATTGAACTTACTTTTCTATGGAGATGAACCAAAAGTGAAAAGTAAGAGAGAAAGGGGAGGGATCTTACTATTCTAAGACCTTTCGGTCTCAAGTGAAGAGTAAGAAGGAGAGAGGGCAGCACAAGGGAGTGAAGAGGCAAAGTTGGAAGTTTAAGTCAAACTTTATTGATAATGTTAGAGAAAAGTTCGGAGTATATATGTCTCTCATGGGACATAGGAATATCAGGGTACAAATGGTTTAGTTAAATTCAGTATAAAAAATAATCATAATAAACATATAAATACAATGGTTGAAATGTGCGTAGTTAAAAGTATAATATTTCACGTTTACATTTACCGCTAGGGTTACCTGCTTTTGATTGGAAAGATACAATTGTAATGCATTGAGTTATATTGAAAAAGCCCTAGTGGCGAAGGTTGAAAGAGAGAGAGGAACATATGTTTTAAGTTTTTGTGCTTGGTTTGTTTTATTGAAGTTAATCATCATCACAAAATGATGATTTGATTTGATTGAATAAAAGTGACTAGATTCAATTAAGCAATTATTATATCTTCCCTGACCACATGTTTTTAGCTCTGTATTAAATAAACGAGACAAAATGGTCCTTATGTTGAGACAAGAGTTGAATTGTGATCTGAATACTCACCTCTAACCCCAAGATAACTGGCTCATCAACGCTCAACCAAAATCCTCAATTGTTGATCGATCATAACCGGAATTTCATGAGGAGTTCTTAATGATAAGCGACTTCAACATAGAAAAACTGAACAGAAAATAATTAAATAACAAATTAGATAAAATTATCGAAATACTAAATTATTAGAAGAATCTGGGCGAATATACAATAATTGCAATTCAATAATTTGATTATTTTTATTTTTTTTTGCCTTCTCTTGATACTCAAGGCGGTGGACTTTACCGCCATGGGTGTTGATTTCTTGTAAAAACACCAGATGGAATTGCTCTTTTCCGACTGTATGTTAAGCAAAACTGTAATAAGTTTGGTTTCATGCTTTAATAAATATTTACTCTGTTGATTAAATTTTAATTAATTTTGTAGAAGTTAACTGTGTCTTAATTTTGATTTGCTTAATTTTGCAAATTAATCTGTGAATTGCTTCTTGGACCGTTTCCGTTTTTCTGTTTTTGGCTTCTTTCATTGACTGTTATTCTTGGCCATTTAAATGTTTCACACTAAAGTGTGTTCAAATGCTCGATTCTTATTTGTCGGGACGAATCGAAATTTGATCGATTCATTGAGAGTTGTCACACGATTATATGCGACCGAACCAAAAGTTGTACCAAAAAAGCCAGGTCCTGGAGGGGCTGGAGCTAAAAAAACTTATTCACGTGAGAAACCACATATTAATGTTGGAACGATAGGACATGTTGATCACGGTAAAACTACACTGACCGCTGCAATTACCAAAGTTTTAGCTGAGAAAAAATTAGCTAAAGTCAAGAGTTATGAAGATATTGATAATGCCCCTCAAGAGAGACAGAGAGGTATTACAATTAATTCTGCCCATGTTGAATATTCAACTGCAAAAAGACATTATGGCCATACAGATTGCCCTGGTAAGTTTTAATGTCAAATTATGTTTATGTTTTACTTATTATTTTAAATTTTCCTCGTAATTTTCATCTAGGTCATGCTGATTACATTAAAAATATGATTACTGGTACCAATATTATGGACGGTAGCATTTTAGTAGTTGCAGCCACTGAAGGACCTATGCCCCAAACCAGAGAGCATCTTGTTTTAGCTAAACAGATAGGTAATAGATTTAAAATTAAAAATTAATCAATCAATTGATCTAATGTTAAATTTCATTCGCTTCTAGGAATTCAACACATCGTTGTTTATTTGAATAAAGCTGACATTGCTGATAAAGAAATGGTTGAACTAGCTGAAATGGAATTAAGAGATGTTATGACTGAAATTGGATTCAGTGGGGACAGTGTACCAATAATAACTGGTTCAGCTTTGGCTGCTTTAGAAGGAGCTAGCCCTGAAATCGGTCGAGATTCAATTCTTAAACTTTTAGATACCATTGATGAATATATTCCCGAACCTGTTAGAGATCTTGACAAACCTTTTATGTTACCGGTTGAAAGAACTCATGCCATTCAAGGACGAGGAACTGTTGTAACTGGTAAAGTTGAAAGAGGGCTTCTCAAGAAAGGAGATGAAGTTCAAATTTTGGGTTTTGATAAAGACATGAAAACAACAATAGCTGGAATTGAGATGTTTAAGCAAATTTTAGATGGTAAGTTTGCATGGCTTCGGTCAATAGAAACAAGCTTTATTAATTTAAAAACATTGTTTCTTTTTAGATGCCCGAGCTGGTGACTCGATTGGAGCCTTAATTCGAGGAGTCAAACGAGAAGACGTTCGTCGTGGAATGGTTCTGTGTGCTCCTGGTAGTTTACAACTTAGCGACCAGGCAATGGCCAAAGTTTACTTTTTGAATAAAGAAGAAGGTGGATTCCCAAAGCCCATTTTGTCCCACCTTGTTTCTACTTTGTTCACGATGACCGCAGATATGAGGTTTAAACTGGACTTCCTTGATAAAGAAATGGTTATGCCCGGTGAAGATATTGAAATGAGAATAAGAGTAAGTCTATTGTTTTTTTTCCAATTCAATTTCAATACTAATTTACTTTTCTAATTCTCTTTTCTTTTTAGCTTCCTAAATCACTTGTTATGGAGAAAGGTCAAAGATTTACAATTCGTGAAATGGGATTCACCTTAGCTACTGGAGTTATAACTGAAGTTTTACCTAACATGACCCTAACAGAAAAGCAAGCATTTATGAAGGGACGAACGCGAAAGGAGAGAGAAGCTTTTGCTGAAAAGTATGCGGAAGTTTTGAAAGAATATACAACAAAGCCGATTCTTGGTTAAAAAATTTAGTCATTTAAACAGATTAATATTGGAACGTCATTAAAATCAACATCTTTTTCACTAGAAATTGTAATAATCATTACAATTGACATTTTTTGCATAGATCACCTCTGTTTGACCCTTTTGTCAATGATTAAAGTTTCAGTCCAATGAAACTTGTAGCTTGTTAGTTATTTATAATACTAATGTTATATTAAAAGAAAGTAAAATTTACCTCAAAATTTTGTAAAACTTTAATTTTAATTAAATGGATCAAAACTTTAGTTATAACCAACAGATTTCAAATTTAACAGTTACAAATCAAGTAAAACGTAGCAAACTTATTTACCAATCCAATCTGATTGCTTGCTTGCACCTATCAATTTGCCATCTTCAATACCTATTTTTAATATCAAAGGTGAAAATTAAGATATCGATAAGGATTTTTTATTTTTGTGAAATACGAGATCCAATTGAAAAATTGCAATTGATTTATCGATTTTATCGATATCAAATTGTAAAGATTATTGAAGAAAAAAGTATTGGTTTGATTGCTAAAGAGTACTCTTGGATCTATTGTTAATTGGAGTAACTACTGCATTTACTAGTTTCATCTGGATTGCCTTGATTTATCTCGCTCTTACCATCTAGACAAAAAGAGCTACAATCACATGTAACTTGCTCATTTCTTGTGCGTGCTTCAATTCTCAACGTGTAATCTACTCTTTAAGCCCTATTCTGATAAGTTTGTCAACGCTCTGTTTAAACCATGAAGTTCGCTGCCAATTTATCTACAATGTTCAGTGACCTGCCCACTTTACAGGAAAGGTATGAATATGTCTGCTTCAAGTGTCCCGTTAAATTTGATGCCATTGAATGTCAGGATCCATATATGTTAGCCATTAAGGATTGGCGTAGACTGTTTGAAAATTGTTCAGTAAAAGGTGCTAAACTACCGAAATGGGAATTGATAAACTCAGTGCCTTTATTCCTCGAGTTTCCTGATCTTCGTATTCCAAGCTTTGAGGAATATAGACTTAAAGTTCTCGACAAAACTTTAGAATATGCCAAATTTTTGGACTGTCAAAAGGTTCATCTTATCCTTGGTGATTTGCCTTTCAAATCAGAGAATCCTGATCAAATTACTCACCTAACCGAGAAGATGACCACTTTATTATATCAAGCCGCTCATTACTTGGAGTTGGAACATGTAAATTGCGTGATTGAACCTTTATCATTGAAGGAGCGTGAAAGATATTATTTAAGATCTTATAAATTAGCAGTAAAGATACTTGAGCAAAATACCAAATCTAAAAATCTTCGATTGTTAACTGATATCTATCATCTTCAACGTGTTGAAGGTAATTTAACGGAAGCTATCAACAAGTATATGCCGCTAACTGGTCATGTTCAGATATCACAAGTTCCCCTAAGAGATTGTCCGTTTAACGAAGGAGAAATCAATTATAGATATGTATTAGAAGTATTAAGAAAAGTCCACCGTGGATTCATTGGATTGGAATACAAATGTACCACTGAAGATGATTTACTATGGATCAACAATTATACTAATTGAGAGGCTATTTTCCCGTTGTATTCAATCTCAACTGTAATTGACATTCTTTCTTTATCTTTACCATACAAATTGTTTTATTTTTCTGCCAATAATGGAGACATTACATGTATCTGTTGTACGTTTATCTTATTTTTCAACCTGCTAACCAGGATAATTACTTTGCTGGAGTAATAAACTTTTATATTATGTATCATTTTTGATTGTTAACAGATTAATTAACCAGTCTAAAATTTAAATCAAAAGTAGAAGACTCTAGATACAACGGACATTTATAGCAAGACATATCTCACTTGACCAGCTGATTTAAAGGGTGATTATGGAAGGATTTAGTTGATTAAACATGTAAACCATTTAAGGTCAACAAAGCCAAATTTAAACCAGGAAGGAAAGTCGAAAGGACCAAGACATAGATGGGAGGTGGATCAATAAAAGAAAGAGAGAAATGTTACCTTCTTTTCACTCTTCTTCTTTGTCAGAAGAGACAGATTTTCTTCCAGGTTTATCCATGGTTACGCGAGTCTCGGTTTGTTACAACTATTTAACAACACAAGAAAATATACCAAAATCGGACCATCTTTATCATGATTATTATGACGATGTTAATGTAAATAGCTATCAAATATGTGTGTTTATCATCTCATCCCTTTCCAGTTTATTTATATAACTGTGTTCAATCTTTCGATGATATCTTAATTATGTGGCAAGTTAGAAATGTTGGTTATCATCAAACCAGTGGAAGCTATTATAAATTTACGAGATTGTCTCTAATTGAATCTGCAAAAATTCATTTGGTCGGTTCAAGAGGAGGAAAACGTGAAAAACATTACCTGTGTATGTGAATCAAAAACCTTCAACATTTTTATAGACCCTGAAAGTAATCATTAAACAAAGCCGGGACTTCTCTTTACATCAATTGATAATTAACTGGCGCAATCATTAAGGTGTCTAGATTATGGACAATATTCCAGTTTTATATTCAACTAATGTGAAAAATATGTCTTCTAGTCAATTTATTGAACAGACTTTTAGCGAGTCTTGAACACATCTAATTGAAGCGACTAACAAATGTATTGAATATTATTTAGTCATGGATGATTTTGGCAATAATAATCTGCAAAGAAATATTCAACTCAAGAATATTGAAGTCCATCCAACGGAGCAAACCTTGATATTAAATTGTGAACTTGAACCTTCTTTGAGAATAGGTTCTTCTGAGAATAATTTTCTTGAGACAAATCGTGAATTCCAGCGTTATATTAGATTGAAATCATTGGAAGAGACTAGTGATGTTGATTCAATTGTATCCCAGGTGATTGCCAAATCAAAAGGTTTATTAACCATATCCCATAGAGATGAAATAAAACAGCTAATAATTTATCTGAAAAATCGTTCCATCCAATCAACCGTCCGAGCAACAGCCACTGGAGCAACCTTTGACTCTTTTCGCCCTAAAACAGCTGGAGCTCGCTTGGCCGATTCTAACCAATCCTTTAATAGCTATAATGTCGATAATAACCAACAGCCTACTAGATTAAAATCATCAACCTCAGTCAATTCGTTTTCCAGTAACGGAATTGACAAGAATATTGGCAACCGAGTTGGTGACTCATTAAATATAGAATCGATATTTGGAGACATCAAAAGATTAATAAACAGAGTTCTGCCAGATGAGAGTCAAAACAATGGAATCACGTTGAGCGCGGTTGATGATTATATGCAACTTTTGTATGAAAATTATTCTGAAAAGATAAGAGGTGCTTCAGCGATTTACCAATTGACCCTTAACCATGAGAATCTACTTCCCCTGTCAACCAACGAGCCTCTCAATTGTGCTCTTTCTCGAGTTTTAAGAGAAGATGGAAGAAAAAATCTTGATCTAGGAATCATTTTGACTGGTATATTTGCCAATTTTTCCGTTTATCGTCAATTTCACCCCATGATCAAACATTTCCAACTCGGTGGTCTTTGCTTAGAAAATATTCAAGCAGAATTGGAACGAGAAGAATCATTGTTTACTGATCTGGCCGATATCCAAGCAGCGATGAAAGCCGAATCTCAAAGTTTGTCAAACTCAAGCTCTTTACATTCATCGCTAAGCTATTCTCATTTATCAACCTTGTCAGCTTCAAGTGTTCCAGGATCTCGAATGTCTTCTGCCGTGCTATCCAGCGAATATGAAAGAACCTTAAGAAAATACCAAAGTCTAGTCATCAAACAAAATCTTTTTCTTCGAGCAGCATACACAGTTTTACTGCATCTGTCGGAGGATCGTAAGAAAGAAATCAAAATGGTCAACAAAGGGATTATCGAATGCTTGATTAAGACACTTGACCGAGAAAATTGGCTTCAATTACTGTATTTGGCAATTTACTTTCTTAAACGTCTATCTGTTTATGGTGAAAATAAAGATGCCATGATTTCAATGGGAATTATTGATAAGATATCGGCAATTTTGAATAATCAAGTTGCATCATCATCGATTGGTCATCTTGTCAATACTCTTGAATTGGTTCACAATCTCTCATTCGATACAAATTTCAGATCTTTAATGGTACAACGCAATCTAGTCTCTAAAATTATCTCATTTCTTCATAAAATGACCAAGTCATCACAGTCATCCTCAATGGTTTCATTATCTGAGAGTAATCCAACGTCAACTCATAACCTTATCAATGGTTCAAGTGCAAAACAAGTTAATCCAAACTTCATTCTTGACAAATTAATCTATCAAATAGTTTATTTATTTACAATTGAAAGTAAGCACAGAGTACTGGTAACTCTTTCCCTGGGCCCGGATCAGATTCACTCGTTAACCAATCGAGCAATCAAATGCTTGAATGACTCTAAACTATCTTATCCATCAACTGAGTTAATGAGCTTGCTTATTAATCTATCCACCAATCGAAGAAATGCCCAGTTAATTTGTGATAAAGAAAGACTCAAATGCTTATTAAACCACATTGTTGCCGTCTTATCCAACAAGATGTCTATAACTCAAACCGATATAATGGTGCTAAAACTAGTCCGCAATTTATCTCAACATGAAGATTCTTATAAAATGAATTTTCTTGATTACATTGAAACTCTAGTCTCTTTATTAGTTGCTCGCCCTCCTCAATCCATTGATTTAAATACTGAAATATTAATGACCCAAGGTCATAATCAAAATCTGACTAATGGAAACGAATCAAATTGGGATTCAATGGTTTCCATTGAAATACTTGGTATCCTCTGTAATATGATTAATCTTCCTGGTGTTGATTGGTTGACTCTTGCAAGCTCAAAGGGTTTATTTAAATGGCTGTCGACTGTTTTATCTGCCAATGACCATACCTATGAAGATGATTTAATTCTTGAATGTATTTTGGTAATCTCGTGTATAGCTAATTGTCGTGATGCTTGCTTATATGCTCTCAACTGTGATTGTCTCAAACTATTAATTAACCAACTTAATGCTAAGCAAGAAGAAGATGAAATTGTTCTTCAAATTATTTTTATTTTTCATCTTATGCTTCGTGAATCTGATGTTCGTAAGATCATTCTTGCTCCTGAAACTCAAGTGATGGCCTACCTGTTTGATTTGATGAATGACAAAAATCCAGAGATTCGTAAACTGTGTAAATCTAGTTTAAATGTTATCTTTGAATTTGAAGATGAACTCAAGGATAAGATCAGGGAAGAGAGTTTTAAGATCTACAATAAACAATGGCTTGAGATGATTCTATCAAGACAAGAAAATGGTATTGGATTTGGAAATGAAAAGCGTCGATTGACTAATGGAAGTTCAAGTGGCAGCAATATTACCAATAACAACAATATAATCGGCGTTCCTGGAGCGAACGATAATGAAATGCAGGATGAATATGAAAACTATCATCTAAAAAATAACGATACTGATGAAGATATTATGGGAATCAACTATAATAATTTGTTACTCCATACAGATGTACTTTCCGATTCCCCTCCTTCATCAGGACCCATGACTGATGATCAAGAGGCATCTTCACTGTCAATGAATGAATCAATCAATCGTTCATCATTAAATTCACGACCACAAACTGGATATAAAAAACGAGGAACTGGACGAACAGTCAAATCCAGTTTACGAAATGACTCGAGAACACTTAACAAAGCTAAAAGTTCTAATAACATTCTGCATTTATAATTTACCCTTAGAAATTTAGTTCAAAATATTTAATTGAGAGTTTCAAACTGATTGTCAATACATGGTTTAAAAATAATAAATCAAAAATGTAATTAAGGATAAATGTTACAATCACTTCAATGTGTAAATTTTTTCATTAATGGATAACTGCTTACTTTTGGTTGGACTGAAATTAAGCACAACTAAAGAAGGGCTCAAAAATAATTAATTATTGCAAAAATTTGATGGAATATGAATTTCTAATCACAAATTGTGATTACCGAAAAAAATAATGAAATCAAATGCATGGTAATGATTGAAAAAACCGCTATTTGAAACAGATAAATTTATGATTCAATACAGTATCTGTACTTGTACTCGTTAGGAGCAAGTATCAGATTCCTTATCAGTATCTATATTTCTCATCATCATTTCATTTTATTTTCATTTGGTGTAACAATTTACTATTATTATTCATATTATTAGTGTATTTAGTAATTAAAGCCAGTGTTTATTTCTTGGAGATTGCCATCACTCAACTTCTGGTTAAAGGTAGCTTTGTAGATTGATGTGTTTTTATACATTTTTTTCACTCTAATTTACATTGAACATTTTGGTTGACAATGTTTGATTTTTTTTCTTGATTAATCTGACATTGAGTGTTTTGTGATTGAACTGTGATCTGAAAAGCCACCACGGATAACGTATTTACCAAATCAGATTCATCAGCACTATCATAAAAATTCATGGATTGATATTCTTCGTGGATTTTCAGTGGAAAGATTATTACGGGAAGTGACTTGGTGTGATAATCTAATGATTCAATTTTGTTATTAACTTTATTGTTTACTTAACCATTTTGCTTGGACTTTATTCTTATGCCCTTCTGATCCAAACATCGCTTCATCAGTGAATTGAATTTTTGGAAGCATTAATATATTGGATGACCAGTTTAATTATCTTGATGAATCACATCAACCTTTGACCAAGTGATCTTGCTATTCTGATTAATGGAACTATACAAATCAACTGAGTGACATATCTACACATTTTTTGCCTGACGATCTTCTTTTGGTTAATCTTAGGTTTATTCAAAACCTCAAGACTATATCTACTCTTGTAGCTTGTAACTTACTCATTGAACACTGAGTAATAATTGATAGCTGATTGCCGTGATACTCTGCAAATTGGATGAAATAAATTGAAAACTATTTAGATTATTTTCCAAGCTCTTATCTCGACTTCTGACATGGCATTTCTATTATAGTATGGCGAGATTATACATATTCACATTTTGCTCATAGTTTTTAAAGCCATTGTGACCATGCCTAGCTCCATTAATGGAACTGTAAAATTGATCATATCAAAATGTTTATTTCTGCTGCTGTTGGTTTTCATTTCAATTTCTTCAATTAGTTCATTATCTCAATTTTCTCAGTCTGGAGATCCTTCAGATTCTGGGTATCTTCAAATTCCTGATCACCAGGGTGTCATTAATAAGCTATATTATTATCGACTGCCAATAAGCCCTGTGAAATTTCAGCAAATTAAACATCTAACCATTAAAGAGGTCGACAGAAATGGTTTACCAGAATGGTTAATGTTGAGAAGAGAAAAAGATCGATGGGAGCTAATCGGTTTTCCCCAAGACCAGGATAAGGGTATTCATTTCTTTCAAATTGAAATTCAGAACAAAGATGATACCAAAATCGCTGATGTATTCACTATCGAAATCACTCATGTCTTACCATCACTGTTTTCTTCTTCCATTTCAACAAATCCAATCGGTAAAAAAGAAAATTGTATTATTCAACTGATAACTACGTTTAACTCAATACTTGACGTGTGGAAAATCATAGCCTACTTCATTCCATCCAAGCTCAGACAAGAAATCAATTTATCTGCAAAGCTAATCGAGTTCACAAATAATCTTGAAGAGATTGATGATCCCAATATTTTAATGACACAATGGTCACAACGTCTTTTCTCTATCACACAAAAAGAAGAAAAAGATGGAACCAGGAAATATCAATTAACTATTGAGAATCAAGAATGCTCTGAAGATAAAGCTCAATTGTCAAATGATGGTTATAATTGGAAGCTTAAAAAATTAGGTTTGGAGTTCCGTTTCATTAGAGTCATTAAATCGCCTTTACAATCCGATGGCAGCCTCTTTGAAGATGTTTCAGCATCTCCTTTGGATGAATTAAATCCATCTAGAGCATATCTCAAATCTTTAGTGCCTGTCTCCATTAACTATGACAATTCGCAACGTCGTCATGCTCGTCGGCATCTACCTGATATTAAACCAACACCTAGCATTTACCCTGATTTTATGACTATTTCAACATCTTTAATTTATCCCAATCTGGATGAAAACAATGAAATAGAGCCTAGTCAATTATCACGAATCGTACCTTCATTGACTAGTCCTAGTGCTTTTCCGCCATCTTCTAACATACCTGGATCACCATCCGTGACTCCTAGAATGCCTGATAACTACGGTGTAGGTGGCAATGATCATTCTCATTTCCATCCCATTCTTTATACTACACCTACACCTTCTGCTGAGCCACCCAGTGTTTTTATTGAAGGCTTGTCAACACCAACACCTATCCTTCCTAGTAGTAAAATACCAGATTTATCATCTTCAGCTTTGATTCCTGATCTGGCTGCTTCATCTGTTGATCTCATCTCACCAACTCCAACCTTTGGCTTAGGAGTCAGTACAGTCAGGGTTGATGAACCTATTATATTTGAAGGCACTGATAAAACTTCCGGTGAAAAAACAAGTGAACCATCAAGACCGGAGATTACTGCAAATAGTAGACCAGAACTTCGCGCTCGCATACCAAAATTGGCTCCCACTGCGGGTAAATATTGGACCTATAAGATCCCAGAAAATACCTTCATTGATCGAGAAGATGGTTTAACTCATAAACTAAAATTAGGCTTCTATCGAGTAAGTTCTTCTATGAAAGAACGAGTTCATCCACCGAAGGACTTTTGGATTCAATTTGACGCTGAAAATCAAGTTTTAACAGCTTTTCCCACAGATGATGATGTTGGTGTTTATGAAAACCAATTTTATCTGGAAGCAGTTGATTCAGGTGGATTATCTAATGTTGAAAATATTACCATTCATGTGAGACAACATACTTCATACCGTAAATTTCCATACAATATTACTTTTTACCGGGTTTATTGGGATCCATTACGAATTACAACAACCATTGAAGCGTTGAGAACTTTTGCCCAAATTGTTTCTCAATTGAATGGTGACTATGACATTGATAGTTTTATTGTCCAACATTTGACCAAAGAAAGCATTGATGGCAGAGATTACTGGACAATTGTTTCAACTAATGACAGTATTCCTGCTTACCCTTGCCCAACCAAAAAGATTCAACAACTGTATAATCGATTGGCAGATAAACAATCAAAAGGTCAATATGCATTACCAAGTGAATCTTTAATTAGTAAAATGAATAAAATGTTTACTATTGACGGGGTTGGATTATCAATAAGCTGTTCAAAACCTAATACTGCTGCCGAGAAGCCTGAATTAAGGAATCCAATTGAAGTGTTGAGATTCCATTTGGGTGAAGTTTTCCGCTACAAGATTGCTGAAAACATGTTCTATTCTGGACGAGGGCGTAATACTTATAATCTGGAACTCAGTTTATATGATGGATTTGGACGTATTCCGCCCCAAGATGGCTTTGTCAAGTTTAATGAGAAAACATTTGAAATTATTGGTTTAGCTGATGATAGAAAATATATCCGAGAAAATGAATTTAATCTGGTTGCTCGGGATCGTGAATCTGAAAATGATGCTTCTGATGCTTTCGTTATCGTAATTGATGATCCTTGGAATGAAGACGAAATAAGTTTCACAGTAACCATTGGTCTATCAATAAATGAGAAAATGGGAATTGATGATAAACTTGATATTGCTCATCGTATTGCTACCAGTATTTTCAACGATTCAGACACGAGTTCATTGCGAATTCTTAAGATCATCAAACGTAATTATACTTTCATGCAAAGTGGATATTATACTGGTACAGAGACTAAAAACCCCGATTTATCAGACATTGATGAAGATGAAAATGTAATTGAGAGGCGAAAACGCTCTGATCCTTATGATAATTCAATCGAAGAAGGTTCAATTCATCAAATGTATGAATATGTATGGACCAACAAAACTGAACCTCTATTAGCTAAAGGCGGTGAATGTCCTTCTACTGATATTCAGACTCACATTTTACATAAATTATTCAAACCTGATACAACATTTGAAACTTGGGACGAAAAATTTGCTGATAAATATCGAATAATGTCTATTGAATTTAAACCTGTTGGTAAATGTTCTAATTACATGACATCTCGTGAAGTGTATCGTGACAATGTGAAACCCAACATTATACCAGAAAGAGACATTACTCATGAAACTGTTGATAATGTAAATTATGGTCAGCCGACTTCTAAAGATTATGATGTTCATACAAATGAATTAGATGACTATTACCTCAGAACAATTATACCTGCAATAGCAACAGTTGCAGTATTACTGGTAGTTCTTTGTGTGATTGTCTGCATTTTGGTCAAATGTCGTCGTGATATCGATAAAAATCGCTTTGACATGACCATTCGCCCTGGAATCGATGGCTACCCAACAGAAGTTGATGCATTTATTCAAAAAGGTCGCCGACCTGTGATATTACAATCAGATTATCAGCAAAATTTACCCATGAACACGATGATGGTTACATATAACCCGACTCGTCAACAAACCTATTCCATGGCTAATATCAATAAATCTTCATATCATGCACTTGCTCATGCTGTGGAGCAAAGACGTCAACCTCCACCTTACAGATGAACGATTTTTTTTTCTTTTAAACTCTATTGTGTAAATCAACTTGTAAAAAACACCGACAATCTAACGGTCGCCTTAATCAGGTTCCAATTAACTTAATGAACTCATGGACATGAAGGCGATAATTTCATGATCAGTCTAATTACCTGTGCGAATATTAAAAGACGAATTATATGTAATGAGATTACATTTTCACGAAAGAAATATTGTTGCTCCATCATCTTAAACTTTAACCTGCTAATCTTCTCATATCATTTATCCCACCTTTACTTAATCAGCAATATCACAAAGCCTCGAAAAAATATCCTTAAACCTGTTTGTGCCAAGTTTCCTTTCACCTACCTATCTAATTCAAAACTTTTTGGTCTAAATGGTTATCAATCAATTATATGAAACTCCTTTATATCACTCACTTTTTAAAATTAACGCGTTGCAATGGCTAAAGGAAACGAGTAAAGTAATAATCAAGCATAAAGTGAAAAATGAGGACATCTGAAGATGAAATTACCACATTTTTAAATAGATTTCAGCTGTGGTAATAAGGTGCCTACGGATCTTCAAAGCTATTAATCATAAAGAACCCGAGTTCCACGTCTAGATTCAATTTGTTTCACCAATTCCTGTCAACTCATCTGATTAACATGAGAAGCATTTTTTTCTTCCTCATAAAGTCACCCATCATTCAAACTGGTCTTTTTAAATCAAAATATATTACCCAAATATATTATTCCGCACATATTATCTCAATTGGTGATGTTAATCACAATCAACTTGGTGATAGGAACCAAGTGTTACAACAATATTGTAATTGATACAACAAAAAGTGCAACTAGCAAATTGAACATATACCTCTTCAACTAATTCAAACTCGTTCTTCAAAAGCAAAGAAATTTTTGTGATTTAATTTTATGTTGTTTTTATTCGAACAATTGACTTTTCAGACATGTTGTGTTGTCTTACCATTTTTTTAATTCAATCTTTCCTTCTTCAATTCAATAACCAAAAATTAACTAGGATCAATGGAGCCTACTTTGGTTTTATAAAAGTTTTGGAATTGATCGAAATAATTGTCAAACAAATTAAACAAAACATCAATGGGTGAAATGTGGAAAATGTGGAACAAATCAGGATAAAGAATGTTTAGCTTTACTTAAACAAGTTAATGATTGCATTTAAACACACAATCAATAATGGCTGCCATGTTTGACAAAATGGCTTCATAATCAATCAACCAACTATAAAATTTTTCTCACCATTGGTATTCATTTGATCCAAACGGATTTTTGCATTTTTCATTCAAACGACATTGATTTTTGTGAATGGTTAGACTTTGGACCATTAGATCATGACTTTAAATGATTCAACAGTCTCATTTGTATATCATTTAATTGATCACAAATAATAAAGATCACAGGCAAATTGTATAAAGGAAAAAACTTGCTTTTACTGTCGCGTAAATCATTCTGCGAGCGTGATGCATAAAGCCTAAATTACAGCTAAGTGCTACGCAAGTCAATCTCTTTTATAATATATGTTTGACAACAAAATGAAAATGATTATTGATTATAAGATGAATTAGAAATATAATGTTTTACTATTCACAATTAAAAATATTTGTCATCCTATCCTTTCAACGACATTCGAGTGGTCAGCCTAAGCTCTATCAAAACCAAGATGAAAGTTCTAGTGGACCATCTTCATCAACAAGAATTCATTGCCAATACATTCACTTTGATCATTTTGATTTGATTTGATTGCTTTTCGAATGTTATTGTAAGATTGACAGTTATATGAGACTTTGCATTGATTTGTGAATAATTTTCCTAAAGAGCAAAAATCTCTGGTTCGTTGGATAGCGAAAAATAAAATATTCTAGTTTGTCTTTTAGCGAACACTTTTCAGAGTATTAAAAAGATAGCACATAAAAATTAAAGAGTTAATCAATATCAACTGAAATAGAGTTTCTAATTAATCTCATTAACTTTAATCTACTGTTTTTTGTTTGATAGAAATGTTTTTTTCGTAGTTCTCTCTAAACTAATAGATGGCGATCATTGCATCTACATTGCAGTTTTTTTTTCAAATGTACGTCTTATACATAACTGAGGTTTTAAACACCATATTATTGTTGTTTAGTTGGTTCCTTAAGTAAACCTTCATTTTGTTTGATTGATAATTAACTAATTAGCTACATTTACATTTAAGTTCATTGACATCAATTTTCTAGTTTTAATAAAATGTTAATAAGTTGAACAACGACTTTGAATTGTTATTAAATCTCAACCTTAAATCATCTTCATCATATTCACCCTCGCTATTGCCATCCCCACCATTTTCATCATCAATAACATATTCAATGAGATAAAAAACCTTACGAGGTTAGTAATTTATTTGTGTATACCAAGCAGAAACACCTTTTGGAGTTATGGGAGCCCGTCAGAGTAACCCTGGAGGAGGAGGAGGAGGTGCTGGTGGTGGTTGTAGTGCAACAGCAACAGCATCCTCATCTAGAGTTCAAAATGAATCAGGTCTAGGTGATTCTGGACCTGGTAATAATGCCGGCTTTGCTGGCCTGTTGTCGAGTTCATTATGTCAAAATGGTTCAATGTCCAATAGATCAAGGCCAATTGCTTCAAGTTCGGGTAATACAAGTGGCAGTGGTGTCTCCGATTGGAGGCAACGAGCACGATCTTTGACCAATGTAATTAATACCTCTTCCGCTCACCATTCGCACAATGCAAATTCCAACTCAAATGGTCAACCCTTTGTGACTGTATCCCCTTTAGGACACTCATCGTTTGGTTTATCCGCATCTCCTGATAGTTTGACGTCAATTGATGATCTAACCTTCGGTCGAGTCTTCTCTGCCCATTCTTTGCCTGTACAACTCGTACCTTTTAATGGTATCGTTTCAACTACTAACTAATTAATTTTCTATATTAATGACATTTCCATTCCTCTTTAACTTCTATTCCCTTCTTTTAAAATCAATCATAATAGTCAGGTTATCATTAATGAAATAAATTAATTGCGCATCCTTGATCGTTACAGTAACCACTATCGAAGCCTAGCTTTCTTTCTCCATCAACTTGTCTTTCAAGCGTCACTTAGTTTCCTTAGAGAGAATAAGTATCAATTAAATATCATTCGCACTATATAAATAACCTTGAATCTGTCACATTAACATTCTCAAAACTTTAGCCTGATTCTGTGCTTTTGTAATATTTTTTTTACATAGAAACAGTCAATCATTTTCTCCAAACTTTCATTCACCTTTTTTCAGTATTACCTTTTGTTTACTTATTTACTAGCATTACCATGTTTTTTATATCACTTTTAGTTGTATCTTGTATAGATTTCTGTCAAGCTGATCAATTTTCTTTATTCATCTATTCTATACAATTTCATATTTCCAAGAATCATACCTTTATACCAGCACAATATTCAGCTGACTAGATCGTTGGCAAAATTTGTTCTCAGTTTCTATACTGTATTTTTATTCCTATAGATTACTCGTTTCCATTTTCTCGTAGTTACATCTAGACTGTTCATCTTTCAATTTCACTTTGTAATAATTTTGCAACTAATAATAATTTACCATTTGGCTGTTATGAACAGTGATGCATTGTGATCGGTAGATGGTGACTTGAGAGTCTTACTTAGTGTTTAATGATCGATATCTTTTCTTCCCAGCATCTCCATGTACCATTCGTTTTAAACACATTATCTTTGTTTTTTTATATTTTGTTATCCAACAGGAATTAAGTGCCCTGTCTGTTCTAAGTCAGTATTGCCTGATGATGTTGAATGTCATCTAGTAATGTGTCTTACCAAACCCAGAATAAGTTATAATGGTAAGATCAAAATCACTTTTTTCTACTATTCTGAATATCTTTTGTTTCAATTTTAAGCTCGTATTACAGATATAAAACTATTGATTCCATCTTTATTTTAATCTTTTCAAACTCTTCTCACTATCTCTTTGTACAGAGGATATACTTACAGAAGATAAAGGAGAATGTGTAATTTGTTTGGATGATCTGAGTCAAGGAGATACCATAGCTAGACTTCCTTGTCTTTGTATATATCATAAATGGTAATATCAATGTTGTTTTCTTTTATTCATTTTGTCCATTATTTTTCCTTATTTTTATTCCTATTTTTTTTCCTTATCAATTTACATTTGCAAGTATATTTGAATCTAATCATTGTCATTTTGTATTTTATCTCCATTCTAGTTGTATTGATGCTTGGTTTGAAGTTAATCGTTCTTGCCCTGAACATCCATCAGACTAATTTTCAAACCAAAGGCCTATCCAAAGTGATGAATGATTATTTCTTTGATACACTACAGATCATCATGTTTACAATTTATCACGCTCAGACTTGTAAAATACAAGATATCAAGATCCAAGGAAACACAAAGAAAAAAACAAGAATGAAAACAACTTGTGAATCCGAATATCATGTGAATACTATAAATCTATCATTCGGCAAGATTGTTGTAACGATGATCCGTTAATTGTTTGTAACATTATTTTTTTGCTTGTAAGCAAAAGATTTTGCTTAACAGATCATCTAACTCTCTCCCTCTTATCCACTCTTATTTTTAACATCAACCTTGTAACTATCAAAAGACCTTTTTTGTTAAAAATCACAATCAAACACATTGTTTTAATAGTACAGATAGAAATACTTTATCAACTCTGTAAATCTTAGCTTTTCGCTCTTATGCATTAGATTTTCGTTTTTCTTTATTCGCTTTTACTTTCAAATATACTTTTCCTTGGCTAACCTTTTTGGTCATTTAGATTGCTAACTGTGATATATATGTCTTACAACTAATTAACAAGCAAAAATCAATGGTCTTAGATTTCACTGTTTGAGGTCAAACAATTGAAAGTCAAATTGTTTTCATTCTCCTTTACACTTGAAATTTTCCTTTCCATGTGTCACACTTTTGAATGAAATTTAGGGCTTCTTGATTTTTGTTTTTTGTCCTTTTCCTTTATATATTTTTCACATCAATCACATTATATCTACATGAATTGTCAACTATTCATTCATCAATTTCATTTCTGGAGTAATTTTCTACCTTCAATTGTATCAACTTAAATCATTTGATTTATAACCATTCAAGTATCTTTACCATCGCCATAATTTTGAAATCTTGAAGTGAATGGTGAATTTCATTCCATCCTGCAAACAATAGTACCATCAAACACCATTAAACCATCAAACTTATAGTTTTGTTAATTTCATCGACTTTCCTCTTTCACCAACATCGCTCATTTCCTCGTTTTCATCGTAGATCAAACCCGCAAAGATATCAAATTGATGCATTTGTTTGACTTTTCACTTTGTACAATTAAACAAAATACATAAAAGATTTTCATTGTTCTACCGTAAATGGCCAGGATTAATGTTCATCCTTCATCTTTAACCTGATTAACACCATCGTTATAAACAAAACAGTGCCTTTTGATTAATGATATTGATTATGCTGATGACTCAAATCGAAAACTAAACTTGAAAATGTTAATTTTTATCCTGAAAATCATGTAACTTTGTTTAGATTATACTCACTGCTGCATTAATGTCATCACCATAACTATCATCTTGATTATTATTCTCATTTAATCTTCCTACCCTTTCTTTCCCCGATGTTTTATGCTTGTTATCAATGATCAAAAATAAAACTTCATCCTTCATTGTACTGTTATTGTACTGATAATCTTGAAACGTAGTTTTACTTAAACCATCCAGCAACAATTTATACCTGAGAAATGAGCTGTGCTAAGCAAAAGAAGCATGAAAATGTCCAAATTATATGCGATAAATTTTATGTATTTTGTGAAATCAAACAAGTGCAGATACAAACTTTTCCCCTAATAGGCTAAACATCCTTGTTAATCAGATTTCTCATATTCAATAAAGATTATTGTACCAGAGTTCAGATTGAAAGTTCGGCTAATTTATTCTTTAAACCCAATTTTAATTTATCTCGATCTTCACTCAATATGAATTTTACATGTTAAATTTTATGAAAAGAGCGAAAATCTTATACTGTTTAAAACTATACACCGAAATATCAAAAGTGAAAAGAATGAAGAAAATCATTGAGAAGTTTAAATGGACGTAATAACAAAAGATCCCTCATTATTTCATAGGTTTAGGAATACAACAAATGTGGAGCTGTCAGGTATTTACTTTGAGCAATTAAGTTACTCCAAAGAGGACTTGGATATGTTCGAGATAGTAATTTAGTAGTATTATGAGCTGGTAGTTTCAGTAAAGCACAGGGTACTTGGGAAACGGTAGCGATTTCGAGCAAATGTGATTCAAGGCTATCAGTTATCATATCAGGCGAAAGGATTTTCTTTTGAAATAATCGTTCCAATACAGTATCTGGACTTGAAACTTTGTTCTCTATGTATTGAATATAATCCGTTCTATTAGCCTCTCGAGCAACGATAACGAAATAGATATCCTTTGGCAATAGTTTTCCATACTGATCGATACACTTGGTAATCAGGTGAGTAATGAGCCAAGAATTGACAGATAGACTCGTTGATTGATTTGAAAGCATAAAATGGCATCACTTATTTTGAATAATCTGCCAATTGTTTCTTGTAATTCAGCATCGTCTGATTTTTTGAGCACCAATGATCCAACAAGACCAGAAGTGATAATTTGAGATTTAGACGGATGACCAAAGGTGATAAATATCATTTTAAGTTCCTCTGATTTAAATTCAGGAGCTGGTGTTGCTGGTTCAAATGTCAGAGTAAATGAAGAAACAGTTTTGGATGTTAACTCAAATTCACCATCATCTTCTTCATCATCCAAATTGACAGCTCGTGAAGTTGGCTCCTTAATATCACCGAAAAATAGATTCATCTTGATAAAATAAAAATTATTGACTGATCAACTTATTTATTAATGAAATCAACAAAAAACGAATTGTCATTCAATAACTAAACAACATATCATATGGTTTGTTGAAGTTCCCAATGCATGGAAATATGAAGTAAAAGTAAAACTCAATAGATGGCGATGTAAAAACTTTTTCAAAATTAAATCAAATCAAATTAAAATCAATAAATTTTTATTTTATTTGTTTTTCGGCTGACATTTGAATAGACCGTGTACTCGTTTATTTAGTTAAATTGTTTGTGTCTGAAAACAGTCAACTTAAACTTGGTTCATTCGCAAGAACTTAGAACTTGATTGATAGATTTCTTGCTCAATAGACCCATTTTAGTTTAAATTATCATTACTAGCAGATTTTACGGGGTTTTATTCATGTTACCGGATGGAAATTTAATTCAGTGCATTGATAATTGGTAAATTAAAATACCATTCGATTAAATATCCTTTTACTCTTGAAGGCTTCGCAAAATTATGTGCAATTCCAAGAGAAATGTATGTTGAATCATAGTTTTATAATGCGGTCACTCACTTATGTACCGGCATCAAAAAACATGATTTATTATCATTAAAGCCCCTAATTAATAGAAATTTTTTAACTGAGATAGAAATTCAAGTCAAAAATTAACACAGAAATCTTTAAATTTAATGAATAAGAAACAATTAAGAAACGAGATAAAATCTTAGAATAGTTTCATCTCAGAGAAATGGCATCGATCTATTCGCTTCATTAGATCAATTTAATTTTCTCATACTTGTCTATTATTATATTTTTATCATCCATTTCTTAAATCCGCACAAACAAAGGAAAACATGATATCTGGAACTAACATAAGTTATGTATCACCAAAACCAGTTGCGTGTTGTTGAGACACCAAAAATCTCGGAAATTGGGAAAGCGTCCAGTATCCAGGACTATGAAGAAGAAACGAAATTGGTCGGAATTTCATTGAGCTTTTGAATCCATACTCGAGTGAAACAATTTCCTTTCTTTTTGTCAATCATATTTATCACGGTGCATCTGAATGGAAAGATAAATAGACTAATTGATTTGCAAGCAACAATTTGAGTCAGAATTTATTTATTCACATTCAACATACATTTAAAAGAAATAAGAGAGTAAAAGAGAGCAATGATGAATAAAGAGAGGAAAGAAAAATAGAGAAAAATTATAGATGAAATTGAGTTTGATGATGAGATACATGGACCAATAATGATCCTTAAAGTCCACTGGTTATTTCAATGTTTGATGATTTTTTCCCTTGACGATTGTTAGTAGGATTTTCTGTTGGACTTCTGATGACTATTTCGATGACTCTTAAACCTCTTTCAATTGGATCAACAACGTGAAGTCCTCTAGGTTCCCAAAAAGTGTCATTTTGATTATCAATGAAAGCAGATATTTTTCTCATGTTACGTGAAAAATGAGTCTCAATACAAATATAAAGTAGATAGGCTGATAGACAGGCAAGGCAGCTTTCAAAATAGGAATACCAAGAGGTTTCTGCTTGGTGGTACATCTTATTTAAGGTATTAACTAGATGGTCAAAATGTTGTCTCTCAATAAGACCTTCTAATTCAGCAGGAAATTTGGTCTGAAATTTAATCATAGTCCCAGCTGAGTAATCTCTTTGGATGAATATTTTTTTAGCTTGATTTTGCTGTTGTTGACAACTGGTTGGGCCATTGGAATGACATGAAGGTTCCATTGCTTTTACACAATCTTCTAATTGAACTAATCACACTAATAGGTTTGGTTATGATGATTCAACAGTATCATTTGTAAATTATTTAATTGATTACAAATAATGAAGATCCAGGTAATTGTACGAACAAGAAAATCTGAAGAGTTTAACGAGACCTAATTTTAGTGTCGACACATTTCACTCACCTATATTCTAATAGATGGCGGCAGATTCCAAAAACCTAACGCCTGGCATTTGCTTCATTCAGTTGTGTTGTTGTCTGTAAATTGTTGGTTCCTTTCCTCAAGAAATCCTTCATTTTGTTTGATTGATAATTTACAAATTAAATTTCTTTTATATTTAAGTTCATTGACATCGATTCTCTAGTTTTAATAAAATGTTAATAAGTTGCACAACGACTTTGAATTGTTATTAGATCTCAATCTTTAATCATATTCATCACATTCATCCTCACTATTGCCATCGCCACCATTTTCATCATTAATAACATATTCAATGAGATAAAAAACCTTACGAGGTTAGTAATTTATTTGTGTATATTTGTCGAATTGCTTTTTTTGGAGAATGTACTATACAGCTTTCATTGATTATTGGTCGAGGTTCTTCAGCAGTTTGATATAATTTAGTGCTACATTGATGTTTACCCATGCAAAATAACTTGGTTTTATGCGGCTCTTAAAACGCTCCCCCTGAAAATTCATCTATTTCGACTTATTATTGATTGCATTGATACTATACTTTTTTTGGAAGAAAAAATATTAAGAAAGTGGAAAACTCAATTACGATATCTATATAAGCATGCCATTATACTTGTTATATCTTGTTTATCTGTTACAAATTGATGTTTTTTATTCTTACATTGACAGTGAATGAGACTTGAATCATTGGTTTCCATTTTCCTTTTCATCTTGTGCCGGGAACAAATTTGAGGAGAGTTGATAATCATGCTGTTTAACGAGAAGGTTTTAGATCTCGCCTTGAGTCAGATTGGTCTTAATATTGGATGGCAGTCAATGTCTCAGCAGTCCATGAGAATATTGCAAACTCTAGTTATCAAATATATTCGTGAACTTGGTAAAGCAACAATGGGCTTTGCTAATAATGGAAATCGACATGAAGCGTTTCTTAGTGATTTAGTTCTTGCCATGAGGCAGATGAACGTCAGCCTTGAAGAAATCCAAGAGTATATCAATGAAGTTGACAGTGTTCCTTTCATCAAAGGGAATTGTATTCCTTTGTATCCCTGTCCTCCACCAAAAGGATATGTGCGGATAAACTTCCCTGGCGTTGATGAAATCGCAACTAGGCCAGAATATATGGAGCCATGGTTACCATCTTTAAATTTTGGCGATAAATCAGAGGAAAAAGATACAGCTAATGGTACTTCAGGTGAAACAAATGGTCAAGATGGTCCCACTGAAGGAGAAACTTGTCCAAATGGTGATGGCAATATGAACGATCCGAAAAATGGGGTAGCTCATGAAAGACTAAATGATCATATTTATTTATCTTCTGTTTACATTGACGCTGAAGGAAGAGTTGTTGGTATTGGAGGTAGAGAAGGAGTTGCACCTGACAGTCGTCTACCACCTAAAGATGACTACGAAGAAAAAAAGATTGCAGAAGAAGAAGAGAAAAAGAGGAAAAGTTTAGAAGCTGAAGAACAAGAAAGGAAAAAGAAACAAAAGGTCGAAGAAGTAAATAAGCCAATCAAAACTAAAATCAAAGAAAAGCCTTTAACTAAATTAAAAAAAACCGACACTGGTCTGAAGAAAAAAGGACCCTTATGGGTCAAAGGAAATACCAAAAAGAAGTTACTCGTCAAAGTTTCCCTCTCTGGCTTACACAGTGGTACACCGACCGCTAAACCATCGCCATCATTAGCATCTCGTTCACCCACTGACTTTCTCGATGATGACGATGATGACGATGATGAGTTTGACAGTCTTTATATCAATTCCAAAGAAAATAGTAAGATCGACGAAGACACAAGTGCTAATTATGAAAACACAATCAACGAAGTTATTGAAAGATCTCGCCTTGAGAATGATTTGGAGCCTGGAGAAATTCCTGATTACGATTTCGACTTCAAAGATAGCAATCTAGATGTAAAAAATCCTAAACTCAAGAAAATCAAAAAGAAGATTTTAAAAAAGGGAAAGAAAAAAGATTCTTTCGATCTTACCATCGACAATGTGATAAAAACCTCATTAGGAAGTGAAATTGCTTCTGACGAAGATAAAAACGTAAAGGACAACGTGTATACATTCAGTGAAGAAAATAATTTAGATGTAAAATTAAAAGAAGACACAGGCGTTGATGCTAAGGAGGCGGCGAAAATACTTGTTTCGCTCTCTGAGGATGTTCCGAAGAAGGTGAAGAAAGCCGATCTAAAGAAATCATTAAAAGTTTCGTCACCTCCACCACCAGTCATGTCAACATTCGTTGGGACTAAAGGATCTAATGCATCTTTTCCCAAGGTTGCGCCTGGAAGTACACCTATGTCACCTAATTCCAACCCGACTATGTTTAACAATCCATTCTCATCACCACTTCGATCACCACCTCAACAGCCAATACCAACTCCACCACTGTTTTCAGACTTTTATCAGCTGGGTACACCAATGTCTTTCCAATCAACTTCAAGTAAATCAACGCCATTGCCAAAGCCCCCTCTTAAAACGTTAGCTGAAAAGAAAGCTCTTCCGCCAATTGATGAAAATCTTCTTCTGAAAAAAGAAAAGAAAGAAAAGAAAGTTAAAGAAAAGGCAGCAGATAAAAAGAAAAATAAGGAAAAAGAGCGAGAAAAAGAACGTGAAAAGAAACGAGAAAAAGAAAGAGAGCGGGAACGAGAAAAAGAGAGAGAAAGAGAAAGAGAGCGAGAAAAAGAAAGAGAGAGAGAACGAGAGCGAGAGAAAGAAGAAAAAGTTAAAGAAAAAGAGAGAGAGCGGGAAAGAGAAAGAGAACGAGAACGAGAACGCGAAAGAGAACGAGAACGAGAAAAAGAGAAAGAAAGAGAAAAGGAGAGAGAACGAGAAAGAGAGAAAGTAAAGGAAAGAGAACGAGAAAAAGAAAGAGAAAAGATCAAAGTTAAAGATAAAGATAAACTGAAAAACATCGATAAGGATTATATAAAGCACGAAGTTAAGGAGAGTAAAAAGTCGAAAAAGTTGAAAAAGACCAATAACGACGATACCTGGACGGATAAAAAGAGTGACAACAACATTAGTTCAAAATTATCAATCAAAGCCTTTACTCGGCATGATGAATCACCTGTAGCATCACCAGCATCTTCTTCATCATCAACTAAATTAGTGATAAGAACACCTCCTTTATCAGAAACTGTTGATCAGAACAAAGGTAAAAAAGACTCCAAGAAAAAGAAACAAAAGGCCATTACTTCTCCATCTATCGATGAACCACCAAATAAGAAAGCTAAACAAATTGTGAAGGAAAAAGGCAAGGAAAAGAGTAAAGTGAAAGATGATAAAAAGAGTAAAGACAAATTAAAAGACGACGCTTCATGTGTTTTAATCACCGAAACAATAACTAAAGAGGAAAGAGGACAACAAGAAGATAAACAATGGTACTGTCCAGTTTGTAGTAATCCTTATGATGGTCAGGTTGAAATGATTGGTTGTGATGGTTGTGACGACTGGTATCATTGGACATGTGTTGGTATCAAGGAAGACCCAGGAGAAGAAGAATCGTGGTTCTGTGTTAGATGTATTCAAAAACAGAAGGCTATTGAAACAAAAGTGTTGAAAAAGACTAAAAAAAGTGACAAACCTAAACAATCTAAAGCTGGAAAATCTTCGAAGACATCTAAAGTTGGATCATCATCTTCATCTTCATCGTCATGGTCTTGTGCTGTATGTAATAAGTCTAGTAACAGTAAACCTTGTATTTGTTGTGATTCTTGTGACGGATGGTTTCACTGGCCTTGTGTTGGAATCGTTGTTCCTCCGAATGAAGAAGACTCTTGGTACTGTGCGGACTGTATAAAAACTCAATGATATTAAAATTATTATATAATATTTCAGAATAAATTAATGATAATTAAGAAAAATATACCCAATCTGAATATTTACTGTATATGCTCTTTCTAATCATAGATTATTGTTAAAATAGTCTATCATACGACAATGTTAATTAAAAAAAAGTAAACCAACAACTTCAACAGTTATTTTAATATATTATTGTTACTTTCTCGTCATCAGGTGGCACATTAAGTCTTTGAATCTCAACCATCAGCAGTGCCAATTCAGTTTTTTTACATCAATTAAATTATTTCCTAATCTAATTATTGACAGATTGTTTTTGCTAATTTTTTATCTACTAGTTAATTGATTTGTGAACATCATGCTACTCGATTAAAGGTTCATTCATCTACAATTATTAGTGATTATTGAATGAACATCAATTTTAACTTGTTGATTAAATTCTGGATCAATATTTCTCTCAAGCCTTGTAATTTTTTGGTTCTATTTTTGGCTCCATCTAATGATTATTCAGAAAGTCTTTGACAAAAAAGTGTTTTTACATTTAATATTGAAAATTGACCGAATGTTGAAAAGCTGACTCAATCAATTATCGGAGTCCAATAGAGGGCAGAACACCAAAAATACAAATTCATTGGTAAAAATTGATTAACAATTAACTGTAAGTACAATTTAATACATTAATTTTAGTAAATATCTAGTTTTTACATCTTGAAATACATTCTTTATTGTTTTTTGTTATCAGAGTTAACCTATTTTTGTCAATATAATAGACTAATCTAACATCAACCATATTCTACTTTTGACTCCTCTTTTTTCATTATTTAGATGGATAAGGATCAGACCCCTCTTGTTTACGGTCTTGGACTATCTGTATGCAATATCTGATAAAGTGTTTCATGTTCTGTGTTAATAACTTTCATCGGAAATGTATCAACAGCAAACTAAATCATCTTCAGCATCATCCAACAAATTTTTGGCACCCTCTCGCTTACCTCGTAAAGGTCTTTCATCAAGTCCAGTCCCTCCTCCATCCAAGCCACCAAGAACTTTTGCCCATGATGTCTATCTAAATGCCAAGAACAGTCTTCGACCCACTGGTACAGTTACTCCTATAGTGACTCGGCGTGTTCGTTCACCATTACCACCAATTACTTCCATAAAAGAGAAAGCCATCAATAGTCCATACCATTATTCTAATCATATTTATAGTTCCATTGATGATGACAAAACTTACTTTCGCAATGCTACTTTGCGGCGTCGGTCAAAAAGCTTCGAGCACATTTACGCTGAGCCTGAATCACCAATCAAAGATGATATTGAAGTTAGTGAAAAGTTCAGAAAACTCCGTAATAAAGTAACTCCAGCGGATGTTGATCCCTACATGGTTACAGATTTATTCAATGCAAAGGAAACCCCTAGTAAATCAAGTCGCATTAAGGATATTATAAAACAATCGTTTTCCGCCCTCCGACGATTTACTCGTTTAGCTCAATTTGATCGGCCAGAATTCGAGGATGACACTGCCAGCGAAATCAGTCCATCAGAGATTGCTGAACGTATTATCTATGTAAAAACCCTAAAACGAAATCATACTCTTGAAACCTCCGATTATTACAGCTCTGTAGCTGATACCAAAACAGAAGTTAGCCTTTGTCGATGTTGCTTGATCATAAAAGATGATGGGTCAACAACCATTATACCAAGAAATGTTAAGCTCAACAATACCAAGTTAATTGAGGAGTTAACCGATTTTCCTGGACTCGATTTTGATTACTATTGGTTCACTATTTGGACGAAAGACGATAAATTTCTTTATGCTTACTGTGAACGCCAGAATCGTTATAAACGCCGGGTTTGCATTGTATCTGATGTTTATTTTCCTGAACTGTATATAAGAATCTTTAAAGCCCTTGGTAGTAAGGAAAATATTGACCCACCGGTTATATCATTTCTTAAAAAGAAATGTTGTGCACTACCTGGAGACGATTTAAACTACCTTTTTCTTCTTAATGTTCAAGTTCCTTATGACTGCCAAATTAGTTTAACCAAACAATCAGATCTTCTTTATCTGATAAGCCCTTCCTTATTGATGATGTGCATCGCCACCTTGATTCATGAACGCCGAGTGGTACTCGTTTCACGTCAAGAACAACGCCTTATTTCATCTTGTCGTCAACTTGTTTCACTACTTTATCCACTTTCTTGGGATTACATGTTTTGGCCTTTAGTTCCTTCCAACCATTTGTCACTTTGCTCAGCTATTAATATGCCTTTCCTGATCGGTATTCAATCACGGAATGTGTGGAAGTTTATCAACGCCATTAAAAAACGTGATGATAAATTGCTTATCATTGACTTGGATCGAAATTTGGTTCTCATGGAGATTGGCGATGAGTCCAAAATAATTCCTGCTAAAATATCAAAAGCTGTTAAACTTGCTCTTGATTTATGTCTTTCTATGAATGATCCTCAAGATAAATACCGTGATGGAGTTACCAGAGAAGCCTTTATTGAAATGTTCATTGAACTCATAGGAACAGCTCGTCTCTTTGTGACAGAAGACAGTTTCTCGCGAGAAGCTTATATAGCATCAATTAAAAGTCGTAGTCATCAATCATTTCTTCAATGGTTCACCGAGACTCGGTTGTTTAACAATCACATTAAATTCAATCAGCTGCGATTAATACAATCACGAATCCATCCAAAATATAATCATTTCCTTCAAATGGGACTATTTGAGATGAAATCTCTTCAAATTATCAATGAAACTCAAAGTAAAACAACTAAATCTCTTTTCGGCAAATTCAAGATATAAATATCTTACCAATCAGTATCGAACCAAACTCTTAAGAAGCACCTTCATAAACAGATAAACAGCTGATGGTTTTACAAAAGATCTGAGACAAAAAACAAAGCAAAGTGTAATTATCATTTCCAACATCATGACCAAAATCAAAAGCCTTTCAAACTAATGTTTTTGTTTTGTTCATATTTTAACTCGCACTGTTATTATCATCACTTATTATCATTATTTTTATTATAAATTTTTGCTCTTACCACAATTTTAATGATCTAAATGTCGATAGAAGTTAATTTTTTACCAGCAAAATTAAATTTGAATAAAAAAACTGATTGTGTAAACAAATTATTACCAAGTGGATTCGGAAATCAACAAATGGTGAAAGTGTCGATTCAAATCCGATAAATAAACGTTTCAATCAGGGAAATTACTCTATCAATTATCCAACTATCAAATCTATTGAATATGATTAATCAACTGTCAGGTGGAAAGCTTCAAGTCATCACATGGAATTGATTAAGGCTATCATTAGCAAGAAACAACAACAGAAAATCTAATTGAAAACAAAAAATTGAAGTGAATTCTAATTCTTAATAGCAAGTCTGGCTCAGATGGCTTCAAATCCAATCCAGAGACAATCGATCGCCAAAATTGGTTTCAGATGCTCTGAACTTCATGCATTAGCGTAAATTCATGAAATACAACGAAATCAGTTGTTATCAAGATAATTCATTTTTCTTTGATTCACTTTCCTGTTTCCTTTCCTGGAATCTTTTGTTGTCATTTCAATCATTTATTTATACAATTCGTACATTTATTACAAACCAAATTAGAGGCAAAATCTCATTTTCATGACATCAGCTGACTCCACTCACTGTCTATTGAACCTAAAACGATTCCTATCATAATAAATGTACTAATAAGGTTATCCAAGTTGCTATTCATTGGTATAAATCACATTTCAATGTGTGTTGTCACTCAAATTTCACTGTCCATTGCAAATCTGTTAATTTTGTTCAATGCACCTGTTTTATTCATCAACTGAAAGATTTGGTTATTCAAGTTTTACATACAATTTGAGTTAAAATTTACATTCAAAATAATTTATAATTTATACTTTCAACAAATTATAACAATTAAATCAGCTAAGATTCCGTCAGGATTCATTTAATAACAGATCTGTCAATTTTAACAATGATTAGGACAACTCTGTTTATTAAGTCTAAAATATTAAGATTGTTAATCATTTTCCATGTCAAGGCTAAGTGTTATAATTAAAACAAATGTTTGAATATCATTATTAGACTGAAATCAACCCCATGATTGTTAATCCAATCATGATTAAGATTAATATACAGCAAAAACATTAAACATAAAATGGTTAACATTGAGTCTATTAAGGTACAGAATCATTGACTTTAAACATGGACTGCTTTTGTATCTTTTCAATAATTGAAATTTACAATTATAATTTAAATATATAAATAGTTGAAATAATTTTCCACCAAAAAATATTGTTCATAAATGATAAATAATAATAAAGTTAAGCAGGACAAATGATCAGTCACAATAGCGATAATAATAATCATAATAACAACAATTGAATCAATGAATATTTCTTAAATCATCTTCACTTATCTTAACAATCCCTCTCAACCATTACAATACATTTCAACCCTTTCAATGATTACAACCATTAATAAACCATTAACTGAGCAATGGTGAACAGTAAATAGCATTGATAGTGATATAATAATGGTAATGATATTGAAGGGCCATGAATTTTCATTTCATTTTTGGTTAACTTTCAGATTGTTATTATGAACATTATTATTTAAATGAACATTCTCATTTTTACTAGAGTGATTATGATTATTGGTCTTATTAACTGAATGGTTATTCCTATTATTGTCATAGTTGGCACCATTAACTTGATTGTTATTAAGCTTGTCTTCTTCATCCATTGAATCCTCTTCCTCTTGAGCGTGTTTAGCCAACGCTAATAGAACCATAGTTAACTCTTTTTTGTTAATTTTTCCGTCTTTATTCAGATCGCAGCCTTTTAAAATGGATCTTTGAAATTGCTCCAAGTCTTGAGCATCGTAATCCTGAATAGTAAAAATTAAACAAAAAATAAAAATTAGTAAAGAGCAATTGTAAGACATCATCTGCATCAGTTGAAATGGTTAACCTTAACATTGTAAGCTCATAATTAGACCGGTAATTATCAATTTACACGCAATTCAACTCTTTTTACACTTAATTTTCTCAACCTTTAGTCAATAGATTGGATCAAAATATTGATATTCATTACCTTTCATTGAAACCTAACAATTAACTAATGTTTAGATAATGAAATTGTGAAAAGGGCAGACAGAATTGTCTTGAAAATTTGAATGAAAAGGTAAAAATGATTGAATGGAACAATCATTCAAACATTCAAATTGTTAACCTGTCAACCTGTCATTTGATACTAACAAGCAAATGTAAAGAAAGTGATCGAGTTTTGTTGCCAATGTAAAAATATTCACATTTAGATTGATTCGTCTGAATTTATATGATTGTTAAGATCAAAATTTTGAATTTTATAATTTTTTCTTCAACATTTCCACTTTCATGGTAACTCATATGACAATAATGGTAACAATGTTAATAATATAAATAATAACAGCAACAGTAACCTTGATGTCAAGGAATCAAGCAACTGTCAGTTTAATGGATAAACTGAGTTGTTGCTAAATTAAGTCACAAGAAGTGCAGTGAGTTTACATTGAATCGCATTCACAAAGCTTGTCGTTCAACATCAGCTTTATGTCATTTTCAGGAGCAACTGATACATGGAAAAATCACAATTTAAATTGCAAGTAAATCGATGAATTTCACACACACTCAAATTGATGGTTTAAAAAAGCTTTTTAACTGTGAGATTTGACGAAGAAAAGTAATCGATTTGAATATTTCCCTGAATATTTCTCTGCATGATCAATGGTAATTGATAAAATGAAACAATTTAACTGTTAAATATTTCCCAATGATTGATTGAATCAATCCGAAAATTTTCATTCCATTGACATTCAATCGATATTTACGGGTTTTTAAGGTTTTAAGGTTGAAGCGAAATGCTATTGAAATGCTTAAGAAAAAAGGTGCAAATGGAAATGAATGCACAATGTTTCATGGTGAACATGATGATAAAGATAAAGTTGATATTAAAATAAGGTAAATAAGAGTAGGAGGAATGATGAGCTTATTGAATGGAAAGAATAGAAAAAATGATGTTTTTTGGGTTAAACTCACTTTTTTAACCAATTCAAGTAGATCTTTGAGAAACCCTTTCAACTCTTCATTTTCAATGGTTCCATTGTTATCCTTTAGCATTGAAGATATCAGCCAAGAGAAAGGTGATGAAAAAAAAGGAAAAGAAAAATTAGTTTATGCAAATAAAATGATGTAAAACAAGTTGAAGATGAAGGTATAGTCGTTTGATATTCAAAACGTTCACAAAATTATTAAGTTTTGTCAAAATGTGAATCTTAATGTATTTGTAGGATTTAGCAATGATTGAAATAGCAAAGTTGATTGGAATGAAAACACAAGAGAAACAGTTTTTTTATTTTCCCTCGATTTGCCTCAAAACAAGTTGCTATTGAAAAAAAGCTTTCAGTTCAACCTAATCATTGCTTGAACTTCACGTAAATGTTAAAGATCAATGTTGATGTCCATGACTTTGTTAATTTAAATACGTCTCTATGTTCAAATTAATAATTTAATGTAAATTGTCCAATCTTTGAAGCTGTTGAGTTGACTTATTCAATTTGACCAACTTAGTAATTTTGTATTCTTCAGATTGTTTCCGAAATCAAATGACCGCAATAACAAAGTACAGCAAATTCATTTCTATTGAATTGAAAACATTAGCTTATTTAATCGGTTAATTTGGTGTGAATTTGATGCACTCTAATACAAGGTGAATCCTGAAAAGATCACGTAATAAGATAATCATCATTATTGTTGAGTATTCCAGGTTCAACAGTAGCTAGTTTAATCGATTAAAACTTCAACAGATAATGATCGTCATTAAAAGAGAGTTAATAAGTGATTAAAGTGAAAATTTTATTTCATTATAAACTATAAAATATTTTTCCACAAAATTTAAAAGTTAATTAACTCTTATTGATTTTCATTTTAGCCAAATGCATCATCATGAAAATTAAGCACCAAAAAGTAGAAGCAAATGAGGTTCTCAGCATTCTTGAAATTCACCTCTTATTGTGCAGATGATATATCATTAATAGACTAAATTAATAAGCTAAATAGCAAATTCTGAAGTTGATTTAATCCAAGCTTGTCTGAGTTTCAAGTGCTTCGTACTTAATTCAAGTCTATCAATTTTATACCAAAAATTGGAGTTGATTATATTTCCAATGAAAATTTGCTCATATTTTGTTATTTGCGTTCAATTGATTCATGAAAAGATGGTGATACTTACCCTGTCATAGAGAGAGAAGACTGTCTCAATATCTTGTTGAGTTAATTTGGTTCCAATGAAATTGGATCGACAGAGAAAATTTTCCTTGACTGGAAGCAATCTGTAAGAGAATGGGAAACAATTGAACAGTTTAATCACAATTATCAGTATAATTGGACAATGGAGCAAGAAAATGGTGAAAAAAGGTTTTATCCTAAATGATTAACTTGGACTTGTTGCAATTGTTAACTTAAATTGTTATCCCATGTTTATTTCATGTTTACCTTTGATGGAAGGAAAAAGAAACTCAAATCCCATTCTGAATCTTATCTTCAACTTTCAGAAAGTATCACTTGAATGGTTACTTTTCACTGGTATAATTTAAAGACTTTGAAACTCCCTGAAGAGCATTCTAATTCAATTCGAGAAAACAGAAAGGATTGAATGTTGATTCAGGAAACAGAAGGGAAAAGCAAAAAGTTGATCATTATTATCATCGACAAAAAAAACATGGTTTCATAACCAACAGAACAGAATCTATTGAATCTGTGCCTGAAATGAAATATATTAATGTAATCCTTTTAGTTTCATCTTCATTGATTCTTGACATTATTACATGAAATTTATCAGCATTAACAGAAACTTTATATTTGAGTATAAAGAGAGAGCTTAACATTGTCGGCAAGTTTTTTTCATTTTTTTGGCACAAAAATGGAAACCCAAATTTTTCATGTAAAAATATCATGAAACGTGGTTCTTTTACCTTCATAAATAATTTGATCACTCATGATATTAAACATGTAAGAATCTAATTTCATCCCAAAGGAATTATAACTTTTACCTTTTACCTTCACAGCATTATCGTCTTACGAATATCATATTTTCAGAGTAAAACAAACCTCTCAAATTATTAGATATTTTCCTGTAAGAACATAATTCGTTGGCTTTTCAATTTCCTTAGTTATTCATTTTTTTCCTGGTTAACAATCAACTCATAATTTAATTGTAAACACAAATGTAAACTTCAACAACGAATATGAAACTGCTAAATGAATCGATACTTGAAATGAAAAAAAATTCAACTTTTATTGCGATTTTATTTCATTCTTGTCCCAGTTTTTTACCACATTTAAGATAATTAACTTGTCGATGCTTTAATTAGCCTTTTAGTTTTCATTAATAATGGCAAATTTAATGGACTGTTGAGTTGATATTAAATATTGTAGTCTATTGAAATTGTTGGACTGTTTTATGGTAAACAAAGACTATTGATTAATTTAACCATTAAAATGTATCATTCACTTTAATCATTAATATTAATATTTGCTCCTTCAATTGCTATTTATGGAAAGCCATCTTTTACCTTTGTTATTGAAATAAACTTATTGAAATTGTATTTGTATTACTTTCATTATTAAAATTGAATTCAATTACCGAGAGATTTTAGTGTAAAAAAATATCATGTAACTATTGTTATCGTTTTCATCAGCATTGATATTAACTAATATGAATATCATTTGAAATTCATTGGGAGTTTCAATGGTATAACCAAATAGGAATAAATTTAAAGGTAATTTCAATAAACTTACTTGGCCATTTCACTTAATTGTAATTTACCATCCTTATTGGTATCAAATATTTGAAGCAATGTGTCAGTGTATTCAATTAATTTGTCTTCATCAACATCACCATCAATGGCACCTCGATTGGCTTCTTTCATTAAATCACGTAAAAAATTCTGTTAAAGGTTCAATTAAAATAAGGTTATTTATTGCATTGAGTCAATGTAAAAATTAAACACTTTGAGTCTCAATTTTCAAACATTGAAATTTTTCTGGTTAAATTGGGTAAAGGTGGTTGGGTTAAGTAATCAACAAAAGTATCATCGTTTGTTGATTTATTATCATCTGAGCAAACAATATAATGAAACTTGCAACCTCACCCTTTAATCTTGAGTATAATAACCTTGTTTAATAGGGTGTACCAGGATTAAGATTATATTGCAAATTAAATTGAATTATGAGGCAAATCAGAATAACTTTGACTTTAAAATTTGATACAACTCAAGGTATTATAAAAGCTATTCATTTGACTTGAAACTCAACTAATCTGACAATGTAAATATTGTTGGTTCCTTTCTCACTATTACATGGGTAGCCAATTAACGGAATCAACTTAAAATTTGATTTTGATTTTTATGATTGAAATTGTGCTTGATTGTTAATCAATACGTCTTGGGAACAGTTGATATTCAAGCGAATTGATTCTTTTGCTTTATGCAACTGAACCATTTCCAGACTCTTTTTGAAGGTTAATTATTGTACCTTTCATTATATTGACTTGTCATTTAGACGATCACAATTTGCGAGGAAAATTAGTATTTAAATAGAAAAGCAATTGTGTTCAAATGAATTTTCTTGAAAAATATTAATAGTTCATCCTTGAACAGTTGCTGGATAACTGTTGCTGCAAGTTGTTTATGCATACTATTCACAATATAACGTGAATTAATAATCACTCCCAGTGTTGGGATGATATTTTATGGTAAATGATTAACAAATGTTCACAAGGATTTCGTTAGACTTGTAAAGTAATTAAGATTGAAGGTTATGCAAAAAGAGTGTTTTCCTGAAAAAAGTTCATCCAAATTCAATAAACAAAATTGTCTCAATTATGGTTGATGCTAACGAATGAGATAAATTGTGACAAAAATGCTTGAATAGCTTTCAATTGCAACTAATTGGCCCATTAACCCATGTAACAGATGAAACCATTTGTCAATTCAATGAAAACATTTCTAGTGATTTCATATAACATTACAACATTGCAATTTGTTTCATAAAAGTTATATCAAAGTTTGGAAATGCCTTAAGATATTGATGAAATGGTTTTTGTTTGTTGTCTGTTCATTTTAAATTTGATGGAATCGCATTTGGAATCATAAATTCAGGAAAACGAAACACTGGAAATGAGCTTACAAGCTGTTGTACTTTTTTTCAAGGGAATTTTGTATTTTTAAAAGGTTGAAAGAAAATCATTGATCAATTCAGCTAAGTACATGAAAGATCTGGAATCAATTCAGGTATTGGATAAAAAGGTAACCTTGTTGATCCAAGATTCAATGTAAACCGAGAAGAAAGGAAAGATGATCAGAATGATGATCTAAATGATGAAGATGAAAAAAAAGGTAAAAACCATTAGTCAAAACCAAATAGACGTTCAATGTTAACAATGTCAACTTGCAATTCCCTTGATCACAATGGATCAATACATTATATCAATGTAGACAGGAATTAGTAGAGATCATCATTTGGATGGACTTTTCCTTCTAATCAGATTTTCATAAGACTCTTGAGCTAATCAACATGGAAATTCAGTGAACAACACTTTTTAAATGTCATTAATCATTGCACCAGTTCTGCTTCTCTTAGCATCAAAATTAACTAAAGATATTGATTGATCATAACTTTGAATTAATGACATCAATTGATTGATCTTTAATTTCTGTTGTTTCTTGCTCAAATTGGTTTGATTAACTTTGCAGACTTGACATTCATTTTTGTTTGCTCAGAACTTATAATGTGAGGGAAAAACAATTTATTTCAAGAAACCACGAAAGGTTACTGTTGGTTGGAAAAGGTATCAAATTTTGTTTACTTGACTGATGGGGGAATAAAGAGGTAAATCAGGGAGGTTTTGTTGATAGACATTGAATTATTACCATTCAACTGATACAGAGTTGATAACAAAATTGAAGCGTAATTTTACTTGAAAATAGTTTCAGTTGGTTGATTATTATTTTGCTATCAAAGTCATCAGTTGCCTTTTCTGTCAGGTTCAATGTTGTCAAGGAAAATCAGTGGAGGTTAAATGGAAATGAAAGTGTTGAATTGATTGTCTTGAAGGGTAAAAATTGAAATTGAAATTCAAGTGTCAAAAAATGGAAAACCATTTTTCTGTTAACCAAAAGGTTATGACAGTCAACAGTTGGCTCTGCATGATATAATCAATGTCATTGTCACCAATAACCAGAGATTTGTTGACTTTTGTAATAATATTGAAATTTTTTCATCAAAATTCCCTGTTCAAAGCTTTTCAAAAAATATCTAAAACATTGTCAATTCCATTGTTTTCCAACTAATTGGAAGATGGATTTTGTAAAGAAATCAAATTTCATTCCGATGAACACTGGTGAGTCTGTTGAATCTTGAATAATTCAATTAAAATGTTCAGTCAAGTTGTTGTTTCCATAAATTTTCATTTCCATCTATTAGTTGTAATTGTTTTTTTTTGAGCAAAAATGGGAAAACATTCAATCCTTACCTTTAATTCATCTGCTTCAATGAATCCACTGTTATCTGTATCGTATTCACGCCAGATCTAATGAAATATATCAGATGAAATATAACAGAGAAAAGGGTTTTACAATTAGTAACATTTAATTGTTCAAATTATGGATGCTTGGATTGAGCTTTCACTTTCCGTTAATTTGTTGTGTTAATTGAACGTGAAACATTTTTGTTCAAATTATTGAGAATCTCATTGAGATAAACAGTGAATATTGTTCCAAAAATTGCTCCTCATTTTCGTTCTGCTTTTCTGAACCTTTTTCAGGCAAAATTCAGAGAAATTTTACTTCTTTTTCCAACTGTTTAACTTTTAACTGATGATATTCATGTACTTCAGAAGTAAAGTAAAGGGTAAGTATTAATACTCGTAATGATATTCCAATCCAATTTTGGAATTAAAATTCAAATAAAAATATGCTCTTAGCATACAAATGAGAGCATTACAATAGACTCGCTAATGTATCGTAATGTAATGTTGGATCAAAAATCAAAAACCTTTGAGGGTTTAATCTAGATTAGCATAACAAAATAACTTATGACTATCTGATTTGCCTAATCAAATAAACCTCAAGGGTTATGTTAATGGGTATTTTGATATTAGTTTTCAAAAGCTGATCAGCAACTCTTTCATCAACTGTTTGGATCAACGATTTTACCTTTCAACTTTTTTTGTTGTAGAGAACAAAAAATAGGAAATACTCAGATAATTGCAAAATAAATCCCATGTAAATACAAATCGGACAAGACCAAAGCCGATTATATTGAAATAATGAGAAGTCATTTCATCATCCCAATAGCAGTAAATCAATGGATTTTGCAGATTATCATAATACTCGACTGTCATTTTGAAAAAAAGTTGAAGTCTATCATTTTGCAATATGATAATCCACAACAGAGATTAGCTGAGGGAAGCTTCCTACTGTGATGTTGCTTGAATTGCGGGCTCAATCAGAGTCTAGGTAAGTATTGTTTACATGTAATTAATAAGTATAATTACTTTCATGAATTCAACACTGGAATCCAAGGGATTATCAAAACGAAAAAGCAAAAGAAAACTTTCTTCCAAAGGTAAGAGTTGAGCCAATTCTCGGATTTCAATTGCTCCATCCTTGTTGTCATCATAGGCTTCCATGAAGCAATCCTTGAGATCAGCTAATGTTGATTCTGAAAAAAGCTGGAATCAAAGGAAAAACATTATTATTAGAAAATGGAAAGAAAAAAATAGTCTTTTTTATTCTTGGATTGTCTTATATAACAACAGGCAATTGTAATTCAATCAGTTTACCTTCAACATGCACTTTTATATGCTAAATCGGGTTAATAATTCACCATCCATTGAATAATATATGTTGCTTGTCTGACTTTCAATTCAGTTGTAAACCCATGGATTAAGATACATTTTTCATTGCAATTTATTTCCTCTTCTCTATCACTACCGTTTGTCTGATTAATATAATGAGTTATTGCTGATTGAGTTTGAAAAATTTAATTACTGTTAGGTGTTGATTGCCATTTGTGTCTCATTTTGGAAGCTTTCAAGATTGTTTAAATAATCAATTTGCTCATTAGGTATTCAAATATACAGTCAATGTTCACAACCACGCATAATATTGTAGCTCATGTTTTTTGTAAATTAATAATAATCATGATCGAGAAAAAGTAAAAAATATCATGAAATGAAATTAAGAAAGCAAATTCAATGTAAAGGTTTAAGGTTAATCAAAGAAGTAGACAGAGAAGTAGATTCAATTTCGAGAATGTAAATTAATAAACTCAAATTTTATCCCAGCTTCTTCACCTGACTAATGAATGGCCTTAAAACAAGTAGCAATCCATGTTTCACTGAGCACATTTTGATCTAAACGACTGTTGACAAGCTTTTTTGAGTTCATGTACCATTTACTGAAGCTGAAGGTTAGTCCATTTTTAGGTTAACCATTGAGAAAGTGAAGGTAAAATGATTGAATCACATTTTGCTCTATGAACATTGTATATAAAAAAAGAAAGAATGTTAATGAACCAACAGAGTTGGTTAATCTAATTAAAAACAGTTTACTAAACCCACAGAAAAACAGTTTATAATTAAACTTACCTCAGGATTAATCTCATCAGTTGGGTTGATTGAGAGTATGAATTCTCGAAGAAATTTATCCAATTCTCTTCCCTCTATGAAGCCATTTCCTAATGATGGTAACAGCAAGGTGAAAGACGAGCAAAAATATCAAACAAAACGTCAATTTAATTAAAATAATCGACTTGTCAGAGTGTTCAATTGACATAACCAAAGTCATTTCAAGTCAAATATAAAAAGTCAGATGACGATACTAATTTTAATTGCATTAAAAATATAAATTAACGGAAAAATGAAAAATAAAAGCTTTTATAAAACAAAAAAAGCTTACGCCTTTAAAATGAAAATTTTAACCAATCAGAAGTCGCATCAATGGCGCTTCAATTTTAACCTCCAAATTCAAATCTCATTAGAGATTTGTCTTTAAGAAGATTACAACAATTTAATTAAACCATTCGACTTAATTGTTGATTATTAATGCTCTTTTAGGTTCAAACAATTCTTGAGCTTTAGCATTAAACTTGTTGATCCGCTACAAAAATTGGTAAAGCTTAAATTAAAGATTTTAATCGATTGAATATCAACTAATTCAATCAATCGGATGAATGACTGGTTAAAGATACTCAAATTATCCTTATAAAATGAATTAAAGATCGAGTTATTGTTGAAATCTACTAAACAATTCCTTTAGATGAATACCCCCATTTAAAATTGATAAAATGCTTGAAATGGCAGACTAAACATTGCATTAAGCTCATGGATTAAGAATTGTATTTCCTTGTGAAATGATGGATCTAATGAAATGTGACTGGTTTTAATGAAAAATAATCAAGATATGTCGATATAAATTATAGTTTGAATCCTGATCATCAACATGATACACTTTCATCATGCTTACTAAGCTTTTGCTAGATTCTTTACCCATTTCATATCAATCTTAATATCCAATAGCAAAAAATTGAACGAAATCAAATGCATTTGTTATTAAATGATAAAGATTTCAGGTTAAGCTTTTGTATGAGTTACACTCGCTGTCAACTGAATGTGGACAGAAAATATTTATTTAGTTGACCTTTATGTTAGTTGAAAAAAGGTTATGTTTATAACTTGAGTAGGAGATGATTAAGCAAGTGTGAAAAGGGACAAAAAGATGGACAAAAGATTGAAAGCACGGAATGATAATTTACTTTTCATGGTACATTTGATGCACATTTTCATGGTGCATCAAAAAATTTCAGGCAAAATCAAATTTAATTTGAAAATGCTTAGCAAAATGTGTTTAGATGTTAAAATCACTACGTGTTTGATGCAAGGTAAACATTGAGATATCTTGAAAGCTTGAAAAGCATTTACAATTTAAAGACAATTAGCTTACCATCTTTATCATAATGACGCCAAACCTCCATAAACTGGACAGCAGTTAAATTGCGAAGTTCATTTGTTTTACAATCACGAAATTGCCTGAGAAAGTTTTTTGGTTTACATTCACTCATAGTTGCCAATCTTTTGATACAAGTTGAACCACAGCTTGATGTTGCTTGATCCAAACAGTTGCTTCACAAGTCAATTAAGTTGAAATACTTTGGTACACAGTTAATTGGTAATCTAATTGATCTTTAACTTTAATTAAATGAAAGATCAAGTTGGTAAATTGATTAAAACAACTTAATTGTTGAAGTCAATTCTTTTGTTTATCTTGGTCTTGTTGATGTTTTGTTAGTGTCACTCCTGGTGGTCGGTTGGTTAGTTGACTTTGATTTTTGAAAAAAACCGTTTGTTTTTGTTTGTTGATTTTCAATGATTTACAGTCACAGGTTGACTGAAATTTTTAACAGAGGTAAAGACAAGTGTTCATGGTGATCATGGTTAGACTGAGGAGGATGTGGAAAACTGCGCAGATTATATATCCTGATTGAGCAGAATTACTTATTGGATCGATAGGAAGCAAGAAAATTTCATTTTATCTGTAAGTATTATAAAAAAAGAAACGTTATTTTCCAATTCTGGTTTTGACTTTACGAGTTTCTAATGTTACATTACATTACAATTTTCCAGATCATCATTTCTCTTCTTTATCTTCACCATTATTTTATCTCTGTATTGGCATCTTTATCTCCTTACATCATGGGAATCGTTTAAGATGTTGACTCTTTTAAACAGCTGAAAATATACCAATTCCGTGTATATTACAGCAGGCTGTTAGTTGGATTCAAACTACATTTAGGATGGTAATGGTGTTAATAAACAACAACAGCATTAAATCAAGTGAACATTAATAAGATTAGATTATGGTGTTAATGGTTATTAACTGTGAACCCAAAGTACAATTACCTTCATCAATTTACAATGTAAATGTATCAAGCAATGGCAACAATTTTCAATGCTTTTTGATTTTATATTTTTTCATTGGATGAAGCCTAATGCTGACTTGAGTGTTCAATGATACAAATGGCATTTTTTGAAAACAAACTCTTATGGATCAATTAACTGGTGAATTATGCTGAACCTAAAAGTCTTGATTGTAATTACATTCAGAATGACTTGTTTGCTTAGTGTCTGTCATTAGTAACGTCTGTGCAAAGATTTGTTACTTTCAATGTCTCCAAGCATTGATGACAATTATTTCAGTAAATTGGTCCATAGATGAGTAGGTGCAAGGTTAAGATGATAATTAAGAAATCTAATTGGATTTGTTTAATTGGAATGCTTGATAGATGAGATGTTTAATATATCGGTTGAATTGCTCATTAAGCTAAAGTCATTGAAAATTGGCAAAATTGTGAAGTCATATTTGGATAGTTATTTGATAATCAAAATAGCAATATTAATCTCAAATGCTTTTCATTTTTTCGTGTTATTGACATTGAATGATAACAGATGAAGCGATATAAAGGGATTTGAAATACAATGGACCAAACAGGTTTTTTGACAGCATTTTGTAAGCTTATGAAAGTTATCAGAGATGAATCTTTCAATTTTCTCGTACAATCTGTCAAACCATGGCTGCTAATCGTCTTCATTTCAAGTAAATTGACTGTAAAATTGAGATTCAAGACTCCGAGCAACTGTTGATGTTTCCCTTTTACCTTTTGGATCAATCATTTCTTCATCACCTCCAGCCTCAGGAGTATCCGCAATTTAACCAGTTTTTTGCATCTTGTTTATTGAATGCTCTGATATTGTCATGAATTTCTCTGGTTTCTTTTTTTTCTGATCAACATTTTCTTTTGGATCATTAATTTCCATCTATTTTTGGTTGAATAAAAATTTTCATTGCTTTTAATTTCCGATTCATCGACGCTATGAAAGTTTCATGGACTCATAACAATAAATGTGACGAAATCTTTAAATTTCATTGTATTGCTCTACAATTGATAAAATATTAAATGGAATGTAATGAATTCAAAGATTGAAATGCTACGATTTATCACTGATTCATACTGAGCGGAGTAAATAATGAGTTGAAATGTTGGATATTTTTCCACAATCGCGATGGAAGTACTTTTCATTATTAATAACTAAAGGAAGATCTGATTTACGTCATGGTACAGACTTCAGATCTTGATGAAAATGTATAGAATCTTCTTCACCTAAATATAATCCAAAAAATTTAAGATTCGACAAATCAACCTTTAGCACCTTGTAAAATTTTGTCCTTTTGGCCCATTTTTCTGATTTGCATCACATATACATTCAGTAGATTACCTTGCTCTTTTGGATTTTTTGCAGGCTTCTTACCAGCATAATGAATCAAACAACGGTAAATATAACGGCGACGGTGACAATGATGGTGAGTGGAACAGGAATGGTTATGGTGACAACAATAATGCTAATGTGAATAAGTTGGCGAATATTATCAAACCGGTAAAGGTCGTAACTTCCCGTAAAAAGAAATCTCGGAAGTCAAGAAAAAATCAAGCAGACGCAAATCGATTAACATATCCCCACGCCTACACAGCAATTCGCCCGAGTCCACGCTGATATGAGCTATCATCTCGTCGACACTCCTTTATACATTCGGACTGAGGCTGCAATCCCGCTAGGATGAGAGTGGGAACGTTCTTTGATTTTGTTGATGGTGAGACAATTGAGTAAACAGTTCTATGACATTTGAAGTGACACTTGGGTAACTTCCCTTGTCAGTTTTTATGCCCCTATAAACCTAAAAAGTCCCAACTCTTAACTCGAGTTATTTTACACCGTCCTAGTTCAACCATGGCTTTCAGGTTGCATAAAAGTTTTCTTTGTAATCCTTTAAGTTTAGCCACAATTTTTACACAAAAATTTGATGTTTTGATTTATACACGTACATATTGCGTATTCAAATGTACAACACTGGCAAGTGTCATTGTTTGTCTTTCTTTATATTTTGTTTTCTTTTTTACTGTCTATTTTAGTCTCTTTTTATCTTCTTTTCCTGAGTTTCAGAGTTGTGTTGTGAAAAATTGTAAATTTTTGCCTCGACATTCAGGACAAAACCTTCCTTTAGCGATTAACAGAAAATTTATAGAACCATTGACAGAGAAGTTTTGAGCGAAAAATACCAAATCGGTATTAATATATTAAAGGGTGTAACGAATAAAATAATACCTTCATCTCAAAAATTTAATCTAGGAAGACGAAGATGACAATAATACAAAGAAAGAGAAAAGAAACGTAGAAAATTATCAAAGGTCAAAACACATTTTTATCAGTGTCATTTTCGTCTTCCTAGATAAAATTTTTTAGATAAAAGTAGTTTTTTATCCGTTACATCCTTTATATAAGAATACGTATTTACGTAAGAATATTATTATTAATATTAACCTTATCGTGATAATTTGATTTAAAAATTTCATGAAAGTGAAATCAAATGATGTAACTTAATGATACACAAAGAGATGGCATTATCATTCACACAATTGACAGTCGAAAATCTTTCTACTAGTTGTCTGATCTAGTGCGCAAACTTCAGGATCAAAAAGTCACAAATTACCAACACTTGATCAGAAAACCCAATATTCAACATGCATCGCATATGCTGGACATAAAAAAACGCTGGATTGAGGAGGATCATGGAAGGTTCACGGATAATTATATGAAATCAGCCGTTATAGGAAAAGAAATGCTTTCTTATATTTTACGCTAAATTCTCTTTATTTTTGATTCTATAAGCGTACAACATTAAATACGCAATGTATTAGTCAATACTTTAGAACAGAGAAACTGTCAAAGGCATAGTAACTGGAATTTTGGACATCATGGCTGGAATTATTCCTTGCTTAGATGGATTTTTACCAGATTTTGACCCATTTCCAGATGATGAGCTTGCTGCAGCTGCGGCGGCTGCTGCTGCATTGCCTTTACCATTTCCTTGTTTACCACCTTTCTTCGCATTTCCATTGCCAGCTGAAGCAGCTGCTGCTGATGATGCTGCAGATCCATTTGAAACTGCCTGGCCACTTTTTTGCCCGTTTCCTCCATTGTTACCAGACCCTGCTGTTGTGCTCGATCCTGAATTGTTCACTTTTTGTCCACTACCATTTGATGATCCTGCTGCTGAACTTGCTCCTGAATTGTTACCAGCATTTCCGTTTTTGTTGCTACCGTTAGAAGCTGAACCTGCTGCTGAACTAGATGCTCCATTGTTACCGCTGTTTCCTGCGTTTTTGCTGCTGCCGTTTGAAGATGCACCTGAGGCTGCTGCTGCTGATGATGCTGCTGCTGAGCTTGATGATCCATTGTTACCATTGTTTCCTCCGTTGTTATCGCTTCCGTTTGAAGATGCACCTGAGGCTGCTGCTGCTGATGATGCTGCTGCTGAGCTTGATGATCCATTGTTACCATTGTTTCCTCCGTTGTTATCGCTTCCGTTTGAAGATGCACCTGAGGCT